CTCAAGGATTGACCACATACTGATATCAGGCACCCTTCTCCCGGCCATCACAGACTGCTCCATAGGTAACATAGTCTGGTCCGACCATGCACCACTTGCAATGACCATACTGACTCAATACCAACACAGAGGAAAACCACCGTGGCGCCTAAACGACACCCTGCTACACAACACCAAATTCGCGACAAAACTCATGAACAACTTGCAAACATACTTCGAACTCAATGACCTCCCGGAAACCTCCGCCGCAGCCATATGGCAGGCCCACAAACCTGTCATGAGAGGCCTCCTGATAAGCCAAGCATCCTTCCTGAAAAAACAGCAAGAACGGGAACACTTGGATCTTCTAAGGAAACTGCGAGACACGACCAATGAACATCTATTGAAACCGTCTGACGAACTAGCCAAATCTATAGCACTCATAACCAACCAGATCAACACACTAGCTCTAAGCAAGACAACTCATATCTTAACGAAGTTGAAGATGAAAACATATACACAAGGCAATAGAGCAGGGAAACACCTAGCAACCATCCTCCGACAAAAACAAGCGAACTCTAAAATCCCATACCTGCTAACCAAAGAGGGAGGAAAAATCCACAACCCACAAGACATAAACGATAGAATGGCAGACTACTACCAAGCGCTATACAACCTAAAAGATGACTCTACCCTACACCAACCCTCAAACGAAGATATAAAAGATTATCTCCAACAAACAACACTGCCCACGCTCTCCATAACACACAAACAAATCCTTCCCCAGTAACGACCCAAGAAATAATAGACACAATTCAAGCACTCCCCATAGGAAAATCCCCCGGCCCTGACGGGTTAACTAACTCATACTACAAACAATTCGCACACATCCTGGCCCCCCATTTAAACAAACTAATCAACCACACATTACAAACTGGAACTCTGCCAGAGGAGATGCTAATGGCTCACGTAGCTACCCTGCCGAAGCCGGGAAAAACCCCCAACAGAAGTCAAAACCTACGGCCAATTTCCCTACTGAACACTGATGTCAAACTCATTGCAAAAATCTTCACAAACAGACTCTCCCCCATCATCCCCGAGCTAATAGGCAAGGACCAAGTAGGATTCGTCAGCGGTAGGCAGGGAGCAGATGGCACACGGAAAGTACAAAACCTCTTACACAGCCTGCGGGAGAAAAGGGCCCCAAGCATCCTCCTATCCCTAGATGCTGAGAAAGCATTCGACAGACTCCACTGGCCGTTCCTACTAGGGGTCCTACAAAAATTCGAATTCCCTCCCCAATTCCTCGCCCTCATCAAAGCACTATACTCCTCCCCTACGGCACGAGTGACAAATGGGGGATTTATCTCCAAAACCTTCAAAATTTCAAATGGCTCCCGCCAAGGATGCCCACTCTCCCCGATACTATACATTCTGGCACTCGAACCTCTGGCCCAAATGATAAGAGATGACCCGCCATAAGCGGAATGCACATAAAAGGGAAGGAATATAAACTAACGCTGTTCGCGGATGATATCCTGCTATCATTAGAGCACCCGCACATATCGCTACTACAATTCCATAAAATACTGGCCCTCTGCAGTAGATGCTCTTTCTACAAATTAAACATAGCAAAAACACAGGCCCTGAGCATTAACATCCCAAACCAAGACCTGAACGTCCTGAAATCACACTTTAACTACGAATGGAGACCATATCAAGTTCCTAGGGGTCAACTTCACACCCACACCCGCCACTTTATTTAAAGCAAATTACATAAAACTTTTAGGGGAAATCAAATCCATCACACAAGGATGGAAAGGCAAATACGTATCATGGATGGGACGAATAGCATCGACAAAAATGATACTCCTACCTAAGATACAATACCTCTTCAGAACGCTCCCCCTCCAGCTCCCCACAAAACATCTCTTGGAAATACAAGAACAAATTAACACATACGTTTGGGAAAACACAAAACCCAGGGTAGCGTGCTCCACTATGTTTCGACCACTCTCCCAAGGAGGTATGGGCTTACCTGACATAAGAGGATACTACCGAGCAGCGCACATAGCCCCACTCCTCTCAGCATTCCACCACAAGGAAGCGATGGCCTGGGTAGAAATTGAAACAAACTATGCCAACGGACTTTCCCTTCCAACAATGGCCTGGATGCCGAAACACCAAAGACCAAGTAACAAATCACTACTACCAACAACCCAACTAACTCTAATGATATGGGATAACTATCGCAAAAAGATGGGCATATTGACGAAAATATCACCAGCCCTCCCACTAGAAGCTTTGGGAGTCATCATCACGGACTTCAACTACAAAATATGGAACAAACACGGCGTACGAACCCTATCCCAACTCACGACAGACTCCCATCTCAAACGTCTGCCAGACCTCCAACGAGAATTCCACTTACCCGCAACAGCTACCTTCCCCTACAGACAACTGCAAGCCTGGTTCGCCCTACAGACAAGGAAATTGGCGATAACCTTCCCAGAGCCCCCCCTACTGGAAGTCGAAAAAATATGTCTAACAATCAAACCAGCCAAGAAACTGATCTCACTGATCTATACTTCAGAACACAATCAACCCTCGAAAAAACCCCCATCCTTTAAAACAGCATGGGAGAAAGACATCAAACACCCACTTACTGAAGACCAATGGCAGAACATTTACAAAGCACACAAACAAATGACGCTCTGCATGAACCATGTGGAACTCTCCCGAAAAGTTCTCTACAGGTGGTACCTGGTGCCCACACGCCTCAAGCTCAGCTTCCCCAACACATCAGACACATGCTGGAGATGCCAGGCAGACAAGGGCACCATGATCCACATCTGGTGGCACTGCCCGCAACTCACAACATACTGGCTGGAAGTAAAGAAACTAGCAGCAAGATGCACCAAAACGCACCTGCCACTCCTACCGGAAATATTTCTTCTACTACTACTCCCGAACAAACTGCGGAAAAGCCACAGATACCTCCTCTACCACATCATCATCTCAGCATTAGCATCCATAAGCAGGAAATGGAAACAAACAACCCCACCGACAATAGAACAATGCATCAAAGCGATAGACGACTCCAAGCGCTACGAAATGATGGCACGGAAAGCGAGACCAAAAGCAGCATACCACTCTATGGCATGGGAAATATGGGACGAGAACAAGCTACAATCCCGTAAAGGAGCTCATACCCAACACACCACATAAAAACACCACACGAGGACACTTACCCACTCCCTAACAACATGCTCCACGATGGAGCACTCCCCTCTTCCTACCACAACCTCAACAAAAGAATCAGAGGAATCCACATCCCGCTAAGTCACCCTGCGCCCCCCCTACCCCCATATGCCACAATGGGCAGTTATCCATAAAGGCAGTAAAATACTATTTTACGTGTTATTTTTGCCTGATTTAAGTTCAGTGTTTCTGACATCTACTACTGATTTTCACTGTCACTCAAATCCTTACTGTTATGTTTAAAACAGCTTCTATGAATAACACTGCATTAACAAAAATAAAGAATCTAAAAAGAAATCCTTTCTCCTGTGGCCAATATTGTGAGGTGAGCGTCTGCTTGAATGCTTCCACTCTTTATCACTGAGTGGATGTGAAATGGCTGACGGAGGGCGGGCTGACAGCAGGTGTGCATAACGTTAGTCTTGCGATCTCTTAATAAGATCGCGGTTGCGCAATCTCTGGTGTTTACGACCTTCCGGGAATAGCAGGGAGCGGCGGCCATCTTGAATGTTGCCTTCGGGTTCCGCAGAATACCAATTGGGAAACGTTGCTCTATACAATCTGTGTGTATGTCAGATAAGGATACTGCTATATTGATGCAAATATTTAACATAATGTGCTCAAGCAGTGGTCCTAGCTTTATGATTTTATAATGGAATCTACTTCAAAGTTCTTCCATTTTCCAATTAATGTTCATCTCCACTGAAATAGAGATGCATTGTTTATATCTTTTTTTCAGTATTAATAAATGTAATCTCCATATCTGTAAACTTTTTTTTTTCTTTCTTAGATATGATCATTCTATATTAAACATTCCTTAATAAATTATCATTGACTGGAATTTCAATGTAGTAGGTTCAGCAAATACGACATTAGGTTATAAGGTGCTTTAAGCTGTAATACAGAATTGACACATTGGATTTCTTTACGTTAGTCCATGCAGCAGCCTTGCTTTTCTCACTTACTTAAAGGAGCACTATAGGGTCAGGAATACAAACATATATTTCTGACCCTATATTGTTAAAACCACCATCTAGCTCCCTGGCCCTCTCTTGCCTCCCTACATATAGTAAAATCTTACTTGTATTCAAGCCTAAAGCTGCTGGCTCTGCCCGTCTGCCTTACAATAGCAAGCTGTCTGCCGACATCATCAGAAGTGTTGTTCTGAGCCAATCACAATGCTTCCCAATAGGATTGGCTGAGACTGTGAAGGAGGCATATCAGGGGCAGAGCCAGCACAAGTCAAACACAGCCCTGGCCAATCGGCATCATAGAGATTAATTGAATCATTGAATCTCTATGAGGAAAGTTCAGTATCTGCATGCAGAGGGAGGAGACACTGAATGTTTGGATGCATTTTAGGCAGCCATGACCCAGGAAGGATCTCTAACAGCCATCTGAGGCGTGGCCAGTGAAGTTATCACTAGGCTGTAATGTAGACGGTGTTTACAGCAAAAAGCCTGAAGGGTATGATTCTACTCACCAGAACAAATGCAGTAAGCTGTAGTTGTTCTAATGACTATAGTGTCCCTTTAATACATTTTGTATTGATAATATTGTGTGGTATTGGATTGTTACACCAGGTTATAAGGAAAAATGATAAGAAATAAATAATTCAATTAATTTTGTTATACCTATAGATTGACTGTCACACAGCTAAAAAAAAATACATTTATTGTAATTTTAATACATTGCACATTCATGAATGTAAATGCTAAAAAATAGCTTGTAATTAATTTTACATGTACTCCCTGCAGCTGTTTTTTTTTTATTTTCCCTTTAGCATTATGAGTGTGTTTGGTTTTATAGTAGGTAAACTGAGAATGAAGCTCTGTTTTGCAGTGGTTTGATTGGCTATATCACACTCTTTGTTTCTTGTCCGTTGCAGAAATCCTCTTCCCCGACACTACACCGTTTACTAGCAGAATCTCGTCAGATGGTTGCTGATCTTGAGCTTAGCATGGTGCTGCCAGCCCCTTATAACAGCCCCAGAAATCACAATGAGCAGGTCCAGGTAGGTAACACATTACATAAAAAAACACAGTGGGTTGTTATTGTTTTAAATTTAAGGCAGAGTCACAAATATAGACGCAAGTTTTTCAAATTTTTATCAATTCAATTATGCATATGCCCAAATGACCTAAATATGTTTCACATCACCGTTTATGCATTCGTGTTTGAGATTCTCATCCAAAATGCAGGCTTTTCTTCTATTTTTTACCAGCTACATTTAGTCACTGTATTTTACAGTTACTGTTCTCATTTTGTGGTTCACATATTTATTTTTTTATACAACAGTAGGGAGTAAATGTAATAGGACTACATTGCAATGACCCTATGTGTTTTTATAGAAACATAGAATGTGACGGCAGATAAGAACCATTCGGCCCATCTAGTCTGCCCAATTTTCTAAATACTTTCATTAGTCCCTAGCCTTATCTTATAGTTAGGATAGCCTTATGCCTATCCCACGCATGCTTAAACTCCTTTACTGTGTTAACCTCTACCACTTCAGCTGGAAGGCTATTCCATGCATCCACTACCCTCTCAGTAAAGTAATACTTCCTGATATTATTTTTAAACCTTTGTCCCTCTAATTTAAGACTATGTCCTATTGTTGTGGTAGTTTTTCTTCTTTTAAATATAGTCTCCTCCTTTACTGTGTTGATTCCCTTTATGTATTTAAATGTTTCTATCATATCCCCCCTACCGCGGCAACACTCCGGCTCTTGTAAGAGTGAACTCTAGCCCTGGAGCCACGGGCTAGAGTTCACTCTCACCACTGTGACCATTCCTGGTGGTTGCAGTGGTGAGAGTGAACTCTAGCCCCATACACACACTACCTCCCCACACACACTACCCCCCACACACATACACTGCCCCCACACACACCATACATATTCACACACTGCCACATGCACACACACACCATACACATTTACACATTGCCCCACATACACACACACACAGCCCCCCCAACACAGATAGCTACCCATACACACATTGCCACACACAAATACACAGCCCCCCCATACACACATTGCTCCACACACCCTGCACACAACCTTTCACACAAACTGCACCTCTCACACATTGCACCACTGCTCCTATACCCTACTACAGCCCCATATCCCAGCAGACCCCAGGTAAGTTGTCAAACTGTTCCTAAATGGTTTGACTACTTACTCTGGGAGGGGGTCCCGGCACTCCTGGCACCATAATCACTACACAGAGCAGTAGTGGTTATTGTACATGGATTATTTCTTTAAATAATCTATAAGTGCTCCTCCCGCGATCAGGCTCTGGATCTGCCACTGGTATATAGGGGTGTATATATCTCTACATCATGTATATTAATGTGTGTATTAAGCATATGTCTATGAGTTGCTAGCCTGGGTAACCCCAGTTGCTAGCCTGGGTAACCTTTAGTGACCCGAGGTCTGACCCAATTCCCTCCTTAACGGAGGAGGAAGAAAGAAGTCCATACATGAAGCCATGCCAGGGTTCAGACTCTTATCCCTGAAGACGTAGCAACAACATCTCTATGAGTCGCTTGCCTGGGTAACCTGTTTAGTGACTGGGGGTCTGACCTAACTCTCTCCCTCAGGGGATGAATGCAGTCCACGGTATACCTGAGGCCCAGCTAGGGTTCAGCCTCTTATCCCGGAAGACCAATCTCTATGAGAGATACCAAGCCTGGGTACCCCCTTTCGTGACCCAGGGTCAGATCCAGTCGCTCCCTCAGGAGATGAAAGCAGTCCATTGCATACATGCTGGGGTTCAGCCTCTTATCCCTGAAGACCCATCTCTCTGAGCTGCCAGCCTGGGTACCCCCTTTAGCAGGGCCAGACTGGCCCACCGGGGTACCGGGAAATTTCCCGGTGGGCCGTCGGCACCTGGGGCCGGGCAGACACCTGGGTCTGCTGGCGGCCGCTGGGGGAGGTCTGCTGGCGGCCGCTGGGGGAGTTGCGATGTCTCTGCTCCCCAGCGAGCAGCTAATGAGACCGGGGCCGGAATATGACGACTAAATATAGTCTCCTCCTTTACTGTGTTGATTCCCTTTATATATTTAAATGTTTCTATCATATCCCCCCTGTCCCGTCTTTCCTCCAAGCTGTACATGTTAAGATCCTTTAACCTTTCCTGGTAAGTTTTATCCCGCAATCCATGAACCAGTTTAGTAGCCCTTCTCTGAACCCTCTCTAAGGTATCAACATCCTTCTGAAGATACGGTCTCCAATACTGTGTACAATACTCCAAGTGAGGTCTCACCAGTGTTCTGTACAATGGCATGAGCACTTCCCTCTTTCTACTGCTAATGCCTCTCCCTATACAACCAAACATTCTGCTAGCATTTCCTGCTGCTCTATTACATTGTCTGCCTACCTTTAAGTCATCAGAAATATTCACCCCTAAATCCCTTTCCTCATATGTTGAGGTTAGAACTCTATCAAATATTCTGTACTCTGCCCTTGGGTTTTTACGTCCAAGATGCATTATCTTGCACTTATCCACATTAAATGTCAGTTGCCACAATTCTGACCATTTTTCTAGTTTACCTAAATCATTTGGCATTTGGCTTATCCCTCCTGGAACATCAACCCTGTTACATATCTTAGTATCATCAGCAATACCTTACCATCAAGACCTTCTGCAATATCACTAATGAAAATATTAAAGAGAATGGGTCCAAGTACAGATCCCTTAGGTACCCCACTGGTGACAAGTCCAAGCTTTGAATATATTCCATTAACTACAACCGTCTGTTGCCTGTCACTCAGCCACTTCCTTACCCATTCAACAATATTGGAATCCAAACTTAAAGATTGCAGTTTATTGATAAGTCTTCTATGTGCAACAGTGTCAAAAGCCTTACTGAAATCTAGGTAAGCAATGTCTACTGCACCACCCTGATCTATAATTTTAGTTACCCAATCAAAAAAATCAATAAGATTAGTTTGGCATGATCTCCCTGAAGTAAACCCATGTTGTCTCTGATCTTGAAATCCATGTGTTTTTAGATGTTCAACAATCCTATCCTTTAACATGGTTTCCATCACTTTCCCCACTACTGAAGTAAGGCTTACTGGCCTATAGTTGCCCGACTCCTCCCTATTACCTTTCTTGTAAATGGGCACAACATTCGCTAACTTCCAATCTTCTGGGACTACTCCTGTTAACAATGATTGGTTAAATAAATCTGTTAATTGTTTTGCTAGTACACCACTAAGCTCTTTCAATAGCTTTGGGTGTATTCCATCAGGTCCCATTGACTTATTTGTCTTTACTTTTGACAGTTGAAATAGAACCTCTTCCTCTGTAAACTCATGTGTAATAAATGACTCATTTATCCTTTTTCTCAACTGAGGTCCTTTTCCTTCATTTTCATCTGTAAATACAGAACAAAAATATTAATTGAGGCAGTCAGTTAGACCTTTATCCTCTTCTACATATCTTCCTTCTTTTGTTTTTAATCTAACTAATCCTTGTTTTACTTTTCTTTTCTCATTTATGTATCTAAAAAATGTTTTATCCCCCTTTTTTACTGACTGTGCTATTTTCTCTTCTGTGTGTGATTTGGAAGCTCTTATAACTTGCTTAGCCTCTTTCTGCCTTATCTTATAGATCATTTTGTCTTCCTCACTCTGGGTTTTTTTATAATTCCTAAATGCTAACTTTTTGTTTTTAACTATTTTGGCCACATCTGCGGAGTTCTACAGTGGTTTCTTGATTTTTTTTGCTTTTACTGACAAGCCTAATGCAATTTTCTGTTGCCTTCAATAGTGCAACTTTTAAATAATCCCATTTCTCTTGGACTCCATTTAAATTGCTCCAGTCTGATAATGACTCCTCTACACATATTCTAATTTTAGAAAAGTCTGTTTTTCTAAAGTCTAAAACTTTTGTTTTCGTGTGGTGTGACTCAGTTACTGTTGTTATATTAAACCACACTGACTGATGATCACTGGCTCCTAAACTTTCGACTACAGTAATATCTGAAACCAAATCTCCATTTGTTAACACTAAATCTAGTATGGCCTCTTTACGAGTTGGCTCCTCAACAACTTGATTTAGAGACAATCCCAGTAGGGTGTTTAGAATATGTGTGCTCCTGGCACAAGTAGCTAATTTTGTTTTCCAATTTACATCAGGAAGATTAAAGTCACCCATAATGATAACTTCCCCCTTCGTTGTCATTTTAGCTATTTCCTCGACTAGTAGATTATCTAACTCTTCAATTTGTCCTGGGGGCCTATAAATCACACCTACACGAGTTACTGTGTGATTACCAAATTCTAACGTAACCCAAACGGACTCTATGTTTGTCTCACTAACTTTTATTAGGCTAGATTTTATGCTATCCTTCACATACAGGGCCACCCCTCCCCTTTCTTGCCTTCCCTATCTTTTCTATATAAAGAGTACCCTGGTATTGCTATGTCCCAGTCATTTTTCTCATTATACCATGTCTCAGTAACAGTGACTAAATCTACACTATCAGTTTTATTAACCAATGGGCAAGAAGAAAGTACATTGTTTAGTAAAGCAATGTATTTCTCTTCCCAAGTGACACCTAGACAGATAAAATATAACAACAGGTTCACACTCCCTATTTTAGCAGAACTGTCATCCTTTAGGGACTTTGCATCATTTATAAAGACCTTTGACGGTGACATTGTCTCTGGGGTCCGGTGGCATGGGAAGAGAGGGTTGCAAGCATAGCAGAGATTTACTTACCTGAACCTTTCCCTCCTGGGCTCCTCCATCCTCTTCCGACTGATTCTCGTCTGCTCCTCGCGCTTCTCGCACGCGCAAGAGTACAGTATTGAGGTCTTTGGATAGATATAACCAATTTCCCTGCAGCCACTGGTGAAGGCTGGGGTATTGACTTGTCTTGACGGTGGTAGCTCCGCCCAGTGTCAAGAAGTGTCAGGTGTAGGAAATATACTGAGAAAAAAAAGTCCCTACTATGTCTTAGTAAATCTCTCCATTGTGTTTGATTTTCAGTGCAATTCCAACACAATCAATATGAGTATTTTATAAAGATTTTATTTCTTTGACAGGTGACAGCGCCGCTTAAAAATAGGACTGTTTTTTCTATGTTATTTTCTATAAACATGTTTTCATGTGGTGTGGATTTCTGAGGTAAACAAGTACTAAACAAGGATATTGAAAAAAAAAAAGTAATTTTTTCCAACACCATATATCATCATTTTTCATTTATTATAGCCCACAATAGAGACTTCACATGAAACACATCAGCAAAAACTAAACAGAAATGAAAATACAAGTGGATTTTCTTGACAGATTGTGGTAAGATTTTTTGATATGTCATTTACTTATATACATTGATATGGGAGGTTCATCTTATTGAAACCTTAACAAAAGTACATTTTTTTTAAAGTAAAAGAACATTTGTAACAGTGAATAATTGTAAATGCATTCAGTAAATATTTTTAAATTATTACATACTGTACAAAATTAGTTTTACCTGCTGAGGAAGTAAATTCTGCATTCATCAGAAAGTACCTTTTGTAGCAAGTGAAAATAAATGTTACCCCACTTAGCCTAGTGAAAAATAACAGAATTAGTTGTAATAGCTTCAAATATATTAAAAAGCAAAAAAAAAACAAACAAAAAAACAATGACCTCCTTGTGACCTCTCAATGCCTTGTGAAATCTCCATTCGGCAATTACTGTAAGGCCTCACCAGTGATAAACACAGAAATAGAAAAATTGCTGTGATCATGGTGTTAGCTAGAGCATACAGCAGCCTCCTGTATGTGATTAAAGTTCAATTAACAGAACAGGGGGTACAAGCTTCTAAAGTAAACACACTGTGGTGTATAAGTGAAATGTTTTTATTTTCATGGAGGCCGTGAGAGTCACAGCCAGGGGAGGTGCGGCTAGGGCTGCAAAAACAAAGTGATTTAACTTGTAAATAGCAGAGCATCGAACAGTGAGACTTCAGGAGAATGATCTATACACCAAAATTGTTTAATTAAGCTAAAGTTGTTTTGGTGCTTACAGTATCCTTTTAACTGTGTATAAATAGTCTAAACACTGTGATAGCTAAAACAATTACTTATCATAAAGTTTCTCTCTTTAAGGTAATATAAATAAACAAGTGTTCCCATAACTGAAATCAGTTTGCAGACTGTTCTTTGGAGGACTTGAAAATCCTTCCTGATCATAAAGTGTTCAAGCTTATGTTATCAGGAACAATTAAGTTTTTAAAATTTATAATAATAATAATACCTGGAACATACTATTTGATGTGTTTTGCTACTCTTTTCACAGGGCTGCTACATTTATATGTGATGATATTGTGGCACTGGGCTGTCCACTTGCAGACAGATATTTTGAGGAATCCAATTCTGCAGGACTTAGTACAAGGCTCTAACAGACAGACTTTTTTTCCAGCAGATAGACTAACTTTACTCTGTGTTGCACTCCAGATATACTGTTTAAAGTTTAACAATTCTGATTTAGTTTTTGTTGTTTATTATTTTTAACTTTCAAACACTCTAAATTTACAAGAGACTGCAGTTTTAAAATAGCGTTGTCAGAGAAATGCTTTATATATATATATATATTTTTTATATATATATATATATATATATATATATATATACATATGGTAATTAACTGCATGCATATCACATTCACATCAGTGGGGGGAGGGGAACCTCTCCCAGCTTTTAGCAAACTCCCATAGAGAGTAATTGAAATTTAATAGATGGACTAAGCCACTTTAAAAATTATTCTCAAGATCTGCCCTGTTGGTTTGCAATCTTTCCAACTGGATTTCAAATTGCTTTTACTCTTAGTATAGTAAATAAACCCCACTTGTCATTGATTACTAATCGCAAAATTGACATTACATTTTACTAGGACACACATCACCAACCTCAGATCTATCATATCCTATATGATTACAGTGAGAGTAATGGGTGTTATTGTAAGTTAGTGTATAAAGAATCACATGTATAAAATGTCTATATAAATAGTCATACACTAAAATACACCAAATAGCGCATTACTCATTTTTGGTAAAGCATGATGAGAGTACGAGTTCTATATCTTTAAATATTGCCTTTCAATGCTGGCATAGAATTTAAGACAATAATCTCATGGGAGAATTATTTTTTAAAAATAAAGTTGTGGGCTTTCCTAGTAAGAATACAATCCTTAAAGGAGAAACGTACCTGGAGACCCACAACAAAACCTGTTTGGACACTCCAGTTATGTCCTGGGGCTTAACCCCTATAAAGTTCAATGAATAAGAAAAAAGCTTAAATGTTGGAAAAACTAATCCAGCAAAATAGGCTTAAAGCTGGAAAAATAATAATGTAAATAAAAGTAATTATCAAAATCATTCAAATACCTCTTCAGAATATCTACCTAACTAATAATAAACCAAAAACCTCTAAATCGTGTTGTCAACCATAAAAGGTTATGCCTCCCTCTTGTTCTACTGTAATAAAAAACCTTTCCGCTTCTCACTTTTTATCACTGTCACATTGGGGCACTTTCACTACTATCATGTGCAGGCAGCCAACACTCTAATTATGGCTATGCACATATTTTAATAATTTTCTAAACCTCCCTTTCTGTCCTGATCTTTTCACTTTATCTACATCCTTAGTAGGAGTAACAAATAGATAAGTGGACACTTTATAACTATAACATCCTACTCACAAGGTTTACTGTTAACAGACAAAGTGTTATACTCTATTATAGAGATGTTTTTGTGATATTCTCTGGATACATTAGCTATTTAATAGCATTTCTCTTAGCATTGACCTTTTTTGGAGCATTATATATATATACGTTTGAGATTTCATTAGTGAACCAATTGATTATTTTTGCCTGCTTCAATAGATATATATATCCAGTATTAGGATTTTTTTCTGCTAACAATTTTACATTATCAGGACCATAAAATATAGACTGTGACCCATTGAGTTCTATTAAAGTCAAATAGTCGTGGATATTTTTTTATTACAGTAGAACAAGAGGGAGGCATAACCTTTTATGGTTGACAACACGATTTTTGGTTTATTATTACTTAGGTAGATATTCTGAAGAGGTATTTGAATGATTTTGATAATTACTTTTATTTACATTATTATTTTTCCAGCTTTGAGAATTATTTTTTACCTATTACATTTCACTTAAGGTATAGTTTTCACTGTACGTGCAAAAAATATAATTATTTTCTCCTGTTAGATTCCACTTAAAATGTAGCTTCACACTGTCCCTGCATAGAGCAGAATTGTCTTCCCCATTCTATTTTACATGTAGTTTTCACTATACATACATGCCTTTCTAGTTGTTTTGCATGAGATATTGAGCTTCCTAGATACCACATAGAAACACTCATTACTATGCGTTATCTCCAAGGTTCATACTAATTATACGCAGGGCTCTAGCAAGTACTGGGAAAAAATATTGTGAGTGAATTTTAAAGGAAAAAATAAATTAGCAGTCAAATTCAGGTATTGTGAATGGAGCCAGCATGTATGATCCAGTTAAATAACCATGTCACCTATAGCCACATCACCAAACTTAAATCTAATATAGATATATTGTATCATGCACAAGTCAGACAAGTAAGTCACATAGACTTTTTAGAACAAATATTTGCATGAGTGTTTCCCCCCCCCCCTCCTACTCCCCCCTCCCCCTAATTTACACTACTCCAGACTAGTAAAATCAGCATACAAATTGTAGACAAGTTAAAATATTGTGACATTTGCGGGGGTGGGTGGGGGGATTGTAAAATTTCTTCAGTTCAGGTTAGCTATGGTAACATAGGTTTTGGAATTCAGTTTACAGTTCACCACAGTGCATTGCTTAGTGAACAAACCCAAAAGAGTGACACAGTTGATGTTGTGAAGATACATACTGCTGCAGTAATTGAGGGGACAAGAACTGAGAGAAATGAATAATTGAGAAAGAAAACTAAACAAACCCCTTACTAGTGTCTACAAGAACTAAACAAATTAAGTTATAAGGATATGCTGGAATAAACACCATGGCTTTAAATTCTATCCATAAATTTTGCTAGTAGATTTTCCAGCAATTGTATAGATTGGGAGAAAAAAAACTATTTAAAAATAGGTCTTTCTTCCACCTGTCAGTCAGTTCTTCAGCATAGACTCTATGCCGAAGAATTGACTGTTAAGGGAGAGTAGAAGAGACCTCCCCCAGGCAGTCATCCTGCTCTCCACGCAGGGCATGTGCTGTGGTTTCTATGGTAACTCCCTAGTTGACGCTGCTTGCGCTAGCTAGGGAGTATAGAAACATAGTGAATGATGTCAACAAAGCTAGCATGTCGGTGTCACAGAAGAGGTTTGCCCTTCTTGGACCAGGCAGAGCATTACTCCCACAAAGCTGACGACGAAGACATGACGATGCTGGATCTCAAAATTTTACATTGAATGCATCATGTATCTCTGTGATGTATGATGTATTCCTTGTAACTGGGGAGATTTAGCTTTAGTCAAAAATGTAATAAGAGATTCACTATAATATTAAAAAAATCACATCGTGAGCTGTATGACCATCATAGAAGATTTCAAAAACATGTCCAGTTGGATCAAATGGAGCTGGAGCGAAAACCTTAGTTTATTTTTAATTCAAACAGTTATATTTTTTTCCTACTGTTTATACCCATATTTTTATTTTTACTAACTTCACCGGAAGTTTTATATACATGTGTATGTGCATACACATAAGAAAAACTAGGAAATACTTTTTCCTATAGACTGTGGTCTTTGGCAATGAGCAGAAGTTAAAGGATAATAACTGTGATCAAATTTTCACTTCTTGTTTTGTGTTTTGTTTTTTAAATTAAGTATATTGATCTATTTTAAGAGATCTATTTTTTAGCTATGTTGGGTCAGATTGTATTGTTCTCTGACGAACTGTTTCTCAACCTAACTTCTCTGCTCCTGCTTTTTCACACAGAGAAATCACAGATTTAAAAAAACAAATATATATTATTTTTAAAAAATCTCATTAAGTTTCATTAAATGTAATAACCTTTCAAAAAATGAGAAGTGAAAATTGAATGGTTCCCTTTCACTTGTGAAGTTAATTTACCCACAATCCATGAGTTAAAAGAATCCTACAAGAGCAAGCTGCAGACATCATGATCGAGAAGTACAAAATAGCGGCACCTGTCTGAGATTCAACACGCAAAGAATAGATACTAAAAATAAGTAAAAGCAGTGGCTGGGGGTGGGAGTATAATCTTTAACATACAGAGGGTATACGGAATGGAAAACTGAAAAAATGACAGTGAGAAAAGGGGTTACCCTTTAGACACCAATGACACAAGGCACTGCTTTCAAACTTCTGCAGTCACCCTTTTTCATCTCTCTTCCCCCCTCATCATTACATCTCTTTTTCCCCTCATTTATTTAATTTCCCCTTCCCATAGCATTTGTCTTTTCTTCTCCTAATTCTCTCTGAACCCTCATGTAGTCATTTTTCTTTCCACTTCTGATTTCCCTTTTCTCTTAACCATTCTATATCTCGTTCCTGGGATTGTGCCTTTTGGCAGACCTATTGTGTCAGTCATTGGATCTTTGAGTGAATGCGTAAGTGATTTCATTGATGTGCAGTGTCTATCTTGTGCACCCTGTCACTGCTCCTTTCCTCTTACAGTGTTTATAGTAGAGTCTGAGGCTTGTTATCTCTGTCACCCACTAGCAGCCTGCCTCATATTATAAATTCTGCATGTTATGGACAGTGGCAATCCTGTCTATCTCATGTAATACGGCCACACTACAAACTTTCATGATGCAAGTCACTTGGCTGAATGCATTTGAATCAATATCTGCATGAAAAACGTCTTTTTTTAATAAGTCTGATGCAAAGTGTACAGCACTGACATAAGCTAAGAAGGTATGTCACTTAACACTACTCAAATAACCAACTTGTATATAGAAACATTATTTTATATTTACTGACATATTTTGTATCATGTATAATATAAAATAAATATATTTTCTCTTAAAAAACACGTGGACTCCATTATTCTTTTTATTCTGAACAATAAGACTGGCCAACCAGACAGCATGCCCCAGAAGACATACCAGACTGGGAACACAATCAAATAAAAGAAGGAAAGAAGTATCTGCTGCGACCAAGTGGAAAGAATCACAGACTACTGAATCTCTCAAACAAATCCTTGACTGTTACTCAAATCAGACTTTTTGGAAAAAAGGTCTTAATTTTGCTCCATCAAACAATTTTAACCTATACCATACTTTAATTGATGTTAATTGATAACTCTTTCTGGTCACTTGTATCAGGAGGGTTTAAATAAAATCGTCCTTAAATTCCCTTTTGTTGTAAACGTGACTAAGATGTGTGATGATCATCTTTTGTTTTTAGAGGCTTGAGCTGAAAATGACAGTTCCATTTTGCATATAATTGATGCTGTGGAAGTTAAAACTGTGCTCCTGAACAGGTTTAAAAACTAAAAGTGTCTTCTATCCAGATTAGTCAAAGGGCAAAACTATTGATACTGATCACATACTCATGCAGCAGGATGAGAAAGGCAGCTCTGTTGCCGTTGTCGATAAATGTGACTATCTCAATGAAGCTTTCCATCAGTTAAGATATGAAGTCACTTACCTGTCTTTGGTTCGACTCTTCAGTTTATTATCAGAAGCAGTTATACCAACTAATTGATACAGCTGCTTGTAACTCCGTCATCACCCCTGATGCTGCTTTCTTAAAGGTCCAGTGCCCTATCGCTCCTATTTTTCACCATCTGCTCAAGGTTCACAAACCTGGGGTTGTGCCTTTTGGCAGACCTATTGTGTCAGTTATTGGATCTTTGAGTGAATGCCTAAGTTATTTCCTTGATATCCATTTGCAACCTTGGTGCTGTGTCTATCTTCACACATGCATGACACCAAGCATGTACTGAGAGCACTATATGACAATGAGTGGAGGCTTGGAGTACTGGTGGGTTGCACTCGACTTTGCATCACTGTACTACTGCATTCTTCATGACAAGGGCATTTGTGCTACTGAGTATCATTTAGATAATTATTCTAATAATGATGAGAATCTTAAAAAAAAAAATTTGGGATGCCATTTAATTTTTGTTACATCAACGGTATGTTCTATCCCAGAGTTGTGAGGCGGCCACGGGAACTAAATAAACCCCATTGTATGCAAAACTCTATGTGGAATGGTGGGAGGGGGTACATCCACTCTTTTGCCTAACATTATTATTTACAAACACTGTATTGGTAAAATGAAGGGAATGATGACTGGAATCTAACCCTACTCCTAACCCTAGCCCTAACCCTTACCGCAACCTTCCTCTAATCCTAACCCTAGGAGGGGTAGGGGTAGGGTTAGATATAGGGTTAGGGTTAGGGAATTGCCGAAGTCCCGAATTTTGGAAGTGCCGAACTGAATTTCGGAAGTGCCAAACCGAACCTAATTTTTTGCCCATGCACATCCCTACTTTAGGGTTCATACCCTGTGCACCTGGGGTGAGGTCCCTACTAAATTTTTTACTACACTGTGCTACTGAGTGGAGACATGCTGCTACAGCCTCTGTTAACTGCTGGACAGGATTTTCAGCACTTCCTGCTTAAAGGAATATCTTCCATGACAGTGAATTGCTTATAGGAGAACTAATTGATGCTCTCTATCAGGGCTGTGGCCAGCACTTAAGGGTTCATACCCTGTACACCTGGAGTGAGGCCCCTACTATATGTATGCTGCTGAGTGGAGGCATGGTGTTGCAGCCTCTGTTTACTGGCTGAGCCCCAGTCTATTTTATTTGGCCACTGTTCAGATTACAGCCCTGCAGGGGTTTCTGTGAGCATTGCCTGCTACTATGATAGTCTGATCTGTTTGTCCTGCATCCTGAAATTGCCTACTATTTTGTGCCTTCTACAGGGGTATCCCTTATCATGATAAATCTACCTGTGTACTTTTTTGGGTGAGCCCCAATTATGTCACACGATTTGCCACTGTGGAAGATTCCCGGGCTAACCCTGTGGAATTACAGGTCATGATACACACAACTGTGTTGGCGCAAGACAAATTGTTGGACTCTATTGACCCCATCTCAAGGTAAAAAGCTCTTTCCTGAGGGAGCTTATTACACACGTTTATGTTCCTGCTTCCCACATCAAGACACAAACCTCCATGAGGAAGGTGTTACATGCTATCTCCCTAGGGGGTGCTCTACAGGACTGGTAGACATTGGGGCCATGTCGCCAACCACTTTGGGCCAACTGACCCCTGTAACTTGCTATCACAAACTCTTACCCGAAGTGGGTGAGAGACAACCTTCTGGTGCTCCAGATGATCGACATCTGAATGTGCAGATTCGCTAAATCCTGTTTTCCTCAGGTGAGCGTCCCTAGGGTAGCATCGACTGTACTTTCTACAAGGCCTACATGAGATACCATCGCTTCTAGGTGGAAGGTATTCAAACTTAAAAAGGAATCTTCTCCACGACTGGCTTGCGAAAATGGATATGAAGACATGTCCTGTCGGTCCTTTTCCACCCCTCTTGCCGACATTAACTATGTTTCCTGTGCCGCGATAAACCTCGGCACTTCACCTGCCTCCTCAGCTCGGATCCTTGGGGCTTCATGAAACGACTGAAACCAGTGATCAATTACGCATGGGGAGTGCGTTGCATTATTTACCTGGACGATATCCTTCTGTTTGGTTCAGAGAATTCAAGATTGCATCAACATTTGCAATTCTCCGTGGTCCGACTGGAATCATTGTGTTTCGTAGTGGATGGTCCACTTCTTAGGATTCTTAATCAACTGGAATCATTGTGTTTCGTAGTGGATGGTCCACTTCTTAGGATTCTTAATCAACTCTGTGTTGCACCCTGAAACTTTCCTCTTCAAAGGTCTCCTCTATCCTCAAGGAAATTTGCACGGTCTTCCACTGCAACACCGTGACCCTCCACACACTCGCACGGATTGTGGTCTACTGCCCTGCCCTATCCAGGCTATCTTCTCAGACCAGCTACGTTACCGGGACATGCAGCGCTTCCTGGTAAGGTTTCCTCAGGCAAACCCCACCTGCGTCCAACAGGATTTCTTTCTGGAGTTGGATACCAGCTTGTGGGGCTGCGGTGACAACCTGCAAGTGCGCACCCATGGAAAGCGTGTGCACAAGTCAGGAATTCTCCTTTCACATTGAATACCTGGAATTCTTAGTGGGGTCCTTCACTATCTGCAGACTGGTAGAGCAGTACTTCATTTGTTGCATCTCACTCCGGATGGATAGAACCTCGGCAGTCAGGTATATCAATTGCCTGGACAGAGCCAGCTTAAAGGGACACTACAGATTGGAAGTAAAACCAATTTAGTTAATGTAATATTTAATGAATGCATCTAAAATATAATCTAAAAAATACTATCAGATATCATGAAAGGCATCTTCGATTTCTGCCTTCCTCACAGAATCTCCCGAGGGTGGACTATTTCCCGGGGAAGATACATCTCAACACGGATTAGTTCTCCAACCTTCAGAGGGACCGCCGGAATTCAGTGTTCTACAATTGGCTGCCGAATCCGGAGTGCATAATGGTGGTCGCATTCCTGCCTGCTCTGCCTACAGGGGGGGGGAATTGCATGGATTCTCTATCCCCTCTGTGTTCGGCAAGTAACACTGCCTTTGCCATCCTGCTGTGATTGAGTCAACCTTGTTTCCCGGACCTTCGAGGACTTGCCAGTGAGGATCTCCTCCTCCTACATTTATACCCAACTCTTCGTACGGACCTGAAGGGGAACTCACATCTTCTATTCCTGGAGGGTAGGCTGACACTGGTGGCCTGGACTCTTTCTGGGGTTCTTGGCAGATCGGCGGACTATCATAGCATGTCTGTTCGTCCACCCATTGTAAAGCGCTGCGGAATTTGACGGCGCTCTATAAATATCATAATAATAATAATAGCCTGCTAGGGACCTCTTCGGATGATTTTATTTCCATTGGCTTTGAATTGTAGTTTTATATGTGGAATGATGTATACTGTGTGTTACTTGGATTTCCACATTCATGACTATGTGTGTAAACCTGTCACACATTCTCTTTTCAGTTTGATTCATCCCTGAAGATGTTTTGGTTGTTCGTGTGGAATTCTCTCGAAGATTGGTCCTTCGCATGTTGGATTTAGGAGTTATTGTTATTGCTTGTTATATGTTTGCTTCTGCTTGATGTCGCTGTCTGAAAAAGGACGTGCTTAGGTCACCATACCTCATGTACATCCTACTCTCTTGTGATTGTTTTTTTTTCTATGTGTTACATTGCTGCTGTGGAGCTAGTAAAGAGAGATTATGCAAAATATTTGCCTCCTGTCATTACTAAAATTAAGATTATTAGTACACTAAAGCTAGTATAATCTTCAATTTTTTTTTGAAATTTGAAGTTTTATTGAGTTTCAACATGTCATAATGGTAGGGGGGGGGGATAGTGTACAGAAAAGAAGGGATGAGGGAGGGGGGGTAATCTTCAATTTTTATTGATTTGCAAAGCATAGTATTCCAAATGAAAGTGTTAATATTGTCAAGGTACATTTTCTTGGTCAATACCTTAAAATAAAGTAAAATAAAATGAAACCCTAATAGTCTGGCAGTGATGCAACTGCTATTGATTCCTATCATCCTAGATGATGAATGGAATTGCTGCAATTTTATGATTTACAAGTCCCATACCTGCTGGGCAAGGGTTTTATGGGAAAAGTATGAACTCCATTGAAAAAGAATTGCACACCTTCTGATTGCCTGAGTCACTTACTGGTCTGAGCAGTGTGTATTGCAAAAGCTGGAAACTCATCAAATGCAGGAAAGGTTAGTGTCCTTTACTGTAACTCTTTTAGTATTTTTTAGATTATATTTTAGATGCATTCATTAAATATTACATTAACTAAATTGGTTTTACTTCCAATCTGTAGTGTCCCTTTAACCCCTTAAGGACACATGACATGTGTGACATGTCATGATTCCCTTTTATTCCAGAAGTTTGGTCCTTAAGGGGTTAAGCCTGCCAATGCCCACTATGTAACCTCTGCGCCCTGTTGTGAATAAAATAGTATGTGGCTTCCCACAAAGAGGTCAGATGGAATTCGAGTTTAGGTCAACAGCTGTGTTAGTCTTCTAATATGGAGCTTCACACAGAGATGTGGTATTTTGCTTACAAAGTGAATTTGTTTCACCGGTTCCTATAAAAGGGTACACACTGTAAATGTAAATCTTTTCCTTTAATTAAAGTTAAAATTCCTGTAATAAAAGAAAGGCTTTATTTTCTTCATGTCTAGCTGCACAGATGCAAGTAATCCCTCTGTAATGTATAGTAGAGTGTGAAGACCGACATCAATATTCTATTCATTCAATGTGTCTGTACTATAGTGACCCAATGTCTGTCTATTCACTGAACTGACCTTAGTGTCTTGTAATGTGCATGTCCCCCAATTCCCCAATTCCATCTGTTCCAGATATTTATACCTGATTACAGTGTAGCTACAGTGTAATCATATAACACAACACTGCATCCTCCAGACTGTGCCATTATGCAAATCTGCATCAGCTGATTTTTCCATTCTGGTTCTTGGGCTGGCGAGCTTGGAAGACCATGAATATTCAGGAATTTCAATTTAAATGGAATCTGACATTTTCTGGAATACACTATTGAAAATCATCTATAACATGACTGTTTTTTTTTTTTTTAGTGGTTATGGTGCCAGTGCCCCCCATTGTAAGTAGTCAAACCATTTTATCTCTCTCATCCATTAGCAGCCTGCTTCATATTACAAATTCTGAATGTTCAGAGCAGTAACAAGAACTCCCTGATGGACATATTGGTGGTAGGGATTGGGCCCTGGGTAAGAACGTTCTAAAACAGTTTGACTATTTACAAGGGAAGGAGCTACAGGGCACCATAACCCTTACAGTTTGAATGGAGACACTGAACATAGAGATTCAATGCATCTCTATGAGGAGATGCTGACTGGCCGAGACTGTATTTGGCTTGTGCTTGCTCTGCCCCTGATCTGCCTCCTTAACAGTCTCAGCCATTACTGTGGGAAAGAATTAGGATTGGCTCAGAGAATCACTTCTAAAGATGCCAGCCAAGCAGGCAGTTGAGGGGCAGAGCCAGCAGCTGCAGACATGAATAGAATTAAGATTTTACTATATATTTAGGGTGACAAAGGGGGCTAGATGGTGGTTTTAACATTATAAGTTCAGGAATACGTGTTTGTGTTCCTGACCCTATAGTGCACCTTTAATTCTACAAAAACCTGAAATGTTTTACATTGCAGGGTTAAAAGGACAGGGTCACTGCACCCAGACCATTTCATTGAGATATAGTGGTTTGGGTGACTATAGTGTCCCTTTAATTGAAGGATCCACCTGGTGGGTGATTCTTTGGCAGAGTATTGTAAGGTCACATACCTGCTCTGATGCTCTAACTTTTCTTTGGCAGAGTATGGCAAGGTCACATACCTGCTCTGACGCTCTAACTTCCCAAGGATTACTGAGTTGTAGTTACACTGGCCTACTAGTATAGTTCTTATACTTTCTAATTCTATCTAATCATTAACAAGGTCTGGCAATACGCCTTTCTATTTTTTCCCACTGTACCTTTTGTTAGGTTGCTGACAATTCTTTAAGGTTCGTGACAAATGTATAGCAAGAGGTCAGAGAGCTGGAGATTAGTCAACGGAAATAGGATACAAGGAAACTGAATGAAGCTGTGAGATTTACAAGGAGGATAGCTTTGCAAAGAACTGAGCAATAAGCATTTCTACACTGGATTTTATCATGGAAGCAAATCAGTTTGCAAAATGGGTTCCAGGATGTTCTGTCCTCCCATACTGATCTTTCTAATACAATATCTGTTCCCATCCAAGGAACAAATACAAAAGCTGACCAGAAACCTTCACTTCTTATGTGCAATAAAATAAAAATACAGTGATCCTTACCAGGCGGTTCAGAAAGGTTCTCCTCCTGTATTTAAAAAACAAACAAACAAAAACAAAATAACACTATAGTGTAAGACAGACTATATAAGTTTATTGATCTGTTAATTGTGCAACCCCAACTTCTGCCCACAGTATGGTCTTATGGTAACAAAACCCCATCTTATAAAAACAGAGAGGTTAAAGGTCCACTATAGTGCCAGGAAAACAAACTCGTTTTCCTGGCACTATAGTGCCCTGAGGGTGCCCCCAGGCTAAAGGGGGAGGAAGGGGTTAAATCCCGGCACTGATGCGCGCGCATTCAGCCAGTCCATAGGAAAGCATTCTCAATGCTTACCTATGGTCGCTGGCGTCTTCTCACTGTGAAAATCACAGTGGGAAGCGCCTCTAGCGGCTGTCAATGAGACAGCCACTAGAGGCTGGATTAACCCATTTGTAAACATAGCTGTTTCTCTGAAACTGCTATGTTTACAGCAGGCAGGGTTAACCCTAGATGGACCTGGCACCCAGACCACTTCATTAAGTTGAAGTGGTCTGGGTGCCCATAGTGGTCCTTTAAAAGATATGCCCTACATGTGTTTCAAAGGTATGCTTCAATCAAAAGGGAATTAGGATTCCAAGCAAGTATGGCTCATTCAGAATCAAATGCTAAACATTTTAACAGAAAACAGATTTCCCTGTAGTATAAGGAGTTAATAGCTGGTTTTCAGTTGTGGCATCTAGCTCACAGGTGCATAATTATGGACATAATTAGAGCTTTAAGCAGGGCTATTGTTAGCAGAATGTTTGTGTGTGTGCATGTATAGACTTACAGGCTTTGTATACAAGTTATAAGTGAAACTGATGTAGGAGGATCAGGCTGCAGCTAGGACACGGTTCCAATGTGCCAGATTATTGTTACGATTATTTGCATTTTAATATAAAAAGTTAGGCCCAGCAGTCTTAAGCAGTAACAGGACACATCTAACAATTTTTGGAGTATTCCATTAATAAGATTTATCATTGTTTTATGTCCTGCATTGTTCCATCTGTTTTCTAAAAATTTTATTTTCGAAAAGGATAGTGCTGATGCACAATACATGAAACATACATGGTAACGGTAAAAATTTTAATTAATATGTTCTCTGAGATCCTGATCCCGATTAATTAACTGACTCTGCCCTGAGAATACATGATGTCCACATACTGCTGTGCTGAGTGACTGACAGGATGTTTGCTGTAGAAACGTGGAGCTGTTGCTCCTCAAAGACCATTTATGGTTCCAGTTGTAGAATAACCATAAGGGAAATGGTTTGTTGACAAAGTGCGTAGGTGTATATTTTTTGGCACACAATATAAAAAATGGACGGTAGCAAATTGCTTGTACTATCAATGTTCTGGAACAATAAAAGGACAAAAGTGTCATGTTTCCAGTTTATTGTGTAAATGTATTGGAAGGACACTAGAAACCATGTTGCCTCAGGGTATTCTCTGTTCTCCATTCACTTTTTTTTTTTCTTTCTTTTTTTTAATATAAAGGCGTACTTACCAAATATTTTTCAAAATGGAAATATAAAAGTACAGGCGGATTGGGATCCCAGGCGAAGCACAAGGAAGATTTACGCACCAGCGCTGATGACTATTCAGTGGAAATAATTAAATTGAATTATTGAAAACCAAAACACATTTTGTAACATTTCTGAGAAATTAATGCAAATTGCAGACCTCCCACATAACTAGTTACATATATTGAAAGAGTACATTGCAGGTGTTGTGCTCAAGGTGGTCCCCAACTGATACTGGTTATTTGATCTCTTTTGAACATGGGCACATAGAGACTGAAGAGTACTGCTTAGTGAAGTCATGCAAGGTAACATTATTGGTTACACTGACAGCTAGACCGTCTGCTACAGCACTAAGACTTAAAGGACCACTATAGTGCCAGGAAAACAAACTCGTTTTCCTGGCACTATGTAGTCCTTAGGTCCCCCCACCCTCAAAGCCCCCCCTTCAGCCACTTACCTTTCTCCAGCACCCCGCTCCCTCGGTGCTGGTGACCTCTCCTCCTCCTGCAGACATCAGCGCCGAATGTGCAATGCTTTCCTATGGACGTCAGCGTCTTCTCACTGTGATTTTCACAGTGAGAATCACGGAAGCGCCTCTAGTACTGTCAGTGAGACAGCCACTAGAGGCTGGGTTAACCCTCGATGTAAACATAGCAATTTCTCTGAAACTGCTATGTTTTCAGCTGCAGGTTAAACCTAGAGGGACCTGGCACCCAGACCACTTCATTGAGCTGAAGTGGTCTGGGTGCCTATAGTGGTCCTTTAAAGAATCAAAATCACTACAGTGTGCTCTGGTGTTTATGGTGCCACGAGTACCACGGCATCCTCCCCCCCATATTAGAATAATTTGACTTGTACTTGGGGTTCATCAGGCACTGCTCCTTGCCTTCACGAGTGATCAGTGAGAGCCATAATGCCAGTAAACTTACCTGTAATACAGCGCTGGTCAGTGTTCCTGCCGCTCCTCCCTCAATGAGATCCTGTCTCTAGGTGATCTTAGGTCCAATCAAATGCTTCTCATAGAGATACACTGAAGACCTACAAAACACTGCATCCAATTGGATGCTTCTCATAGAGATACACTAGAGACCTACAGAACACTGCATCCAGTTGGAATAGCATTAAATGGAATGCCACCCTGTGTGAAGCATTGCAACCCTGAACATGAAGGTTCCTCTTGTGGCTGTCTGATTGATAGCCACTACTAGAGGCATGCTTAGTGACATATGTAAGTAAACACTGCCATTTTTCAGGTTAATGTTTACATTTGTCAGACTGCAGGGACGAGGTTTATGCATCAAAACTACCAAATTATAATGTAGTGCTTTTGGTGCTGAGTGTCTCTTTCAATATAACTCTAACCATGTCACTTAATATGAACGATTTAATATTGATCCCTGAACTTGATTATAACCCTAGTCTTTACCATAATGTCATAGGACTTCCAATTTATATTTTAAATATCATTCTACATACAAATATGTGAATTTATGAAATCACTCTTCATAATCCATTTTTATGACTGCTCCCCATAATTAATTATTGGAGATTCTCTCCCCTTTTTCTATTTATCATTCAATGACACACAACACATAGACATACAGAAAACGTGTCGTGACCTTGATTTATAACAATGTCAAAGGCACTCTAATTAGCATTTACACACAGCCAAATAAAAAGGATAAAACAAATAAAAGTCATAGAATGCTCAGCTTAGCCAGGTGTCCTAGCCCCGCCCCCAGGACGGGATGACGCCTGGGCTCGTTCGCCTCGCCCACCTCGCGCATGTTGGAGGCTCGTTCGCCACGCCCACCTCACCGCGGCTTCACAAGTGCAGCAATTACCCAGAATCCCGCGCGCCGTGCTTCCCTGCAGGCGAGTGAGGAGCAGCCAAGCGGCGGTGGCAGCGGGTCACACAGGGAGCTCGGCTCTGGGAATCCGCTAAAGGACACGGCGAGATGAACACCATTAAGGGAGTGCCGTCCAGGATAGCCAGGCGGTCAGGGCACGGCGTGGAGGCGGAGAGGGAGCAGTTTGACAGAAATCAGGTGAGAGTAACCTGGAGCTCTGTGATTGGGCTGGAGGGAGCTCTGTGACAGGGCTTGGACGGGGCTGGAGGGAGCTCTGTGACAGGACTATGACGGGGCTGGAGGGAGCTCTGTGACGGCTTGGACGGGGCTGGAGGGAGCTCTGTTACAGGGCTTGGACGGGGCTGGAGGGAGCTCTGTGACAGGGCTTGGACGGGGCTGGAGGGAGCTCTGTGACGGCTTGGACGGGGCTGGAGGGAGCTCTGTGACAGGGCTTGGACGGGGCTGGAGGGAGCTCTGTTACAGGGCTTGGACGGGGCTGGAGGGAGCTCTGTGACAGGGCTTGGACGGGGCTGGAGGGAGCTCTGTGATGGGGCTGGAGGGAGCTCTGTGACAGATGGGACTGGTGGGAGCTCTGTGACAGGGCTTGGACGGGGCTGGAAGGAGCTCTGTGATGGGGCTGGAGGGACCTCTGTGACAGAGATGGGACTGGTGGGAGCTCTGTGACAGGGCTTGGACGGGGCTGGAAGGAGCTCTGTGACGGGGCTGGAGGGAGCTCTGTGATGGGCCTGAAGGGAGCTCTGACTGACTTAAATGGACATGGCAACAAAACGGCATGTGTGTTAGGAGAGAGTGTGTGTGTGAAACCCTTCAATCACTATAACACTATAGTGTGCTAGATTTTATACACTGACTAGGAAATGCACTGTAGCCTTGTTCACCACTGTCTGTGCACTATACCCATTAAAGCTTTAGCGGGCTGAGTATTATGAGGACTTTAGAGCAGAAACTACTAGGGTACAAAGTTTTAATGCTGATTTTAAAGTAATGCTCTCTTAATAGTGTCTGCTATTGATGAGAACTATTGATGAGAACTACTGAATCTCTTGCCATCGCAGTCAGATTATCACTGGATGGGATACTTTGTGTTCAATGAATGGAACAGTGTGATTTGTGTCTCACTCTGGGGTAGGATTTGGTATCTATCTGGTGAGCCTAGTTTTGCATAATTTGTGTCATGTATTTTTTTGGGGGCATGTGTTTCTTTGTGGTCCTGTAAATACAACACAGGATTGTGCTTTACAGAGTAAAATGACAGTTTGTGTGTTGGTGGAATTGGACAAGTTGTAGCAATAAGTTTGTGCTCTGGGCAACTTTGTGTTTGTGAATACATTAGACATGATAGGGTAGCTGTGGTTTGTTATGAAAGCCCAGTAGTGGGTTTTGGAAAAATAGTTTTTGTACCACTGGACCAGTAATATAATGTCCTGTTTGGAGAATGCCAAATACTATTCAGCAAATTGTGACAAACTGGTCAGATGTCTGTGAATCAGGGTCAGAACAACTCAGCCTGTGTGTGGATCAGTAAACTCAGCACTCTGATTTGCTTTAAAGGGACAGAGTCGTTCTATTATTGCCCTGTTAACCTTTACACACTGCCTCCTCACATTATGTAATAAAGGTCTGTTTCCTGGCAAGTGTAAATTCTTCTCAGTCTACATTATATATATATATATATATATATATATATATTTTTTATATATATATATATATTTATTTATTTTTTTCTTCTCTTTGGGAAATGACTTATTTTATACTTGGTAAAAAGTTTCATTTGTAACACTGACTGTTCTCTCCCACCCCCCATATAAACATATTTATGAATCTTATTAACTGTCAAAAGTTGATTCTGGGATGGTGATAATGCCTTTTAAAGTGTGTTTCTCTGTGTCTGTGTATACCCTGTTTACCCAAAAATGACACCCCCTAAAAATAATCTCTGGCTTATTTTCGGGGGAAGCTTCTAATATAAGCCCGACTCTGAAAATAAGCCCTACCCGCTAGTTAGCTAATCTATCCCCCGAACATAAATTTGCGGGATCTCATTCGTGAGTTAGCTAATCTGTGTTCGGGAAAGTTTCCCCGAACATGGATTCGCAGGAATCCATGTCCTAGTTAACTGGTCTATGTTCGGGGGAATTCCCCCAAATGTATACCTGCTTTGTAGTACAAGTTTGCTATCTGTTTTTCCTCGAAATAAGACATAAAAGTACAGGTTATTCTGAATGTGCAGCGTAAAAAGCAGAAGTAGTTATGGTGGTTGAAGTCACCCTTTAATCTCTTCACAGAAGTAATTAAACGGACACTCCAGGCACCCAGACCACTTCTGCCCATTGGAGTGATCTGGGTGGCAACTCCCACTACCCTTAACCCTGTAACTGTAAATATTGCAGTTTTCATAAACTGCAATATTTACCTTCCAGGGTTAACTCCTCCTCTAGTGGCTGTCTACAAGACAGCAACTAGAGGGCACTTCCGGGTTTATAGCACACATTCCGTGTGCTATAGCGTTGCTGGACGTCCTCACGCTATGTGAGGACCTCCAGCGTCGCTGAAATCCCCATAGGAAAGCATTTTTAATTTTTTATCACAGTGGAGTCTTTGCTGCACTCTGCTTGTACAGTGGTATTCTAAGTGAATCATTAAATCCAATTGTTGTCAGAGAGAAACATTGGACGCACACACCTAGCAGCGTGCATACCAAGCATATATGGAATATGCAATCTCAAATCTTCTTGTTTATTGAGAAGTCAAATCATGGGTCTAGTGCATTATTTCTTTTTCAGCTCCATGTCATGGAGAAGTGTGGTGTTTGTCATAAACGGCAGGCCTACAAGCTCCATGTTCTCCTTTGCTTCATTTGAATGATCACAGTGACTTCTGTTTAAATGGCAGTAAAAAGTAGGCATGGAAACTGAAACATGTAAAATGTGCCATTTCCCAGATACAGCACTGTTTTCATTTGCAAGCTGCAGGGGCATCATCTATTCTAGACCATCAAATTACTTTATTAAGATTAAGTGCATTTTGAAAAAATTTTTTATTCTTTATTTTGTCAGTGTTAAGTTTAACATGTTGGCTTGCTCTGCTACAACGGCCGACGCTAACAGTTTTTCAGGCATAGCATAACATTTTTGTTAACAAGTGAGGCAATGTTCATTATACAGGTACAAGTTGAAAACATTTAAATACTGGTGGCATGTCTGCCAAGCAGTGCATGGTGTGATTCCGCTATGCAGTATTTGCCCTGAACACAATTTTTATTTATATTGTCAGGTTTGTTCAGCAAGATTGTTAGTCCCACAGGTCAACCATGGGATTGGGTGCCTAGAGTTCCATGGTAGACAACGGGCATATTGCATTTAGTCGGTGGCTGTGTGGTGGTCATAGGTCAATGATGGGTACTTCATTGTGGTTGGCATGGTTCTGGCTGTCATTGATCTAAACGAATGTGTGGGATCAGGCTTGGCTACATTATCCACCCGCTTCGCGGACCGGGTTTTGGTGTGTGCGCCATGCGGGTCGTTGGGTGGGTGTCGGTCCTGTTGTCCTGTTTTGAGGTGACTTTGCGCGTGCTGATGCGGGTGGGTGTGGGGGCCCCTAACCTAAGGGGGGGGGGGAGAATGACGTCGGGTGGTGTGTGGGTCTGGCTGATGCCCTCGGGGAGGCGGGTTTGTATTGGGGGTTTGTGTGAAGGAGCCTCGTCTGTCGTCCTTCCATAATGCAGTGAGGATAGAGGTCACTTTGTATGGAGCAGTCGGAGGGGGTCAGTCTTTGTGTTATTGTAGAGATAGAAGTACCGGGAGAATAACATTTTAAAGAAAGTAACATTTATAGAAAGGTCGGTTCGAACCAGTCCGAGAGTTCAGTCTAAAGTCCCATCTGTATCATCGAGGAGTGGGCCACCGCTGTCCATAAGCGTAGCGGTTTGCCAGTGTCCAGTCTGGTATCCTATGGGTCCGGTGGCGGTGTTGCTCTTGAGCGCAGGACGAAGGGTGTAACCGTGGTCGGGACAACGGGTCCCATGATCTTGTAGGTTGCCCCGGTGTTGCTGGAGCGGTGGTTAGGCCCAATTTTTGGAGGAATGGTACGGCTTCGTCCATGGTGTGTAGGATGTGCGTGGTGCCAGCTCGTGTGATGTGAATAGTTGTCTGTCCCCCACCTGTACGGCAGGCCTGCTGATCGTAATAGGGTGGTGACGGGACTGCAGGATTTCCTCCACAACAGGGTAGCCCGTGTCAGGTCCTGGAAGAATAGCAAGGTGGAGTCCTCGAAGGTAAGTGGTGTTTTGCCCTTTATGGCTTGCATGACCTGTATCTTGTCCTGGACTGTGTGGCATCACAGGATAACATCTCTGTTCAGGTTAGATTTCGTGTGGGTTGTTGAGGGGAGGTGGTATGTACTGTCGGTAGTCATTTTGCGGGACGCAGCTGGGGGCAGGATAGTTGCGAGGAGGCGCCTTTATAATGGGGTAGTTCCTCCGCGGACACAGCGGTCGGGATCCCCCTGATTTTGATATGTGAACGGCGGTGTCGGTCCTCCAGGACCGCAAGCTTTCCCATTAGGATTCTTTGGTTCTGTTGGAGTTGGAGGACTGTGTCCTGGACCAAGTTGATCTTGGTGTGTGTATCTGTTACGCTATGCTCAACGGCTCCTACTTTCTCTCTAACCTCTTGCAGCTCCGTTTTGAGATTTGTCGAGGCCGCCTCCAGTAGTTTGTGGATATTGGCAATATGGGAAATACTGTAATTCATGTGTTTAGTAATCATAAGCATTTGCTTATTGCCACATTACTGCCACATTACTGATGTACTGTTTATTGAAATATTAATATCTAACGTACTTTTTGAATTACTATATATATAACATCTCATGGTTATAAATGTTTTTGTATGTGTTGATGCATGTACCAGGTTTACTTGGATATATCCTATGCGAAGTGCAACCTCTGATACCACGTTTTCTAGTGACACTAAGGGGCATCTAACGGTACTAAACATGCAGACCTACCTGCGAGATCTCCCCGACCGTAGTATGAGGCCTACTGACGCATTCCCGCTGCCACACGAGGCTGGAAGGCTGACTTGTCCTCCCCTCTATGGACTGGCGAGGTTATCCCGGTCCCAGGAGGCCACTCTCATGCTCTAACGCAACAACCCCAACGGCAACCCACTACTCCTGGCATGGCGGATCACCCATGAGGGCCTCCTGCAGAAGCGCAGCCAAGCACTGCATTCGACCGTATCAAGCCTTTTGGCTTCGTCTGGAGATAAGACTGAGAGGCTCTCCCCTGCACACACAATGCCCTTCATCTGCCGATGGCCCAGAGGGAGTCTCAACTTGGCAGGCGCCCACCAATGCGCAGATTCGACAGGACACGCATCAGCAGCCCCCTAAACCAGAGGCTGAAGATCCTACTGACCAAAAGAAAGCTACTGTAACCAGTATTGAGGTGACTACCAACCGCTCTCACGCCAAGGACTACCCAAAAGCTCTGCAATCCTCAATGCCCACTTACCATGGGGCCAAAACAGGGGTGAAGTGGCATGGAGGGACCTCAGGGGCATTCAAGATACCAGCAACTCAAGACACTGACTGGATCCTAGCGGTTCATGCGCAGCCCCGGCAGCTTAGCAGATCAGACATCTGCTGATTTCAGATTACTGTAGCTAAGATAACTTACCCAAGCATTTGGGGATGGCTCCTGCACTATGGCATGAACACTGTTTGTTTTATTTTTGTGTCTCACCACCTGCATCACACTAATACTGCTTAGAATGTAAGACAGATCGCGGGTACAGACCCATTGGAGATTAACTCCGTTACAACACACCTCATAGCTGCCTTAAACATACTGTGTATCACGATGTCGGGAGATGGCCGACTGCGTACTTACCTCACATGAACCCAACTCACTAGGCACACAAAATGCCAGTTGAAGCCACTTTGCCCGTACATGCCTATTTACACGCCTAATAGTTTGCTTTAACATCCAGGTATATATGTTGTCACTTAATCTCGCTAACACACTTACCCTATATGCCTCAGCCTTACAGGGGCGATGTCAGCTACAGCGATATATTAACCTCTTCTTGTCTAGCTATTATGTTCCAGTCAGTTCACAAGTATCTATAATTTATTGATGTGATTGCTCGCGTTCTAGTTCTAATTCTGTTTATTCCATAAAAAAGGGCAATGCTCTTGATGCCATACAACTGTTATCAACTGTCTAAAAATCTGTTTGCACCAGCTGCTGTGGCAGTGCAGATCTCCTTGTTTAACCTATGCATGAACAAAACAAAGAATTTAAAAAATAAAAAAAAGTGACCAATCTGCTTTAAGAAAAATAAATATAAAAAAAAAAAAACAAAGACATTTTAGCCAGATGAGTTGGAAATATCCTATACAAAATAGAAGGGTGCCAACAATAATTTATAAAAAGCAGTCAGATGGGCTAAACGAGAATAAAAGTCAGATGGTAAACTAACCCTAAAATGTTTAAAGGAACACCCCACACCCCTAAAACATTTCAGCTTGCTAAAGTGCTGCAGGGATTAATGTGGAGTCCCCTCCTTTGGAAATTATTTAAAGGGGTCATATTAAAGTGACACAGTACTCACCAATACAACTTTACCTTAATGAAGCTGTTTTTGTGTACAGATCGTGCCTCTGAAGTCTCACTGCTCAATTCTCCGCCATTTAGGAGATTTATCATTTTTTATTTATTTATTCATGCATGGAGAAAAATTTTCATTTTTAAACAGATATTCACCTGCAACGTCTAGCAAATTATTAACAAAGCAGGAAATAAGAAATTCGAAATGCTAATGCACGTCTTCTTAAAGGACACCTATAGGCACCCAGACCACTTCAGCTTAATGAAGTGGTCTGGGTGCCAGGTCCAGCTAGGATTAACCCGTTTTGATGTAAACATAGCAGTTTCAGAGAAATTGCTATGTTTACTTTAGGGTTAATCCAACCTCTAGTGGCTGACTCATTGTAATTTTCACAGTGAGAAGACGCCAGCGTCCATAGGAAAGCATTGAGAATGCTTTCCTATGGACTGGCTGGCTGCGCGCACAGTGTAACATCGCATGAGTTATGAATAGGGCTCCATAAGCAAAGTGATTTAAAGTGATACTATAGTCACCAGAACCACTACAGCTTAAAAGGCAGTGTTTACATTACTGTATAGTAACACCTCTAACAGTCACTCAGACAGCCACTAGAGGTACTTCCTAGTCCAGTGTTCAGCTCTGCATGGAGATCCTGATGCTTCCCATACAGATGCATTGATTCGCTGTATCTCCGAGGAGATGCTGAATAGTACAGCATTTAGCAGAGTATGTGCAATAGCCTTCCAATGCTTTGCTAGGTGAAAGGATTGGCTGAGCTCATAAAGATTGGTCTCCGCCAAGGAGGTGGCACAGCAAGTCAGCGTGGCAAGGGAGAAAAAGTATGTTCACCTTTTTAACTCTACAGAGGAGACCAAATACCTAAATGGTTTAATACTATAGTTTTAGGAATATATGTTTGTATTCCTGGCTCTATAGTGTTCCTTTAACACCTAAATTACAGAGTTGAGCAGTGAGACTTCAGTGGCATGTTCTTTATTCCAAAATTGCTTCATTAAGCTAAAGTTATTTTAGAGTTTATAGTATACCTTTTTAGGTATTCATTGAGAAGAACCATGTTATTAGTAGTAATCAAGATGATTTTATGAAAGTACAATTACATCAAACTAATTGCATTTTATAAAGCAGACAGGAGAAGTATAGTTGCAGTGGATGTGATCTATTGGGATCTTTCTGAGGTTTTTGATAGTTACACAGAAAAAGGTTGCTGCACAATGGGTTTAGATGAAAAAAAAATCACACACACAAATTTAGATATTTGAGGCCAGCCAAAGTATTCACAGTGGTTACAATATATCTTGGAATGCTGTCATGCAGGTCTGTGACAGTGTGTAGCTGCATATTGAACCATTCTTCAATAAGAAAAGGATCCAGTTTTTGAGGGATAAAGATGTAAATATTATTTACACCCTGCTGTCCAGAACTTGCATAAAGGTTCAATCATGTTTAAATGTGATAATGGGAGCATAGTAGATATACCTCCAATTAATCAAATTTTTTTTTTCTTTCTTTCACCTGAACCCTAAGTTTACTTATACAAAACTAGTGTTTCTCTAATCACAGCCTTGGTAATTAATATAGCCAGTGACTTTAAGTGTCTGTGTCCGTTTCTTCTGTGGCCCTTTGCTCTTTTGATGCATTTTGCTTGCCCTCTATAATATACCCGCACATACAAAGATAACACTTGGGCTATTTTCTAGTGTCTGAATAGTTTTCTTAAAGGGATATTGTAGTCACTTTAACCATTTTATCTCTTTGTATTGATTATAGTGCCTGGAGTCCCCTGGCACTGGCCCTTCACTCAATGTGAAACCATTTTAGAGCAGTTTAAGTAACTGTCCCTGGCCAGCCATAGTCTTGCCCCTTCTTGAGGTGTGGATAAGGCAGAGATCACACACTTCCTTGTAGTAATACCCATAGGTGTATATAGGCTAAAAGCAGTCAGCAGACGCTCTCGGACAATCACAGCTGCTCAGACTAATACTTCCTCATAACCAGTGCAGCACAGATTGGATAGGCTGCTGGGGACTCTCATTTAGCAATAACACATTAAAAACAACTTAAAAATTGTTTAATGCTGAATCAAATGACGGTACCAGGGGAATCCAGACACTATTACCAGTTTAATGAGATAATTATTATTATTATTATTATTAATGGGTGGACGAACAGACATGTAGACATGCGATGAAGCAGACACAGTTCATGCAGTGTCCCTTTAAGTTCTGCACCGATTTTCAGCATGTTTTTGTCATCAGAAGCATTTCACATTAAAAAAAGTGTGTGTGTGTGGAGCTAAATCTTAAAGGAACACATGCAAACATGCATTCTTGACCCTATAGTGTTAAAACCACCATTTAGGTGGCTTGCCCCCTTAGAAAAGGTTCAAACTCACCTTATTTCCAACTCTCCACAGGTGTGCAGGCGCTGGCCCTGACCCTCTATGGCCTACATCGTCAGAATTGATAATCTCCGCCAATCTGATGCTTTCCCTCTGGGAAAGCATTGGATTGGCTAAGATCGTAAAGGATGCGGGACCAGGGCCAAACGCTGCACTGGTCGATCAGCATCTTCTCGTAGAGATGCATTGATTCCAGAGCATGGAGATACTGAGCAGTGTGCAGCACTGCCCCAGGAAGCACCTCCAGTAGCCGTCTGAGTGGTGGCCACTGGAGATGTCTCTAAGCTTTATGTAAACTCTGCCTTTTCTCTTTTTGCATTAAAAAAAAAAAAAAAAAGCCTGCAGGGACTGACTACACTCACCAGAACTGCATTAAGCTGTAGTTGTTCTGGTGACTGTAGTGCACCTTTAACCATTAATAATTGCTTGTATGTTTACAGCCAATACACTTTTGTAATTATCAAAGTGTTTTGTGTTTAATCAATTCCAAATTAGTAATAATTTATCTATTTTTCTTGCTCTGCTAATATATAAGCATGTTCAGATGTGGTTTTTCTTTACATGGGATATATGTTACATCATGGAAAAAAATTTGTTTTGAAAACATGTTTAATGAGGTATTTGTTTGGCTTTATTAATCCTCAGCCAGTACAAGCACCTGGTGATGGATGATGTTGAAGACTGTGACACTGCTTATTGCTAGGTGACTGTCAAAGAATGAGCTTCATACACAAAAGTAATCTTTCCCTAAGTGTTTATTGCAGGTTGTTTGTAGTAACATTAAGAAAGACACATGCTTAACATGTGATTGTACACCCCTCCTTCAATAGGGTGTATAACACAAGCATATCAAACTCAAAGGCTCACAGTGACCAAATACACAAGGTTTAAGTTTGTGCGGGCCACAAAAACCCCCCTCAAAAAACCTACAGTTTTCATAAACATAGGTTTATTTAGAAACTTGCAGTATAAGTTTGCCTAACTGACACCGAACGTCCTCAAGCACGTAGGGCTTCAAAGTAAAGAAACAAGCAAATTTATTTTAAAGGACCAATATAGTGCCAGGAAAACATACTTGTAACCCTAGATGGGGACCTGGCACCCAGATCACTTCATTAAGCTGAGGTGGTCTGGGTGCCTATAGTGGTCCTTTAAGGAGATGTGCATTTGCATATATCCAATGTTTCAGTCAAACTACATTTACAAATTAAGAAAAGTTTTTGGTAATAGGACTGAAATGGTTAATGTATGCTTTTTTACAGCTGTAAAAAAAAAAAACCACAAATGATCTCTTGTTGATTTTAAAGCCCTATGAGTGTGTTCTTCACTTTGGCCGAGATCATCAAACTTGATGATCTCAGCCAATCCAATGCTTTCCCATAGGAAAACATTGGAAGGCTATAGTACATATGTGTCAAAAAGCTGCATGGCTAATCAGCATCTCCATGGGGAGCGTTCAGCGCCTCCATGCAGACCCAATCTAATACACTGCACCACCTCCCTCCACTCTTATACAGTGCTCCGTCCACTCAATCTTATAAACTGCCCCTTAATCTAATATACTGCCCCCCTCACTCTAATACACTGCCACTTAACAAAATACATTGCCCCTACCCAATTGAATACAATGCCCTCCCCCCAATTTGACACATTGCCCCCTTTCCACTACACTAATACGTAATCTGCCTCTCCCACCACTCTAATGTACTGCCCACTACCTCATCCAATATAATACACTGGATCCCCTCCCTCCTCAATTTAACACACTACACAGGAAAATCCCCCTATTCCCCTACCTTAAGATGAGCTGCCCCTGTCTTCCAGTTCCTCCTCTAAAGTATGGTTATGGTGTCCAGGTGGGGTTGCAGGGGGGAGTTCTGTTCAACCTATTGTCTTGTCTTGTCTATTTGTTTCAGGGGTGGTGTGTGTGTGTGTGTGTGTGTGTGTCCCATAGTTTCCAGGCTTTGATACAGTAGGGCTTCCCTTGTCATGTTTTCCTTGCCATAAGTTTTAGTGGATTCTGTTGTTTCGATGCATTGTTTTATTGTTGGGGGAGTTGTTTGTTTCCACTGTCGGCTGATAATTGTGAGGGCTGCAATTATGATGTGGTACAGTAGGTACTGGATGTGTGTTTGTGGTACCTGTGGGAGCAGCAGTAGTAGAAATGTTTCTGGTGAGTTTGGTAGGCGTACTCCTGTGCACCGAACTGTTAGTGTTAGGACTTGGGACCAGAAGTGTCGAAGTGATGTGCATTGCCACCATATGTGTATCATGGTACCTTTATCTGCTGTGCATCTCCAGTATGTATCGGACGTGTCTGGGAATATGGGTTTTAGTCTCGTGGGTACTAGATACCATCTGTAAAGAATCTTGCGGGATAATTCTGTATGTGTCTTTGAGAGGGTCATTGTTTTTTGTGGGCGCAATATGTTTTGCCATTGTTCTTCCGTGAATTGGCGTCCAATGTCTTGCTCCCAAGATGTATGATAGGAGGGTGATTTAGTTTGTTCCTGCGTGTGTTCTGAGGCGTATATTATGGAGATTAGTTTTGCTGGCTTTGTATTCGTACATATCTTGATTTAAAGTCGTCCAATGTGCGGTTGTTGGCTTTGTTTGTTGTGGTGTTGGTTGGGCTAGCACCCATGACCTCATCTGTCTATAGGAGAAGTTCGCCGTACTCGGCAATTTGAATTCTGTCTGGAGGTCCGGCAGCGTTTTGAGTTTATTTCCTTGCATTACTTGTGATATGTTTTCCATACCATGTCTGTACCAGAGTTTATAGTTAAAATCTGGTATAAGTGAATGTAACGCATATTTTGTAAATTTTAATAGGGAAAAATATATATATATATAATTTTTTTTTTTTTTTAAATTACTTACAAAATGTAAAGGTAGTTGAGGCACAAAATATTAAATTTCGTGTTGTATACATAGACAGTCATGACTGTTGGCTACTTTAATATACAGTTCGTTTGTATCTCTTTGAATCGTATAGATAAATGTTATACTTTCAGTTACTCACAAAATGTATCAAACTCAACTTTGAAGGAGTTGAAGGGAAGTATTGCTTTTTGTTTAGCTATATTAAATATTGTTGTAGTGATTTGTCAAATCTTGTTAAATAGATTTTTAATGTTAATATTTTTCCACACTGGATATAATCCAAAATATAGAATGGTTTCAAACTATTGTTTCATCTGTTAACCAGGTTGACTTAATTTCTGCCCTTGAAAGCTATTTTTATCTGTTAAGCAAGTCACATTTAGATTACACGGCTAAAAAGATCCACAAATATGTACTTTAGAGGTGTATAATTATTTTTCTTTCAGTTTTGTATTTTGGTCTGTTGTCCCACACTTATATTTCTGTATACATGTGATGGTGACTTGTTCTCACAATCTGTTTAAAGATGCAGTGCACATATAAACTACATTCTTTAAAAGATAGACATAAACATGTTTTCTGCTCCCTTGCTCCTACGTTTTGTGGTTGCCTCCTTAATAAGAACATATTTTCAGTTAATCTCTTGTAATGCAAGCTTAAGAGGTGACTGCGTAATTGCAGTTTGTATTGTGTTTTTATGTTGCACTAAATAAACAGGGTGGTAGAACCAGTTCTTCAATATTTTTTATTTTGTTATTTGTATGTAGACAATATCTTTATTACCTCAATCTGACCTGCTGTGTTGTAATTTCCTAATTCTGGTTATATTTAACTCTTTATCTGCCAGAGCAGTGAGTTAGTTTACCATTTGCAGACTGTAATTAATAAGAACACTACGTGCACCATAATAACTTCATTAGAATGAAGTTGTTATGGTGCGAGAATTATTGGTTTCTCCATGTGGTACTGCGGAATATGTTGGCACTTTATAAATGCCAGTAATAAACAAATAAGTGGTCTAGGTGTAGTGCCCCTGTCTCCTTAACCCTGCAATGTAAAACATTTGCAGCTTTAGAGAAATATTGCAGGCAGCCACTAGAGGAGCTTCCTGCTGTTAAACCGTGAAACGGTGCTGTTTGTACATGAGAATGTTCAATGTCTGAAAACCCCCATAGAAGTGCTTTAGGTTCATAATTGACCTTAACTTAAAGGGACACTATAGTCTCAAAGCAACTTTAGCTAAATTAAGCAGTTACTGTATCTAGATCATGCCCCTGCAGTCTCACTGCACAATTCACTGCCATTTAGCAGTTAAATAACTTTATTTATGCAGCTTTAGACACACCTCTATTTATCCAGCCCTATCCACACCTCCCATGGCTGTGGCCCGAACAGTCTGCATGAAAACAAAATTATTTCTTTTTCAATCAAATGTAACTTCCTTTAAAAGTTTTTGTCTTCTGCTCTGTAAATTGAACTTAAAAGGGGCAATATAATCACCAGAAGAACTACAGCTTATTGCATTCCTTCTGGGGAGTAGAATCCGTCCCTTCAGGCTTTTTGCAATAAACACTGTCTTTTCAGAGCCTACAGCCTAGTGCATAGGTAGGCAACCTTCGTCACTCCAGATGTTTTGTACTACACCTCCCAAGATGCTCTCAGTTTTATGACTGTAAAATCATTATGGGAGAGGTCCACAACATCTGGAGCCTGTCCCTATCATAGTGATAGCTCCACTGGCCACTCCTCAGATGGCTACTAGAGGTGCTTACTGGAGGAGTGCTGCACAGTGAGCAGCACTGCTATTCAGTGTCACCACCCTCTGTATGCAGACACTGAACTTTCTCCATAGAGATGCATTGATTCAATGCTGTTTGACTTGTGCTGTTCTGCCTCTGATCTGCCTCCTTGACAGTCTCAGCCAATCCTATGGGGAAGCATTGTGATTGGCTCAGACAGGGCCAGCAGCTGCAGACATGAATTCAGGGCCAGCAGCTGCAGACATGAATTCAGGGCCAGCAGCTGCAGACATGAATTCAGGGCCAGCAGCTGCAAACATGAATTCAGGGCCAGCAGCTGCAGACATGAATTCAGGGCCAGCAGCTGCAGACATGAATTCAAGCAAGATTTTACAATATTTAGGGGGGCTAGATGGTGGTTTTAACACTATAGGGTCAGGAATACAGATTTGTGTTCCTGACCCTATAAAGTATTCCTTTAATTACATACAGGAGGCTCTTGCAGGGTCAAGCAAGCTATTAACAGAGTAGGAGTTAAAAAATTTCTAAATTCAACAGAATTTGCAATAATGTGTAAACAGATGACTCTTTACAGGAAGTGTTCAGGAGGCTGTGTAAGTCACATGCAGGGAGGTGTGACTAGGACTCCATAAACAAAGTGATTTAGTGCATATATGTATACAGTGAATATATGTTTGTATTCCTGACTAGTGATGTCGCGAACGGTTCATGGCGAACTCCGGTCAGCTGACACATCCCTGCCAATCTCGGCAGACCCTCCCTCCCAGACCCTCGTACTTCCTGGACAGCATCCATGTTGAAGGCAGCTTCAACATGGATGCGGTCTGGGAGGGAGGGTCTGCCGGAGATTGGCAGGGATGTGTCAGCTGACCGGAGTTCGCCGCAAACGGTTCGCGACATCACTATTCCTGACACACTAGTGTTCCTGTAACTCCTAATTTACAGAGAATCAAGGCAATGAGAATGCAGGGGCATGATCTATACACTAAAACTGCTTTATTAACCTAAAGTTGTTTTGGTGACTATAATGTCCCTTTACATTGTCTTCATGCTTGTGAAATCAGATCATGATGCTGTATATTTTAAAGTGTGCCCTTGTGGTTTTCTTCTGGTCTTAACAACTTACCTGTATCTCTCTGGGTAAACAAAGGGCAATTTCCTTTAATATAAAATCCACATCTGTGGCTACAACCTCACTGTTCACATTTATTATTATAATCTTTCTTTTTTAGTGGGGCAGACCTTCTCTTAAGAAAAGTCTGTTGTTAATTTGCAAATCTATAATATTGTATACATCTCAGAATGATGTATTGTATCCACCTGAAATCTTTATTTAAAGCATTGTGTTTTGGTTCTGATATTTTAAGATGCATGTTGCTTGTAACTGCCATGGTTTCATAGACATAGCTTGCAAATAACCCCACCACAGGAGCAGCTGGCAGATATTTGAGATATGTACATTAAGCTGTGCAAGTTAGTGTGTTGCATGCATTGGCTTGTGTTCTTATACTGTGCTTTGTAGTGAATGAATCATAGTTATGAATGAATCATAAAACAGGTTGGTGAGGTGTCCTCTGGCTATAAATACCTGCAAGCGTTTAATGACTGTTGGCCATTGAGAAGCTGTCTTCTGCATGCTAACATGAGTTACCTGTACTTCTAAATGCTTAATTTACTTTTCCATTTTCTTATTTTTATTTGGTAGAATGTGTTTTTGCACTGCTGAACTGTTAAGTATTTAAAGCGAAACCTTTACTTAGTACTAAATCTGCTCAAATTACTGCACACTTAGTTCTGCACCAACAGCTGCAGGAATGTGACTCCTGTTAAATGGTTTCCTATATTAAAAGTGCTGATTTGTGTTTTAGAAAGCAGACAATTATTGACATATCTGTTGACTTTTGCTGATGATCATACCTCCTCTGCCTTCTGCCAGGGAGCATATGGAATGTGTTGATGGCATGGGAAGGACCTCTGTCAGATAGTTGATGCCAATCACTGTGTGAACCCTTCACAGTGCAATTTAGAACCACAAACCACTTTCTTCTGTATGTCACATAGTATGAAATGCCCACAATCAGGCTTTTCTACATGGTTTTCAAGGTATTTTATCTTTAAGCCACCATCACCAGCTTTGTTCACTTGCTTGGTTCTCTTAACTCCTCTTAGCGCAGCATATCTCTGTGGTGTTTCCACCTAATTACATCTGTTGCATTTGGACATCCACACACTCTCATTGATTTAGGGCTAGTGGTTTGTTAACTCTTGATTTGTTAGCCCCCCAAAATATCACTTCTCACTTTTGAAATGTTGCTCTAGCCTCTGTTTTTTGGTGGTGAGTAATTATTTTATTCCCCTGGTTTGTCTTGAACAATAATCTCCTCGCCTTACCCATCTACTGCCGAAGTCTCCTGTAATGATTGATTTCATTTTTATTTGTTTTGATTGGAAGCCAACTTGTGACCTGTTACTTTTTCAACTAGAAATGTATCTTTAATTAAAAGTTGTCGCATCATGATCAAAGAGTCTCCAGGTGGCATATCTAGATTTCTTCAAAGTTTTTATCTGTATTTTTTGTAATGACATATTTTGATGTTGAAGGTTAAATACGTTTTTGCCAAAAGTGATTATATTGCATTTGTTTATCTGCAAGAGTTGAGTTCCGGCTCCCAAAATGCCCTTGAAATGACTCTTAATTTAGATAATGATTTTTTTCTGGGTCACAGTTTTGAAATTAAAATGTAAATATTGGTACACTTCTCATATTCCAAATATGTGAACTTATCCTGCATATATGACCTGATTAGCACTCTAGTAAGGCTATAATCTATATATTAATCATGCAATCAAGTGTGATAAACTCACTTTAAGGTTTCAGCTTGTTCTTTGCTTTCTCTCATGGAAATGTGAATGTATTGTTGAGGGTTTTGGTATGGCATAAGCGTAGTTTTGTAATCCAACATTGAAATCTGCTTGTTTAATATCAGTGCTACCTTTATATGATGTGATTGAATTGTTGGCATGTCATTTTGATTTAATATATTATATTTTAAATTTCAGTCCAAAAGAGCTGAATTTAAAAAGTAGCTACTTGGGGAATGCCCAGTTTAGAGAATATTCCTGTGTACGTGATTTTGTAGACTGTAATCTGTCAGTTTGTCACAAATGTGGATCATTTTGAAGGATTTTAATTTCTGAACTAAATGTTTTACTGTGAGCTTCACCTGGTTTATGATATGCCAGGTGCATAAAGTGATAAAAACAGCAATATGAAGTCAATTTGCTTTAGTTTTGAAAGCACTCTGTTAAAGCATCAAACTGCATGTCCAATAAAGCCAAGTCATTTGCAGCCCACTTAACAGTTTGCTATATGAATGTTTGTTTTGTTTTGCATTAGGGATTATTAGATATGTAGGATAACTCTCAGCTTTCTTAAAGTTTGTATTTATGTAGCGCCAACAAATTCCACAGTGCTGTACAATAGATGGACTAACAAACATCAAATTGATAACAGACTAGTTGGACGCACAGAAACAGGAGAGGTTGAGGGCCCTGTTCAATGAGCTTACTTGCTAGGAGTGTGGTAAAGTGACACAGTAGGTAAGGGTAGGAGTAGAGAAATAGATTGGTAGAATAGTATTCACTGAACACTTAAAGTGTTTTTTTTTTTTTTTGTTTTTTTTTAATGACAGTTGTAGGAGAGGAATCAATTTAGAGCTATTAACAGTTTGATACGCTTTCATGAAGAAGTGAGTTTTTTTTTTTTTTTTTTTAATTTTGAACAAATGGAGACTGGGTGAGCATCTAACAGAGAAGGGAAGGGAGCAGACCTGGAGGAGTCTTGAACGCGAGCGTCAGAGGTGGGAGTACAAACAGAGGATAGACTTATAATAGATAATGTAGTATAATACGATATAGATAATAAGATGTATTATATTGTATCTTCCTTACCGTATCGTTGGTCATAAAGCCATTTTTGCACTTGTTAACGGGATAATTTAAGCATCATTGCAAAGGTTACGGTACAGTATTTGAAGACTAAAAGTGGTAAACGATTTAAGTTCCAAAAAAATTCACACCATTTTCCACGTTTAAGTGTCAAATGAGCAATGCTTTATAATGTGGTAAACGTTAAAAGTGCCTGGTAGTCCTCTAGTTCAAAAGAGCGTGTAAAATCGTAAACGTTGTAAGTGCCAGATATGTGCAAAAAAACTTTTTTTTTTTAATTTCCAAACATTTTCGCTTTTGGCACTTACTACATTTACCACTCTTAGTCCTCATTTGCTGAGTGGCTTAAAGGCACACTCTCTGCACCATATTAATGCAGTGATTCTGGGTTAAGATTCCTGATGTTCCCTGGCACCATCTTGCTTTCAAGTGATTTAACACTGAAGATGTATGCCCGAATGCCTCTCCTTCTGTGTTCATACTACTGCAGAAACATTAGCTCTTGCAGCATAGGGATGGCAGTAACAGGCTGATAGTGTGAGATGACTCTCTTTGACTATCACTGGCTGCCTGTGGTGATTACAATTGTGATTATTCTCAGGCCAGTGATAGGAGCATCAGCTAAATCTCTCCACCTGGTACTGTTCCACACCCTGACAGAGAAGGAGTTTTTACTTAATGTGTTATTTCACTTTTATCCAACTTCTGTGTGGTACATTCTAGTAAAAATGTTGTACTAGTTTTTTTGTTTTTTTTTGTTGCCTCGCCACTTTATCTTGGGGAAAATGGTGACAACTGGCTAAGATGGAAGTGGGTTTTTTTGTGTTTTTTTTCATTTTTATTTGCAAAATATGTGCACATGATTTTATCGCATACTGTAATTTCAGATGCATTTTTGCACCTTATATGCTTCATCTCTCTTAAAGGCTTTGGTAATATAATGTACCTGGCCTAAAAAGGCTTGTAAATTGTACAGGGAGTGTTCCTTTAATTATTTGCAAAAGGCAGATATTGATAACTGTTAAAGGGAACCTGTCATGGGCAAATCTCCTTTTTTTTAATTTTATTTTTTTAAAAGCTTGAAATTACTTTTGTACATTGTGCTGGCAATTTGCTAGCAAAAATGTATAGATTTGGAGAAAGAGTGTGTGTGTGTGTGTGTGTGTGTATATATATATATATTTTTTATTTTTTATTTTATTTTTTATTCTTTAATCTTTTGTTTAAAAAGAAAAAAAATACTTTGCTCTAATGCATATCAAACAGTTACAAACGCAACACTGAATTATCCAAAAAAAATGGCCATTTCCACCATCAGGGCAATCATTAATGGAAAAAAATATGTATTCCTAACAATGTAGTGTTGGACTAGCTGTTTAAGTCCCCGACCCTTTCTATGGGGAGCATTCAGCTGAACGTAGGTACTGCATGCAGTGCAGCACTGAAATAGAAAGTACCTCTAGTTGCGATCTGACAGCCGTTAGAGGTGTTACTAGGCAGCAATGTAAACACTGCCTTTTCTCTAAAAAAGACCGTGTTTGTTAAAAAGCCTACAAGGACATGCTATAGACACCAGAACCATTATATTGAACTGAAGTGGTTCTGTGGTTCTGATGTCCCAGTCAACTGGAATGGTTATGAATAAATATGGAAGAGTAATTTTTGCATATTTTTTTCAACAAAAGGTTAAACAATTAAACAATAAAGAATTTTGTCACAAAACATTTGCTTATATTGACTTAGGGGGCCAATATTGGTAGAGGGCACTGTAAGTGGTGATAGTTTCCCTTTAAATGGAAAGTCAAAGCACCAAAACTACTTAATTTAATAAATATTTTTGGATCACTGGGTTTGTCCTTTTGCTAGGTACCTCGACACAGCTAGTGGCTGACAGATACCACCATCTTGTTGCTACCTATTTGAAGACTTTTTGAAAAATCTCCATGTTTGGTGTTATCATGCACAGCATCACAACTGTGAACACTGTTAATGCTTCTCAAGATAACCCTGACTTAATCCAGCACTTTATGCTGAAATTATACTTGTCTGGAATTCAAAAAGTCCTTTAACCCCTTAAGGACCAAACTTCTGGAATAAAAGGGAATCATGACATGTCACACATGTCATGTGTCCTTAAGGGGTTAAAACTAATTTGACAGCTTTGGCCTAAATTTTATAAAATGTGAAAAAGTCAATTCTGTTTCCTGTTTGGCTACTTTGGTCTTAAATTTTAAAATCCATGAATTCCCAGCAATTTCCATCTTAATAACCCTTAATTCTTCTCAGGGGGCCAGGGGGGAGGACATTAGGTCGCCCCCACCCGCCACTCAGGTAAGTAATCTTTACTTAGTATTAGTAAATTTGGCTGAAAGACCAATTTGAGTCTTAAAGCCTTTTAGTAGATAGCTCCCTAATACCGTGGGAATTAGGGAGTTATCTACTTATTCATTCCGGTCATTACACTGACTGGCTGAGTAACTTACATTTTATATGAATGTGTGTTACTTGATTGTTGTAAGTGTTGCAAATGCTTACAGCTGAATCCTGGCTATGTTTGTATACTTTTTATTTAAAATTGTATACAATGTAACATTCTCCTTCTTTCACTGGGTAAGTATATTAGCACTTCGACACTTCGTAAATTCGGTAATTTCGGGACATCGGCACTTACGAATGTCCGAATTGCCCGAAATTCGTCCGAAACAAATTGCACATGTCTAAGGAATAGGAAACCATCAGATTTAAAACATATGCTGGGAACAAAACGTGAGAATGTATTCTGAGTCTTTTAGTCGAGTAATGGAAAATAAAAGGCAATATTTTAACTTCAGTCTCTAAACTTGTATAGGTTTATTTAATATACACAAAATGGCAATTGTAAAGCAAATTGATAGGCTAAAATAGAAAGCATTTCTTTCTGCTAAAAGTATCCACAACACGGACTCTTCTTCCTACACTTTTCCTCTCGGTTTCTCTCTGCCCCCTTCCTTGATATCGCTTTCCCCTTGTTTTCTTATTTTATAAAGAGAAAAAAATTACTGATGGCTTGTTCTTCCTTTCCGCACATAGAAGTACACTACGTGTGCATTCTAATATTATCATGTTTTAACTACTTGTGCATGTAGAACGATATCAGTCTGTGATTTGCGCTACACAGTATTTTACGTAGCTAATGTTATTTCGTACTTTCTACTCTTGATGTACTCTATCATTACTTGCTGTCATTGCAAAAATAAAGCTTTTTTTTTTTTTTTTAATTAAGCATTTCATGGTGTGACTACAACAGAGTTTAAGTATTTTTACAAATCTACTATTTTGGTCTACATTTTGTCTGTGTTTAGTTCACTACAATTTAGTGATAGATGGAAACTTTGATATAGGGTTAATATAACTTTTTCATCATGAAAACTGTAATTTACAGATTGCTACAAGTACTCTGAGCTACCTTGCTAAAGGGACACTATAGTGACCAGAACAACTACAGCTTATTGTATTTGTTCTGGTGAGTAGTATCATTCTCTTCTGGCTTTTTTTGCTATAAACAATCTTTTCAGAGAAAATAAATAAAAACTAAATTAAAGCAGAAAAGGCACCTGATACGCGTTTGATGCAAAACATAATTTGGTGCTATCAGTGGATGAACGATGGCTTCAAACTATTTGAAGAGGGCCCACCATGCTGTTTCCTCCTATTCAGTGGATGCAGCCACATGTAGCCTCGTTTTGACTACGAAACCTTTTGTTTTTTAATTCTGTTGCAGGCGTTTATCTGTTTCATTATAAAAGTCCTGACGAGACTGAAATGTTTTCAATGTGCTGCAGAATGTGTTGGCTTTTGCTAAAAAAAAAAAACTGCCTTTACTTTCACGGGATTCAAGTCATGAGTGCTGTCCTTCAAGATTTTTTATATACATATATACTATATCAGATGAAATAGGTTAATCCATGGAGTTTTTATAAAATACCCATTTTCCCCAAGTTGTGACTGATCTTTCAGTATCAGATGATTATATTTTGTCTTGCTTCCAGCAATTAGAAAAAAACTTATTTGAGTGGAATTAGGGAGTGTTATCTTTTAAGTCACAGGTTAAATTGGCTCACCAGAATAATTTAATTGGGAGGTTTAGGTTTAACCGGTTCTTACACAATATTGAGGAGAAGAAAACTGTGTGTGTTTCACATGTATGTAACCTATCCAACAACAAGAATGAAGTAATTGAGTTTATCAATACCCTATCATTGTTAATTTTGGTCACTATTGTCTTGCTTTACATATCCAGCTGTGCAATCATTGGGTGAGTCATTCCATTTTGATATATGATCTTTAAAGTTTGCTATATTGTAATGTACTGTTTTGTCAGTGGTCTTTGAGGTTAATGGAGTTAAAAACCCAAGAACAGGCAGGTATAGAAAACTCAGTAGGATGTTCATTTTTACTACTGCTATTCAGCCTTGCAAGGATATATAGGCGTAGTTCCGGTTTACGAGGTTTTCTTGAATAGTGCTTAGTAGTGGGAGAAAATTTTGACGGTATAGTTCTGTTTGAGTGCATGGCACCCATACTCCAAGGTAGCACATTTTATCAGTGCACCAATGGAAGGGTAAATCGGTCTTGAGTTGTGCACTTTCTTCATCCAAGATATTAATTTTCAGGATCTCACATTTAGTGAGATTTAGTTTAAGTCCAGATAATTTACTGTACATCTAGAATTCCTGTAGAAGTGCTTGAAAAGTAGTTTGGGGTTCTTCCACAAAGAACAGCATGTCGTCTGCATATGCAGACACCTTGTGTTCCATGCCCTTCTATCGAAACTCCTTGACAGACTGCGTGTTTGGAATGGTGGTCAAAGAGGACTCTAGGGTTAAAGCAAATAGCAGGGGTGACAAGGGCATCCTTGTCTGGTGCCATTATGTATTTGGAAGCTGTCTGTGAGCGACCCATTGACCCGTATTTTCGTATTTGGGTTATGGTAAAGCGTCCCAATCCAGGAATACCCTGCTGAATCCCAATTTACGAAGCCATCATGAAGTTCCAGTCTACCCAATAAAAAGCTTTCTCTGCATCTGTTGAAAGCATGAGAAGCCTTCTACCCTCCCTTCTGGCTATATGTTGAATAGAGAACATCCTCAGTGTGCAGTCTCTTGCCTCCCATCCTGGTATGAATCCAGCTTGATCCGGTTGTACCAATTTTTGGCATATAGGGTTGCATTCCCGTCGCCAAAATCTTGAAGAGTATCTTCATGTCTACATTGAGTAAGGATATTGGGCGGTAATTCCCACAACTGTCTGGATTTTCCCCTGGTTTTGAAAGCACAGTAATGGTAGCTGCTAGTGATACTTTGTGTAGTGATGACCCTTTCGTTAATTTATTTAGCGCTTTAGTTAACCTAGGGACTAAGATGCTTCCAAATTTTTTTTTATAGTATCCCACTGACAGTCTATCCGGGCCAGGTGCTTTACCATTTTTAGCCATTTATAGTACTGAATGTACTTCGTCTTCTGAAAGGGGGGCATCAAGTATTTCCGCCTCAGCTCGTGCAGTTGTGTCCGGAGCAAACCCATGCTACTATTGATCTATGTCTCTTGAAGACCAGTTTGACTCAATAGGCTGCCATAAGTTAACAATTTTAACCTATAGTAATGTTGATTTTTAATCTCCAGGCTATAAATGGAGGTTATAAAGAGGATTTTGTGGACTAGGCACTAAAAGCATGTCAATATCCTATACTGCCTCCCTTCTTGCTTCAAGAACCATGCATATTGTGTTCCACATATATACACAATGCAATTTAAAAGAACACTGTTTATATTATGTTATAATCTTTATAACTGAACTTGCACTTTACACTTTACTAATTTGCTTGCTGTGCTAAATTCCTGCATGCGGGAAGGAGCTGTAAGTTTTGAATACAATTGTGTACTAATCAAGTAACTGCCTTGTTGATTATTTGGTACAGTTGATAAAAGCTCCCACTAGTTGCAATAGTAGATTAACTCATTCGGGTTTGAGACATCCATTCACCGTGATTGGACTGAAAGTAGTCTATTTTGACTGGGTGTAAAATAAATAAATAAATATATTGGCTACGTTTCTAAAATGATTATTAAATTATCTAAAATATCTTTCAAAATGATCAATGTAGCTCTGTTACCCAAAATGCTACATATTTGTTCCTTAATCTCAGAATTTCCTGCCTTGTCATCAGCGGATTCCTCTAGCCTTATCTTAAAGGGACACTATAGGCACTGTAACAACTCTAACTTAATGAAGCACTTTTGGTGTATACACCATGCCCTTGCAGTTTCACTAGTAAAGTTTCTGCCATTTAGTAGTTAAACCACTTTGTTTATACAGCCCTAGTCACACACCCCTCCATTTGACTTTCACAGCATTCCTATACTTTTCCTTTAATGAAAGTTCTAATGTTTAAACGTAGTTTAATTTAGAATTTATCTCCTGCTCTGTTAATAGACTTCAATGTCCAGCAGGAGCCTCCGGTATGTGATCAAAGTTCCATTTATAGAGCAGGAGATTAAAAACTTATAAAGCAACTGAACATCTGAAAATGATTTTTTTTTTTTTTCATACAGCCTGTGCCAATCACAGCTGTGGAGGCTAGGGCTGCATGGACAGAAACAAGTTATGTAACTCCTAAATGACAGATAACTGAGCAGTGAGTCTGCAAGGGGCATAATCTACACACCAAAACTGCTTCATTAAGCTAACATTAACTATAGTATCCTCGTAAAAGTAGTGTCACTGGAACCACTACAGCATAATATAGTAGTTCTGTTGACTACAGCCTGTCTCTGGAGACTTTTCAGAGAAAAGGCAGTGTTTACATTGCGGTCTAGTAACACCTCTAGGTGCAGTCACTCAGACAGCCACTAGAGGTGCTTCCTATCTCAATGCTGAACAGTATGAAGCACATATGTTAAGTGTCTCCTTGCTCCACATTGAGGCTCTGAACGCTCCCCATAGAGATGCGACAAGATCAGCGCAGTGAGGGAGAAAAGGTAAGTAAATTTACCTTTTCACTGCATTCTGAGGGGAGCCGGTCACCTAAACAGCCACTCCAGCACTAGTGTTAGGAATACATGTTTGTATTCCTAACACTGTAGTGTTCCTTTTAAGTTTTTTCTTTTTTCTCTTCTTTCTTCATTGTACACACCATGAAGGGTAGTTTTAATCCAAGGACCAATAATAATGGGGTTACTCCAATTATTAGAATGACTACTGCCATTGTTGTTGTTATGATGCCAGGAGTACACTGGTCCAGTTTCCATATAATGGACAAGCAGTTTAGAAACAATTTGCCTTCTTTACTTGGCCTCGCCAGTCTCCGTTGCAGAATTTACCTACAATATTTTCATAGCTATAACAGCTTGGGGGGTCGTGTGTGTGTGTATATATAATTAATCTTCTAGTATATCGTGGTGTCTTAGATAAGCAGGTAGCTGCATGTAGAGTGTCTTGACAATGATTATATTGGTTGGCATAGTTTTTGTTTTTAAAATAAATGTTTAAATGTTTTCAAGTATGCACAGACTTGACTGTAGCCAGCACTAGTGTCTGCCAGTCTGTATTGTATTCAGCTATTGTATTCTATAAATAAGACGTTTTGTGTGTGCGTCAGTCCTGTCCACGAGCCTTGCCCTAAAAGTTCCTTGCCTAGGGTTTTATTTCATCTATTGCCCTCCTTACTGTATTATATAATCACCCTGACGGTTCAGTGCAATAATATTGCCAAATGAATGTCATTCTATTTTCCAAAACAACGGATATTGCTGAAATTGTACTTGTCATTTGTGAACTTGTTATGCAACAAAAAAAGTTACTTGCCACTGCAAACCTGGAGAGTAAATGACATAATCACCGGGGGCGAGTTTCTTCTTGCTAGTAGCTTGTGGCGAGTACAATTTTGAGCTCTGGTATGTGGTTTGTATATAATAGTGTGCGTGTGGCAGAAAGGAACAATGTTATAAACTCTAACACTCCATGTATACTACTTTTGAAACTGACCCAGAATGGGACACACTTCCTTTTGATTAATGCCACAACCATTTTTGATCAATGTCTAATTATCTTTATCTTTAAAGTTGCCTGCATACCGAATTTATAGTGAAAGTTTTACATCCTCTCCAGCATCCAGTTGAAAATCAAGCTAAAGGTTATTCAAATATCTTCAAAACATTTTAATCGGAAATGTAAAATAGTATTCAGGGAGACCTGCTTTTTTCCTTTTGCTGTGGATTTCACTTCCTTTTAGAAAGGAAACTTTTTTTGCCCTTATGCTTCTTTTGTAAAAGGAACATGTGAATATATCGATTGTCATGTTTATTGGAAATGATTAATTTAGAATCTAAAATGCTCTTATTAAAGTACACTGGAAACCCTCTCAAACATGCCTGTTGCTCAGTTGCTGGCAAAAGTGGTAAATGATGGAAATTATGGATATGTGAGCAGAGAAATTGAATACAAATGTCAATAATTCATATTTGAATGGAATGCATTGTGTTCTCATGTGTTTGTCTCTGTCTCTCTGTTGATAGATATATAGACTTTGGCCCTTTGCTCAGCTCAACAAATACAAACTGAAAAGTATACACTCACAAATCGAAACTTCAGAAAATATATGTAGACACCAATAGTGCCTAAAAGAAGTTTATAAATACATTTTTAAAAATACTCATGTTAATAACAAAAAATAACCTGTTTGGTCATATTTATAAGAGAATAAAAACTGAAAGAAAAATGTAAAATACAACCGATAAGATCAGGTCCACATGAATAGTGACTTAAACAGCATGCATAAATTTAAAATAATACTCTAACAATTCCTTAACATACATTACATATAACTATATGCTGTGTGCAATGTGCACTCTACAGAAATTAACCTTTTTCAAACTAATGGAAATGAACTGTATGTTAATAAACACAGACTTTCTAATCATTATACATGCTGACCCGTCACGTAGGCAAATTTTTATGTGTAAAAACGTTGGCACGTGTACAGCTCTTAAGGGCTTTGAGTAGCTGTTGTACGGTTACTTTATTGCATTATTTTTTTTTATTTTTTTTCAAGAATGGCAACTTTTGGTTTTGTCGTTATTTGTGTTTTTTTTGCTATTGTAAATAAAGTATTGATACTATTTTGGAGATTTGGTGTGCATAATTTTGTGCATATGTATACATTTTTTTGGGACTCTCTGTGGGTCTGTATCTGTCTGTCTGTCTCAGAGTATATTTGTGTTCATTCTTAAAGAGCAACACCTTTACTTTTTTGTTTTTAAATTTAAAATATTAAATTAAGTAATTAAGCAAATGTGCTTTTAAGCACTTCGTATGTTTCTAAAAGTATACATACACTTCTATTAAGAGGCATCCCAACATGCTTAAACCACAAAGGCTATTGCTGCAAAGAAAAAAAACAAAGCCCAAAATGTATCCCCAATGTGGCAAAATATTAAACAGGCCTAAAACAATGTTACAAATTCGAAAAAACTCAAATCTACTGTCTGTTAACCATAGCTGGTAATTATTGCAGTTTCTTAAAAACTGCAATAATTACCTGCTCAGGGTTAAGGGACCTGGGACAGTGCACCCAGACCACTTCAATGAGGGAGAGTGGTCTGGGTGCCTATGTAATCCATTTAATGATATTTCTATGATATGCAGTCAGTTACAATAGAGAGTAACGTAGCATCCTGTATTAAATAGTGTTTCATTTGTTTCCTCCATTATATGGCGGGGGAATTATGCAAACCTTTCCTGTTTATTTCTCTGTTTAAGACACCATATGTTGCACCGCTACAGTCTGTAATAAATGCTGCCGCCAGACTGATTTTCCTCTCTAGTCTGTTATCTCACCTCTCCCCTCTGTCAGGCCTTACATTGGCTTCCTGTATCCTATAGGAGTCAATTCAAGGTACTAATTCACACCTATAAACCACTGAACAATTCTAGCCTCTTGTATGTTTTCACAGATCCATAGGTATGCCCCTTCTCGGTCTCTCCACTCTGCCCGTGACCACCTCCTATCCATTGCTCGCACCCGTACGGCCAATTCACGCTTGCAGGACTTCTCGCAGGCAGCTGCCTACAGCCATCAGACTCTCCGCTAGTCTTCAATCGTTTAAGAAGTGTCTTAAAGGACCACTCTAGGCACCCAGACCACTTCAGCTTAATGAAGTGGTCTGGGTGCCAGGTCCAGCTAGGGTTAACCCATTTTTTCATAAACATAGCAGTTTCAGAGAAACTGCTATGTTTATGAATGGGTTAAGCCTTCCCCTATTTCCTCTAGTGGCTGTCTCATTGACAGCCACTAGAGGCGCTTGCGTGCTTTTCACAGTGAGAGCACGCCAGTGTCCATAGGAAAGCATTATGAATGGTTTCCTATGTGACCGGCTGGCTGCGCGCGCATTCAGCCGACGGGGAGGAGAAGAGGAGGATCGGAGGAGGAGAGCTCCCCGTCCAGCGCCGGAAAAAGGTAAGTTTTTTTTACCCCTTTCCCCCTTCCAGAGCTGGGCGGGAGGGGGGCCCTGAGGGTGGGGGCACCCTCAGGGCACTATAGTGCCAGGAAAACTAGTATGTATTCCTGGCACTATAGTGGTCCTTTAAAACCCATCTCTTTAGGAAAGCTTATGGCCTCTGCTAAAGGGCAGCATTCTACTCTCCCAGCTCTGCTTCACTCCCACCTTATTTGATTGCTATTTCCTGTCCTATTGTGTTTTACACCCCACCTTCTATAGACTGTAAGCTCGTTAGAGCAGGGTCCTCTTCAACCTATTCAACCTGTTCCTGTAAGTTTTCTTGTAATTGTCCTATTTATAGTTAAATCCCCCCTCTCATAATATTGTAAAGTGCTATGGAATCTGTTGGCGCTGTATGAATGGCGATAATAATATCCCTTTCTCAGTGCAGGACATCACGTGTTCTGCATCCTCAGATGGATAAATGCTCCAAAAAAATTAAAATAAAAAGAAATTAAAAGGGAAAAACCCAACGTACACATCTGGTTACTGCTCTGTAAAATCCCCAATTAGGGGACATCCATCCATGCTTCCTTTAGATCAGTTATATCGAAAAGAGAGCTCGAAATTTACTGCAGTTTACCTTTGAAAATGTAAATAAAATCATGAACTCTCAAAGACCATACAATGAGATATAACTGTATTTTCAGATGGTCCTGTTCATGTTTGTATTTTAGGTTAATGCAGTAATGCCTTAGAGGGGGCTTCATTTTAGTGGACACGTGTTAAGCTTTGCTTTTAGCTGCGTGGCACGGACTCTCTTCTACATACACCGTTTTTTGCTCAGAATGTGAAGCTCACTGTCTGGCTACAGAGCTGTTACAATTTTAGTCTTTGTTAATTTTAAGGAATCCTGGCTTCACTTGTGTAATGCTAGACTGCTTACATACAGAGTGAGCCTGTGAGACTAATTATAAGGAAGTTATTTATAAACTGCACTATTTAACACGGTGTAAAGTATGCTGCAATGTGTTACTTATGTATGTCCATGTCTGTCTCGCATCCATTAGTTGTTTCTTGCTTCTATACACAGCAGCACATGTGTACAAAGTGTGGAGAGCCAAATAAAATCCTTCATCCGCTTCCCTCTTCCTCTTCCCTTTTTCTTTGGCTAAAGTTTCAAAAGTTCATAGCTTTCCCCATCAATTTGGGGGGCTGCATGTATGCATATATGATCTATTGAATATGCTTTGCGTGTCTGTTAAATGGACTCTGCAAGTACTCACACACAATGTTTAGGTTAGGTTACCATTTAGGTATGCTAATCCATATACAATACAAATTTCTGGTATCCAGCTGATCAATCTATAAGGAAAAAAATAGGCAAAACGTGCGATATTGTCTTGAAATTTATACAAAGACACTTTTTGGTTACCCTCACAAGATGAGTGCCTTCTCTGGAAATAATGGTGGGGCTACATTTCCCTCTCGATTGTCACCAGTTCAGGAATCCAAGTTGAACCAAACTCAAATTGAAGATCTAAAATGTGTTTATTTGGCAATAAAATAAACCAAAAATAAATACATAAAAAGGTCCTATGCATTTTGTTCTCCACAGAGCATTTCCTCCAGGACCAATGAGTAAAACAAAGAATAAAATCAATATAATGCAAATGCCAAAACATACGGTTAAATGGACATTGCAGGTACTCGCATGTACAATGTTTAGGTCACTATTTAGAAATGCTCTTTAACCTTGACAATCTGACCTTCAATGAATTGTACTTCAGGGTTTCCCAGTAGGGAGATGCAAATGGCGTAATCCTCAGTATAGTATTCTCATAAAAAGCTGTGGCAACCTCATCACTTCCTGACACCTGGAACCTTACCTGGGTTTGTAAATACTCACTGCAGATGCTGCAAACCCAGGAACTTGTGAATCTGTTGAATGTAATTTTGTTTTTGTATTCAGGGTAATCAAGATGTGGACCCCTTGCTCACGGTGCCTAGAGAGATATCAGCTATGCCTCACTGATGATACCTTACAAGGTTGAAACGATCATCTGGGGTTGCCGTATCTCTCGTGCAGAGGGAATTTGCTGGCATTTTGGATCTGGACTGCCCGTATGGGTGGGACCACTCTGATATACTTCAGAGATCTTCTCTCTGTAATGGCACAAGTTGAGCTAAAACCAGCGAGATCTGAGCAGGGATCCACTAAAGGGCAGGTTAATTGAGCTGTTGCCCGTTCTCACCTCTCTTGCTACCTATTTTTGAATGCATTTATAATTCAATAGCAGTGTGGTCTCATTGAGAATCTGTAAATACCTCTACAATCCCGTAGCATGCCTGTCATTGCTAGACCTAAATGTATTTATTAACTTTGAGCAAGTTGAGGGCTTGCAAAGACACTCTGGCTCTTCAGAATCTGTATCTCCCAGTACAACACTGACCCATTTTGTACTGGTCTTGGCCAGTTTCTTGTGCTTGGAAACAAGCGCTTTGAAAGGCAGCAGTGTAAATGTATGCTTTTGTCAAGCTGTATTGCCAGTATTTTTACCTTCTAATATTGGACTCCGTCTTTAAACCTATGCTCCTGTTTATCCAATCCTTGCTGGATTTTATTTTTTCTCATACACACAGATCTGGTGATTGTGCTATGTCTCTGCCTGAAATCAGGTATTCCTTCTCAAAGTACAGAAAGTGGTCTGATACCTGATCTACCTAAAAGCTCCTTTTGCTAAATGTATTCGGTTTCATTCAGTATGCTCTTACGTACAATGATAGTGGTATTAACTGTTTCAGTGTCGCAGAGCTGTACAATAAATGCTTTATTTGTAGTCCCAGATAAAAAGGACTTCTGTGTGCAACACATTGAGTGCTGACGTGAACTGTTCAATTCCTGGAGAGTAGTATGTGCCATGACATGGGTCTACTGCCAAAATTGTGAACATGTTTTATAAACTTTATGCAAATAGAGGAGAGTTCATGGCCAAATAAAAGTTTGTTTATACTGGTATTAATGTCAAAGGGACACTCTAAGCTTGAAAACCACTATGTCTTAAACTAGTGGTTGTGGTGTAAACACTCTGTCCCCACACTCTGACAAATGTAAGCATTGTCATTTCTTAGAAATTGCAATGCTCTAATTTGTCACGAAGGATGCCTTTGGCTGTCAGACAGCCACTACAGGCACATCTATGCTCCAAGACCAGGATGGTGCTGGATAAACTGGCATTTTTATTTAACTTTCGTTCTAAAGGGAGGATCCAGAATATATGCTGAAAGGAACGCACTGTTATAAATGTTTGTTTCTTTGACTAATATATTGTGGTTTTGACCTTATGAAAGTTTGTTTTATACTAAAAAAAAATTTGATCGTGCAATAAAAGCACCAAAAATATCTTTATCTCCATCCAAAGTTTTAAGTCTTGTACTACGAGGCATGACTTAAGTCGCTTGTCGCTGCAAGCCAAGAGGCTCCATGGCACACTTACTGGGGCTAACTTTTTTTCTTTTCAAAGACTGGTTACATTTTTGAGCCCTGTAATGTGGATGTATAGATGGACAAGATGAGTGCCTTCCCTGGAAATAATGGTGGGGCTACATTTTCCTCAATTCTGCCAATCCATTGCTTCTTGGAGATCCTTCCACACACACAGTCTGACATCAGCATAGTTCAGATATTCTATTTCAAGGTCACCCTAGGACAGGAGTAGACACTTTTTGTGGACTACATCTCCACTAATGTTTTGCCAGCATTATAGCTGTAAGAGCGTTATGAGAGATGTAGTCCGCAATATCAGGACTACTGAAGATTGCGTACTCCTCTCCTAGGACATCAAGAACATTACTACAGTAATGCAAGCAGAGGGTTGCAAAAAACATGCAGCATCTGAAATGTATTTTTATTTTTTTTATCTCTGAGAAGTAGGCTACAATGGATAAATGTCAAATGAATATGAAATGCAAGCATCTACCTTGTATAGTCTTTGTGTAATCTTTGACTGTACAAGATTCCGTTTCCTGTATTCATTGAGCAGGTTTTGTCCCTTTTTAAAAGGTTGTTAGTTCAAAATGAGGTCTAGATGCTTATATATAAACAGATTCCATATTTGAGGATTAAATATTTGGAATTATATCCTTGATGGCAGAGGAATCGTTACTGAGATGTGCAAGTAATATAATTGATTACTGGTTTGCACTTGTTTATGTACAGGTTAATAAATGTTTAAAATATTTTTGCTCATGGTTTTACAGATGTGATATTTGTATTATAAATACATTTTCACTTGAACATTTTTAGATCACAAATTGACAATGAGAATCTCAATTTAAAAAGGACACTATAGGCACCAGAACCAGACCTACTGGTTCATGTAATGGTTCTGGGCCATGGAGACAGAACCTGCAGCTTCAGCAGTGTACATTCTGCATATTCTGAGAACTGATAATTCCACCTCTATTGGCTATTATTCTGCCACTAAAAGGGCTTCCTAGGTTCAGTTATGCAAAAGTTGCAGGAACCGACTTCCAGCGTCTGTACTCTGCATTGACCTGCTTAACCCTCCGCATTGAGATTCAGGGGAGTAATTTTTTTATTTTTTTTCTGGGAGATGTTATCCAAATAGGTAGAGCAACACTTGAGTGTTGGGAATACATGTTTCCTAGAGGAAAGAAACGAGGAGAAAAAAACCCACCTATAAAATGTAGCCATATTTTGTGTATAGGTAAGCGCTTGGGAGGTCTGTCTACAGATTCTTTGGTAAACATAAAATTGCCAAATACATGAAGTTCTGTATTTTATTAAAATGTGACTGCATATTCTGCAACTCTGTCCAGCATGCAAATGAGACATACAAGTAGTGATCAAACGAGGGTATGAGGGCCCTGCTCGATACAATCCATACTGTCTAAAGGAAGCAAGATCAAATTAATAACACAAAAGGTAAAGTACAGTGTATCCAGAAGGACAGCTAGGTTGCTAGGGTATTACTAATGGTATCTAGAAGGAAAGACTAATTGTGAACTGCTAACAATATAGTATTTGCAGAAATGATAGGATCTACGGTTGAATGGAAGAAGGTGAAATTGGATTGGAGATAGGGATATATTCGTTTTCCATTACTTATCAAGTTGAGCAGCTACTATCAAAGACCTGTTTCTCTCTCTTTCAGATCTATATTGAAAAACACACGCAGGTGCGGCTAGCCTGCAGTTAGCGATTTAGTCCTGAAGCAGAGTTGTATAAACAATCAAAACTCAAAATATGCGGGATACAGCTGAGAACAAAATCTAAAAGGAACATAAAATATATAGATAAGTACAGTTGACACAATCAATTATGCGCTCTACATAGATGTACTCACGAGATTGCGTAGAATATATCGCTCTTGGGGTGTCTCCCGCGCTATAATGGGGGGCTAGTAATCCCTTCCTATGATAGGGAGTAACCGGTGGTATTCAGGACTTCAAACTGGTGATGGTAGAAAAATGTTCCACCACGGTATTGTTAAATTGAAGAGCATTAACTAATCGTTGGAGTCCATATAAAATAACACAATATGTATCTACTAGAAGAAAAGGAATATTAGTAACCATGTAAAGATTAAACTTTTAATAATAAATATGAAATGCAATCTGTGTATTTATGCTCCATGAAGCAGAGTTGTGCAAGATAGTTGCATGACTGGCACTGTATACATCACAGGAAGTCTGGTTTCTGATTAAAATGTAAATGGCAAGTATAAATAGAAATGTCCCCATTGTGTGGTAGTATCCTTTGAAGCAATCCTCAGATCATTGAGTGAAATGACTACTTCACATGATGGATTACATTTTATACTGTAAATGACTCTTGTGTGTGAGGAAACCTGTGATCCATGCTCCCAGTGTAATCCCTATAGTAATACTAGTGATATCACAGCTGGGATGCATTGCGACTAGGCACAATCAGAGAACCCATGTCTTATAGAACAGGGGTAGACCACCTTCGGCACTTCAGATGTTGTGGACTACGTCTCCCATGATGCTCTTAAAGCCATAATGCTGACAAGCATGATGGGTGATGTAATCCACAACAACTAGGGTGTGGAAGGATTCCTATATATGCATTAACCTATAGCGCTGTATGTCTAGGGGAATATTCACTAAGCATTGCATAGGTAAAATTCATTCTCAATCACCTATCCATTTTATGGAAAGCAAAAGTGTGTTTAGAAGAGGCCAGTGTAAATCGGTCCATGCTGGAGTATCAATAACCTCTTTGAAATGTAGTCTAAGCACTACCACTACATGCATTTGTAGTGGTGATGGGGCTAGTAGGCTGTGGAAGCTGTCCCTGCTTATGGATCAAACTTTCTTAAACAGTTTGACCAAGTTTTCCCATGGCACCTGCAGCTTGACCAATGTTTATTGAATTGCTGAGGCAGACCTTTTATTTGCAGTATCAGTTTCATCCATGTTGAGGTAAAAATTGACTGGCTGAGCATGTTGGCATGTTATCAATAAGTAAACTATTATCAAGAGAGAACTACTTGTTTGTTGAATACTAAAATGTTAGAAAGGCAACTATAACCATATATCCCTTTGATTTGCAATTGGGGACGTTTCTAGTAATGTTTTGTAGGGTTTTTTTTTCTGTGCTTTGAGGTGGTTAAATTAACACTCCAAGTACTCTAAGGAGTTAGAAACTATAGTTACCGGAGCCACTTCATATTAATTTAGTCGCTCTAGTGTCTATAGCATGTTCCTTCAGCCTTAGCACTCTAAGCACTACCTTTTCAGTGAAAAGTAACACCTCCAATGGCAGTCACTCAAACAGCTACTAGAGGTGTGCAGCACTGGCATTCAGCATATCCATACTCTCCACAGAGATGCATTGATTCAATGCATTTCTTTGAGGAGATGCCGATTTGGTGCTGTGACGTTTTTCCACACATACACAATATGCTCCCAAAGCTTTCCTATGGGAATACAATAGATTGATTGAGATCGTCTTAACTGATCATCTCCGTCACAGAATCAGGACCAGGCGGGGCCAGCTGCGGCGAGACTGACGTGGCATGGGAGAGAGGGTAATACTTGTCCTCCTATACATTGTAAAGAACTAAATTTCTTTAAAGTGGACTGGAACATAAGCACACAAGACACATTTACTGCTTCTTATTTATAGAAAAAAGAGTAGCTCTCAAGTAAATGGAACCCAATGTGCTTCTTTATTGGTGGTGGTGATTGACTATATACAGGTTTTTGTAGACTTTTTATGTTTCTCTAAATCATCCCAAAGAATAAACTATTGTGGGCTCCTATTGGAATAGTACAAATTGTATTATATATTTATTGTTGTGGTTGGTTACCATAAGCCAATAGAATAGTAAGAAAAGTGAATCATTATTATGAAAAAGTTGGTTGTGGTGTGCCGAAACAGACGAGTGGTTAGGCCTGTAAGAAAAGAGGGCCCTCCTGAGTGTGAGTAGATTATTTAAAAGGAAGTGGAGGTAGAACAACATCGATGAAGCTACATTTGGTAAAGGGAGGAGGTCCTGGTTAAATATGAAAGATAACTCCCCCTAAAAACTGTAGGCTCATGCCTTTTTATTTGTGGTCTGGTACCTTAAGCCAATAGCGTAAGAAAGGTGACTAAATATTATGAAAAAGCCAGTTGTGATGTGCCAAAACAGGCGAGGGGTTAGGCCTGTTCGAAAAGAGGACAAAAGTAGTCTGGCGACTTCCTGCAGCCCATCCTCTTTCTAATATGTGTGGGAATGATGTGACTTGATGCCGTGGAAGCTGCTCTTATGCAAATAAAGTGCCCCAAGAAGGATCCAGGGTTAAAGCCTAACCTGATGAAGAGAATCCTATTGTATAGGATACGTTTGGGTTTTTTTGTTGTGAGAGGGTTCCCATGCAACAGTAGCAAAGGAGAATCTGGGATTGTATCTGTCTTGGCTAGTTCATCTAGTACTAGTAGATTCTAGTACCTTTACTGGACACCATTTAGTACTTGATGGATAAAAAGGAATTTCTATCGGGGAACCGGTTTGATTAATGTTTTACCAATAGGATATAGTAATTGTTGGTCTTAACTAAATTTTGTGTCTTAAGGCATTTAATAATCTTTGAATACTTAGACTATGCATTCTTTAAGGCTGAGAAATTCATAAAAGACCATTGGCATGTTGTTTGAAGGGAGCGGTTTCCAATAAATCCGAGATTACTCAGAATTTGGACATTATCTATATGAAGTTGTTTTTGTGTTCATGTAATGTTAAGTTTTTCGATTCTTTCAAACACTCTCTTAACGGGGTGAGTAGATAGAAAGGATTTATTTTTTTTGGCAAGGATATTGGCATATGATGCTGTATACCTATTAGAGTTTAATAGTCTTGTGAGCCAATTTGAGTGCGAGGTGACAAAAAGTAGTGAAAGCAACCAGCCTTTCTACAGAAAATGTTATCTGAAAATCGGAAGCAAATTTGTTAAACATTATATACACTGAATCTACTGTAAGACTTTTTTATTTTTTCTGACAGTCCTGCGTGTGCAAATGGTCTTGTCCTATTTATAGTTAAATCCCCACTCTCATAATATTGTAAAACGCTACAGAATCTGTTGGCACTATATAAATGGCAATAATAATATCCGTTTTACTTAACCAAGCCCTCTTTCCTGTATCATGATGGCTTTAATTGCGCCATCTATGTTCGGGTATTGTAATGAGAAGTCATCTGACGGTATTCGAGAATTTAACCTAGATGTGGTGGAATAATGAGGAGTTGAGAAGTCTATATCAATTTTTTTTTATATTTTGTTTTTAATGTTTCATTTACCAGTGGCAATGCCAGGAGGACTGGTTCTCCAATTTGGAAAAGGGGGAGGGCTTGGAATGGGCCTATAATGAAACCTTGCTCAAGTTTCTTTTTTTAGGAGCAAGTTGGTTGATTCTCATTGGTGGCGAATTGTAGGTTGGCACATTCAATGGTGCCTGTGGGGGGAGAGATTTAAACCTGGGTGGAATTTTTGATTTAAGGGTTTTCATTCTGGTTCCACAAAGTGAAGGAACTGGTAATTTGCCAAACAAAGGCTTAGCCTGTCAATAGTCACTGCTTTGGTAATAAATAATTGGGACACATGTTTTTTTCCCATGGGCCCTAACACACAAGGAGTAAATATGTAGCAGCCTGCATAACTGTGTTAAAGTTATTACACACTTGTGCTTTTCCCAGGAAGACCATGGATCTACCTAACTCATCCTTCAGTTTTCTTTGGACAGGTCTGAACGTTTGAGCTGTCGAAGCCTGACTGGAAGAGGGAAGGCTGATTTCATTGGGGCACAGGGTAGTGAAATGGGTAGTGGAAGTACAAATTCCGCAAGCTGGTACCTTGAGCCCAGTAAAAAGCCTACAAAAAAGGTTATGTAGTTGGCCCCAATTGGTTTTGATGTTGAACTGGCGGCTGCCCTGGCGGAAAAAGATTTATGGTAGTGGAAAAAGCAACCGCACCATATTTGTGCCCTTGGTCTACCAGCTTCTGCATGTATAAATCTTCCCTGTGGTGAGGGAAATTAGTGCAAATCACATCTCTGAATAGAACGAAGGCCAGAAATAATTCTGAGAGTTTTTGTTGAGCCTTGGGTCCATTGCTTTCATTACCACTGATAGATCCCCAAAGTATATGACTTGGTGTCTCTACTCATACCATCACAAGACGTAGTTTGCAATAAGTTAACATCGTTGCCTTCTAAGAGCTTTCCTTATGGTTATGGGACTCGATGACCAGAACAGGCTGAAGGTTGACTAGTTGCTGATAATGTATTACCCTAGTAAATCTTTCCTGAGGGGGAACTGACTGTGGATAATTTGGAGCTGATGATAGCCCAGCTAGGTTGGCAGACTTCTCATGTCTTAAGTCAAGTGTTTATTGTGTTAATGGATGCTGCTACGGACGAAACCATAGTACCAGACTGCGTTGGACGAATTCTTAATCACTGAGCCCTGGTTTTGGTGTATATGTTAGGGATTTCATCAGCTGGAATAATGCCTATAAATCAATTTTTGGGTCTAGACTTAATATGTATCTGCAAAGTACATATTTGCCAATTATAGAGTCAATTTAACAGTGATTTTTTAAAAAGATGCAGTCCCATTATATTAAAATGTCATTCTCTTTTTATCTAGACTACAAATCACACAGATTCGATGGGAGGGTTGTGTGTCATACTGTGTTTTGTAGATGGAAGCCTTTTGTTTAGTGAAAAGTGTGCTGACAAGCTATATATTGTTTGCTTTGGCTGACTTCTTACGTGACCTCTGCTTGGACACCTGCTGTTTAATGCAATGCTGGATCTTTACTTTAGTTTCTTTTTTTTTAAATATCTAGTTTAAAGGAAAAAGCAGGCTGTAGAAAGCACACAATTTTTAATGCAAAGAAAAGAAACAAATCAATGGAATTTTCTTTTTGCATCTTTTCGTCGGTTGTATGTTGTCTTTATTTTTTTATTTTTTTTTAACCCACCAAGTGCGTGAATAACTCAATGTATGTTTGTTAGACTGCATTATATGAAAAATACAATATTAACTCTAAGACAAATAAGAAAAAACAAATCGTGCAAACATTTTTATATCTTGTTTGTGACCTCTCTTTCACAGGGCATCAGTATCAGCAAGGCTATCAATGCGCAGGAAGCTCCAGTAAAAGAGAAACATGCACGCCGTATCCTTTGTAAACAATGTCCTGTTCCTGCTCTGTATGGTGAATACAACTGCCAGAGCATCTGCTGTTTCCTGCTAGAACCTGCACAGATAAGAATTTGGATACAATGATTGGAATTTGTTATGCACTATAACAAATTATAATACATTTAAAACATTGCAAAATATATCAATGATCATCTTTTTTTTTTTTTTTTATAAATCTTTATTTTTCATGTGGAAAGATAACATATTCAGGAAGTTGGCCACAACAGCCTCGACACATCGATTAGAATCAGTACATATCAAATACAAGGCATTGTTGTGTGCTATTCACACACATTTTATATTTACAATAGGTCACATTGTTACAGTGAGGTTTTAAAATCTAATAACTGTAGGGATGGAAGACTTCTGTCTGCCTAAGACACCCTAAGGTCTGTGGAGTCGTAGGTGGGGGGGGGGAAAGGCATTTACTGCTAGGTCCAGTGGCTGGTCCCAATTCTAGGTCGTGCGACTATAGTTTATGGGTGTTGGGTGAGTCTCTTGACCCTTTTGAGTTTGGGTAAGGATGCGGATTGCGGTAGTTACGGGGTCCCTCTAATGGTGCCTGTCTAGGGCTATGTCCTCTTTTGCTTTTCCCTGGTTGTAGCTATTGGTGGGTGCCCATGTGTGTGGTGCTCAGGGTGTCTTTGTGGCCCTTGTGGTAACTACAAATCGTGTCTATGTATATACATAGGTCGCTGTAGTGTGACCGGATCAAGTTGTGCCCTTGGGGCATCAGACCTCGCGATGAGCCTGATTCCAGTCAGGGTTACTATGTCGCCTTTGATGTCGTTTCCCATTAACCCAAGGGAGGGGGGGGGATTGTTATCGGAGCTAGTGTGCGCGGCTCTGGTGGGCCACTTTAGCACTGTTATAGCCTTCAGAGTGTGAGAGAACTACATTTAACTTAAATGAACCGATTTATCAACTTAAAATATTTAAACTGGTGAAACTAAGGCCTATGAGGCCGTCGGTGAGGCAGTTCGTTCAGGTTTTGGTTTTCGGTCCTCTGCTTATTCCAGGAGTTGCGGATGAATCTGTGCTCGTTGTCCCTGGTCGTTGAGCCGGCTGTGTCATAGAGGTCGCTGCGAGGTTCGATATTCCCAATGCGGTCATCAGTGCCGGGCCCTCTGCGTGGTCGGTAGCTCTGTAGTGCTTGTCATCTTTAGTGACCCAGAGAGTTCCTGGTGTTGCCCATCTATAGGCCACTCCTGCGGCTTGGAGTTGTTTGGTGATTGGTTGCATACTTTTGCGCCACATCAGTGTGGCCCTGCTCAAGTCCTGAAAGAAGGAGAGTTTGCTGTCTTCAAAGTCAAGAGGTGTTTTCCCTTGCATAGCCGCCATTAGCCCCAGTTTGTCCAACATTGATTGGCATCTCAATATTATGTCCCTTGGGGCTGAGTTGGGTGCTTGTGGGGATTTGGCTATCCTGTAAACCCCGTCGAACTGGAACGTTTTAGATTGTCTAGTTGGCAGGAGTGTGGCCACAAGGCGTCTGATGAAATGTGGCAACTCTTCCAGCGGTATTGATTCAGGTACCCCTCGGATTTTTATGTTCTTTCGACGCCCCCTATCATCTAGGAGAGTAACTTGCCTGGACATTGTTGCTTGTGCAGCTTGAAGGTGTCGCACCGTCTCTCCCAATTCCTGGTAGTTCCCTCTTAGTCCCTTTACCTCTTCTTCTACCACTTGAGTGCGCGTGGACACGGCGTGCATGTCTAGTTTAAGCACTGCCAGGTCCGCTTCCCACATTTGTCTTAAGTTCTGTTGCAAGCCTGTATGTCTTGTTTGGAGGCCGGTGCGCTGGCTTCTGGCATCCACGTGTGTGGGGGGTGTTGGGGATTGAGGTGTGGGCTGTCTAGTGATTCTTCCTCCTCTGATGGTGCTGGGGAGGTTTCACGGGGGGTCTGTGCCTTTACTGCGCTTGGGGCCTGTAACATTTGGCCTATGTCGCGCTGAGGTTTTGGGGCGTTTTGGGACAGTTTCTGCGTTCTGCGCCCCATCTCACCTGAGCTGTGTGTGCTGGGGTACCAGTCCTCAAATTCTGGGACACTCCAGGGCCAGTGTTCTCCCGTGCTGGGTTGAGGTTGCCTCCCTGCCCGGTAGGCCTTGCCGCCTCGGCGTCTATTTTTCGAGCCGGGCATCAGGAGAAACGGCATCGGCGGTTGCAGCGAGGTTCCCTGCGGGCTGTGGCTGATTATGTGGCCGGGATTAGTGCGGGATGCCTCCGATGTGGCTGGATTGCCGTGCGGTAGCTCGGAGCTCCGGCAATGTGCGTCCGCTCCGGTCCGGTGCTAGGCTCCGCCCCCCCAATGATCATCTTTTAACCTTCTATCTTTTGTAGTAGACTTTGTAAGGGGAAGATAAGCTCAGCCAATGATGGTGCTCTTATTTAACACTGTGTATTATTAACCTATTCGATAAACCCCTTGCCATCTGGATGGCAGGTCCTGGTTGCCTATATTAATTTTGTCCATGTTTTGGGTACATGCATGTGTGGCCCAAAGCTCTGCCAAGAGCTTAACATAGCAAGATTTCATTAAACTGGCAGGCATACTATTAAAGAACATGTCACTTAATCCTGTGCGATGAGCAGAACTAATCTTTGGGAATAAACGAATGATTCCATAAACTTGTACTGTAGAGGGTTTTATGGGATAAAATTAGGCCCCATAGACCAGAGTGAGATGCTGCTGGAGGTCTCGCCCTTAACCTGAAGTATTCTCTCTGATGCTGTTTGTGGGTTGTTGCTTAATGTTTTAAAACATTTTGTGGGGGCATGGCCAGACAGAGCATGGAGAAGGACGCTTGAAAATAGAGCTCCTCACTTCCCGACCTTTATCAGCTAACAAGCACCTCTTCACGTACAAAGCCCTCCAATATGGTACGCAATCAGAAGCCGAACACCCTGGGAGGCTCCCCACACCGCCAAACCTGCACGCTGGACGACATGTCCACCCCGGGCCCCCGCGGCGGCCTCTGGCTGACGGGGAAAGCGCGGGAAGCGCCTCAGCCGGCGATATACAGGAGGACACCCTGGTGATGATCCGGCAAGAGCTGACCGCAATCTCGGGGCAAATGCTGAGGAAGGCTGACACCACCAGCCTCCTGCAAGACCTCCGGACAGCCGTCCGTGTGGAGATCGCGGCCTTGCGCACTGACCTGTCAGCGGTGGAGGTCCGCGTAGGGGCGCTGGAGACTGAGGCCCAGACGAGTCGCACACAGCACCAATCGGCTGAACTAGCTACCATCCGCCATGGAAACCTGCTCCTATCCCTCAGAAGACAGGTAGAAGAACTGGAAAACCGCAGCAGGCGCCACAACATCAGGATCCGTGGCCTCCCTGAGCCTAATGCGACTCCCCTGTCGGAAATGGTCACAACTCTTTTTCAGCAGCTTCTGGGCCGGGAATGCCCAGCGGAGATACAGTATGAACAGATCCACAGAGCGTTGGGGCCGCCGCCCCAGAGATGTCCTGTGCTGTCTTCACTCCTACAGCCTCAAAGAAAAGATAATGGCAGCAGCAAGAGGCTCTAACAGCTTTCAGTTCGGGGGCACGGAGATCGCGCTTTATCAAGCCCTTTCTAGCCTCACCTTAGATGCCAGGCGCGCCCTCTAGCCACTGACAACGACCCTGCGGGACAGGGGGATCACCTACAGATGGGGGTTCCCCTTCAGTCTCCAGGTGAAGCAGGGGAACACATGGCTCCATGTCCGCTGGCCAGAAGATATCCCAAGGATCACCAGAGCCCTGCGACTGCCGAACCTCTACATACGCAACTGGCTGCTGGAAACCCCGCTGGCACCGCAGTGCCCCGGAGAGAGGACACCTGATGCCCAGGATGTGGGGTGCCCCTAGAGGGGCTGAAGAATGAGTTGATGTGGGAAGCCTAAGTGGGCCGGGCATCAGCCGGGCCCTAAGGTACTGGGGTACTGCCGGGGAGTGGGCCAGCACCTCGCCCTAGGGGGAATAGGTTACCTTAGGTGGGGAGGGAAATGGCAGCAGGACACTGGCCGCATGGGGACTTGACCCCTCTGCACCCCCCCTCACCCCGAACTGCACCCTCGAGACTGCCTGCCCATGGACTCCTCATGCTGCTAGGCCTCTCTGTGACTGCCCCCCCCCCCCTCAGGTATTCCACGGGGTTGGGATGGGATTTGGGAGCCATGGACAATACGGTTGAGATGGAGTGAACTGCTGCCCTGCTTCAGGAGGGGGGTGTCGGGCTGGGGGGGAGATGCGGAGACTTGTGTGGGCTGACAGGGGGGACATACGCACGTGGTTGATGTCGGGTAGGGTGGGAGCTGGGGCCGGAATTGCAGTGACTGGTTCGGGCTTACTGGGAGGGTATACGCACGGGGTTGGTAGGGGATCAGAATCGCCACCTGAGCCTCGAACAGAGTGGTAACAGTACCCCGAAGGAACACTGGGGGCAGGCTGACCTATCAGCAACATATCCACGGGTCGTTGGCACCCGTAGATGGACTGTGGGATACACTAGGGCGGGGTGAAGACTGGGGAGACTATTTAACAGAACGGAAGGTTCCCTCCAGACTCACCCCCCTAGACAGTCAAGTCTGTTATTGTACATAGTTATACAGTTTTCCCCTCTTCCTAAAGCCCCCGGACCGGACGGCCTCCCCGCATGTTACTTCAAGACTTTTGGAGATATCCTGTTGCCGGAGCTGCTGAACGGCCCGAACTCACTACTGGAAGATGGTCGATTTCCTGGAGACACTCTACTGGCCACCATCGTGGTAATATCTAAAGAAGGAAAAGATCCCACGTCGTGCTCTAGTTACCGACCTATTTCCCTGCTTAACGCCGACCTCAAACTATTTACTAAGATCCTGGTGCAGCGCATCGGCAGACTGGTCCACCCGGATCAAACCGGATTCATTCCCAGGAGAGAAGCAAAAGACAACACCATCAGGGCGCTTAACATCATGCATCTCTTTCAAACCACCAAGAGGGGAGGTCTTCTCCTCTCAACAGGCGCCAAAAAGGCGTTTGACCGGACTGGCAATACCTACAAGCCACCTTGCAGGCTATGGGATTCGGACCCCAGATCCTCTGCCCCGTAGGCGCAACTACGCATAAATGGAGTCCTTTCCCAGACATCCGGAATGGGACGCGGCATTTCTGGAGGCAGTCAGACGGGACGGGGGCATTGATGGGATAGCACTCAGCGGAAGGGAACATAAGGTAGCTGCGTATGCCGACGATCTGCTCTTCTTCATACGCAACCCTACGGTCACACTGCCCAATCTCCTAGCCGCGTTCACCAAATACGGGACAATCTCCAATTTTAAACTCAATATTGACAAATCAGAGGCACTGCCTCTATCTCTCCCACAGGAGATGGTGGATAGGCTAACAGCGAACCTCCCCTTCAAATGGTGCTCAAACAGTATCAAGTATCTAGGAATCTGGCTGACGAGAGAACCCTCACGGCTGTATCAGGAAAATTTCCTCCCCATGTTTCAAACGTTACGCAAAGACCTCCTGAGGTGGAGATGCATGTGTGTCACGTGGTTCGGGCACATTAGCACAGCGAAGATGAACCTGCTACCGTGCCTATTGTACCTGTTCCAAACCATCACGATTCCACCGGCTTACTTTCGCACCTTGCGCTCCGCAATATCTAGGTTCATCTTGGCGAATGCCCCCCCCCCCCGAGAATTAAACAAACACAATTAGCCCTCCCGAGACACAGAGGGGGAATGGGGGTTACCGTCCCTACGAGCATATTACTGAGCCTCTCACCTCCTGCAGATCATAGACTGGCACGTCCCCATGACAGACAAGCAATGGGTACTCATGGAAAGAGTGCAAGCTGGCGGCCGAATCCCACCTGTAACGTGGACTCAGAACCCAACACGAGACGGAAATCTAAGGACCCACCCTTACATCAGGGCGACGCTGGGGATTTGGACGAGGATCGGGTACAAACTGGGGCTCACAACAAACCTGTCCCGCCTTACCCCGGTCATTCACAACCCAGAAATCACAGGGGGCCTGACGTTGCGAGACATCGAGGGCCTCGGTGGGAGTGAGGCTCAAAACCTCTGTGCATGGCTCATCAACAATACATTACGACCGATGGAGGACATGCTGTCCCAGCCTAGGGAGATGGGCATCCTCAAATATCGATACCACCAGGTGCAACGTTCCTATACAGCCCTACCGGGGAAGCAACTCCTACAAAGGGAACCCACACAGTTCGAAACTCTCTGCGCTCGCAAAAAACACCTAACCCGAGGGGTCTCGACTCTCTACACACTACTCCAAGCAGCAAAACAGGCCCCCCCAGCTCGCTTCCACTCTAAATGGGAACAGGCCTCTGGATCAACCCAAAATACAAGAGCTTAATTACAAGCTCCTGAGCGGTTGGTACAGAACTCCAACCAGACTCTACGCCATGGGGATCGTGCTGAACAATACGTGCTGGCGGAAGAGGGAACTGACCTCCACATTTGGTGGTCGTGCCCCCCGATCGTGGCCTTCTGGTGGCAGATCCACAACAAGCTCATTGAAATACTAGACCCTGACTTGCCCTTTGAACCACTCCCCATGCTTTTCAACCACACGCGGGCTCCGCTGGCTAACTACAAGAAAACTATAATGAGACACCTACTCAACGCCGCCAAAAGCCTATCTCCCCCCCCCCCTCCCCTAGGTGGAAATCAAAAGACATCCCAACCTTGCCACAATGGATGGCGAAGGTAGAAGAGATCTTCGCGATGGAGTCCCTGACGGCTGAGCTACGCGGAACTCAGGAACGCAACGCCCGGCTGTGGGTGCCCTGGATCGTACACTGGGCCAGGACAGGCAGTAGAGTAAGGATCTATAAGGCTCTGGCTAGTGGCGGGGCGAGACCCTCCCTCCCCTCCTCCCATACTTTTCACTCCTCTCATTCCCCCACCCCCCACCTCGCAGATTACCGAACGATGGAACTAGTGGACATTTCCTCGGACAGATATCCACGCAAACGGACAGTTACCTGACCACAGACATCCACACAGACCACACCTTCACCACGCCCTTAGACACTGACTCACGTAACCCTGCTCAGACACTCACGGAATCACAGAACGACTGGCCCCGCGACGCCAAACAACCAGACCCACATACATAAGCTCCACGAACATGAGACGTGCATACCCATGTTTTTCTCGCCTGAGAGGTGTACAGTGATTTAGAGGAAGGGAGATCGCCGACGAGAGGCCCGCAAGGACTCACACGTCAAGAAGAGGGGGACGTACGTAAACCAATGGGCATACCCCCACCACAGCCCTTCGTACACTGACAGAGACACCAGGAATGCAGGTCCCGTCAAACTCTCACACACTAGTAATACACACACACCAGCTAACTGAAGACAAAGTCCCCTGCCTTATGAAGGGCTGACTCAAGTTGGGAGACTGAGAGATGTTATGTCCCAGCTCCAAAAGAGGAAGAGGTCTGGGGTCCCCCTCCACCTCACACAGGGGTGATAAGTCTCTCGCTCCGGCCACTAGCTACAACGCTTTGCTATCACTCCCCTATCAAAGAAGAACAAACACAAAAGGTAGATCCCTTTTATTTGGGTCGATCCCTAGGCTCACCCTAGCGAGGGCCCAGACTACCAGGGGCACCCCTGTTGGAATAGTGGGATGCAGTGGGCACTTTTACTATGACTGGACCATAAACTGCTATATGTATACTATTGTATCCCCAATTGTTTTCTATCTTGTTCAAACGATAAAACGTTAAAATAATGTGTGTAAAAAATAAAAAAAAAATAAAAAAAACTTTTTTAATTTCTTTAACTTAATGTTTAAATGTAGAATGTATTGAAAAATACCTATCCTGTCCACTATAACTGATGATCCATCAGTTACCACCGATTGACAGTTTTCCTGCTCTATTGCTTTGGATTGTAAACAGATCTGCATTCATCCGGCTAATGATCCGAGGCAGTTTGTCATGTAATTAGTGCAAATTGACTGTTTTGACTTGGCAGTATCCGACATTCTCCCGATCAATGCAGTCTGTATTTCCTATGTTTACATGCTGTTCGTTATTTTTTCTCCTCCTTTTTTGAAGCATTTGTCCGTTTTCCTTAATAACACTTGTAGGCATTATCCTGGGCACTCATCATGAGAAAGGTGCATTTACATTTTGGTCATATGCCATCGGTCTTCCCCTGCCTAGCAGCTCCATTTTAAGTTGGAAATTCTGCCATGTACTGCACAAAATTCTTCGAGATGGGCATCCAAATGTAAGAGTATTATTCCATTTATCTCAAAACGACCGTGACGTGTTTAATATTGTGTAATACCAATGTGTTCTCAGAAAATATGGTGCATAAATCAAAACACTTAAGTGTGTGTGTGTGTGTGTGTAGAATATAATATAGAGATATAGATATGTTTTCACATTTTGTATGCTTGCATTATTTATTTTTGTTTTTGCGCTTCCTACTTTTCCTTTTCTAAAACAAAAATTATGGGGAAATCACCTTGGGTACATGAGCTTTGAATTTAATGGAAACCCTTATACATATATTGAAGTTAGAAATAATTTTGTCTTTGAGCTTATGAGGAATCAAGAGAAATAGTAGGTAGGTTATGTGTTAAATACCCTGGGTTATGCCTTTTTCAGAAGACCTATAAGACATCAGAGTGAGAATTCTATTGTGAATCATAATCTAAAAAAAACCAACAAATGCCTACTTTTTATTTGTAAGTTTAAAAACCGCCTTTGTTTTAGATCATGTTTTATGATTTGATTAAATGATTAGTCTTATTGGCACTCTTATTGTCAATCTTTTTGCTTTTGTTTTTAGGTTCTCTCAGATTGTCAGCGATATCGCAATAACATTCGGGAAATGGGAGAATTATGGGTAAGTATTAATGGACAGTATTTTATAGTTGACATGAACTGATGGATGTATGAATGTTGCTCTGTTTTTATTGATTTCGGTCACGCTTACTGGGAGAACACAGGCATGCAGTGACAGCTGTCACGCAGGTTTGATGCCAACACTCTGGCAATGAAGCCAACATGTCTGCGTCCTAATGGGGATTGCCCTGCTTTGGAAAGTATTACTAAGTGGAGCCATTTGTGGCAGAGGGAGAGTAGGAGGGACTATTGTTTGTTACATGACTGAAACACCCACAAATCTGCAGTGATATCTGAGCAAACAAGTGACCCTTTGTTTTATTTTTTTCTTCCCCTCAACAGGGTCATTTGCATGATCGATATGGACAACTTGTGAACATTTATACAAAGCTGTTGCTTAATAAGATAAGCTTTCATGTAAAGGTAACGGTTTATTTTTCATATTTTTGATATACTTTGTTGCCTTTCCAATCTGACTCTTCCTTGATGTATTCAATTTCTGTTTAAATACAGCATCCTGAATTTCCACCAAACCTGGAAGTGTCCGATGATGTCCTTGAGAAAGCAGCTGGCACAGATGTAAACAACATGTATGTTTGGGTAACCCATTTATAAGGACTATTAAATCCATTTGTTTGATATTTTGTTCTTTTTCACAATGTTTTGTTTTGTTTTTTAATTTGCTCACCAATTCCTGTCTTATTCCAGATTTCAGCTCACTGTGGAAATGTTTGATTATATGGATTGTGAATTGAAGGTCTCCGAAGCTGGTAAGACACTTGTGTGTTTCTGCTGTTCACCACTTATTAACCTTTTTTAGTTTTTTGTTTGCTTCTTTTCTGCTTGCTATTATTGTTTGAGCATTCCAGCATATGCTTGAAAACATTAATAAATTAAAATAGAATGTGACATACCATGTGACATTTATGAAATCGAGATCTTAACATGAAAGTCTTAAGGGATATTATGCTCCAAAGACAAACTCTGATGGTGGTTGTCTGACTCTTAGAAATTATATATATTTCTTAGACTCTGGAGCCCAATTTAGAGACACATACAATAACAGGCTGCATTGATAAATATGGTTTGAAATTTAGGTTGTATGAATACCGCCTTTTTTTTCTTATTTGGTCGCAGTCCATGAAAACCATAAATTTTGCGATATCTATCTCTCACAGGCAGAGCTCCCAGAAATACTTGGTTACGTTGAAGTGCTAAATATTACTTTGTAAACTCTCACGCACCTGGCTTCTTTTAATACCTTGTCTGGTGATTTAAAAGGGTTACTCCAGTCAAAAACAGCGTTTTATTAAAACAATGTTTTAGGATGGAGCAACCTTTACTCTCGCTGGGGCAGGAATGTGAGTGAAGACAGGCTGAGTGGGTAGACTTGGGCAATTCAGTGGATAGGAGGGTCATGGTGTTTGGACAAACGCTTAAACTTTGGAGCTGTTAACATCAGACTGGTGACTCATGGAAATGGTGACTATTGCTAATAAATATATATACATTTTTATTTTTTCACATCATGGAGAGAATTTGCAGGAGGTAGTAACACAGTATATAACCTATGCAGAGGTAGTAAATATATGTACACAGATTAACAATACAAATATGAGGGACTGCACTTTAAGTAAATAATGGGGAAAAAAAAGAATAACAATGTAAAAATATCCTGCATAGTGGTTAGTTAGGAGATCGATAGAAATACATAGGACATGTCAATAGATATGCACATTTTAAGGGTTTATCATGCACAATATCATATATATATATATATATATATATATATATATATATATATATATATATATATATATATATATATATATATATATATATATATATTTTTATTTATTTTTCATAGAGTTGTATGAAAGGTCATAGTATAATAGGTAGATGACCGGTCTTGCACTAGGTGTTGACTAATATGGTCTTGTGCAATTGAAAAGGTAAATTAAGGGGGGCGGGGGGGAGGAAACCTGCAAATCACAAGATGACAAACTTAAACCACTAGGATTAGCTGCATCTCAAGTAGTCGCTCTATTTATATAAACTTGTTGCAGCTAAGTAAGCCTCAGCTCAGGGCCTATGAAGTAGGCTGAGAAATATTTAGTGAAGGGACAGTCCCTTTATTCCCAAGTTGGGCATCATTTGTATATACTTGCTGTGTCCATGAACACGATCATCCTGACAGAGCCAGTACAGAGTTTCCCTCTCGATGAGGCCCCAATATCTTAATTTCCCATGCCAGAGACCCACCTGTTTGTACCACTGTGGTATGAAGCTTGTCTAGTAGGGTGTCTTCTCCCGTGTGGAGGGGCCTTCTGTCTGTGAGGACAGCTTGTTGGGTGCAAACTCAAACGGATTCTATTGTGCCCTAGTGAGTGCAGTAAGGTGGAGAGTTGGTTCTTGGAGACAGATACGCCATGCTGCTTGCGACCTCCCTTTGGTACAGATATTGACTGTGTCAAGTCTATTATTTGTTCCTATGCTTACTGCAGGGTATAGTTGCTCTAAATTATTGAAAATATGTATGTATAAAACATTGCAAGTAAAAGGAAAAGCGTAAATGCGCATTTTCTGATGTGTATTGGGAGTGCTTCAATAAGGCAAAAGGACCCTTCAGAGATAAGAAATAGACTTGCCGATATGTATCTCTAGCTTCTACAAGAGCCATACAGCAAGATAACTAGATAATTGAAGGTGAAAAGAAACCTAAAGTAATTCCCAAAAGTAAGGCAGTCAGGCATTTTGCATGGAGTTAAAGTTCGGAATGTTGGTACCCACTGGTGAGCCTTCCTTGAAGTGTGCTCTTAATAGTTCTTCGTGGCTGTACTAATAGATGTAGTGTGAGCATGGAATTATATGAATACACTGCAGTATCTTAATATTTGTTGCAATGCATAACTACATACAGTGCAAGTCTAACGAGGAGAAAAAAAAGCTGCAAACACACAAGTTAGACACCCTGTTTTAATGAATCTTGTGTAACTCTCTAGTTTAAATTATCCATCCAACCACATCATTATCTATTTTCCACTGAGATTTTGTGTTTACTTAAAGGGTCTTAATTTTAAAACTCTCATATGGTTTTAAGATGTTTGTGTGTGGTTTTTTTTTGGTGTGGTTTTTTTTTCTGTCTGTGCCAAAATTATTTAATTTGTATTCCCAACGCTTTAGTGCTCCGAACTGTTGGTGTGCTGGTGTGCACCCCACCTTGTATTGTGATTTCAAAATAAAACTTTTACTCACCTTTTTCCAGTGAAGGGGCATTACAGAAGAGACATGGCCCCCTCCCTAGTTGGTCCAATGTTCTCAATTGAATTTAGGATTTCATATGCAGGCTGCAATCATGTGACTGAGTTTTACTCTGTTTCCGCAACGGGAAGCGCATCCAGTGGTTATCAGTGTAACAACCACTGGAGGTGTTAAACTAAAATGCTTTACATTGCAGGATTACATCCATGATAACCGCTGTAGTGGTCCTTTTATGGTATACCGTACTCAAGTTTTTCTGGACTCACAAAAATAAGTAGTATTAAAAAAAAAAAAACCTGGCTTTATAAAACACATTGGTTAAGTTTTAAAAAGAACATCTTAACTTTATGGAAATGGTTTACTTTATACATCTGATAGAGAATGTCTTATTAGGTGAACATTTGTGCTGGGAGAAACACTACAGGTTGCTCAACCCTTTAATGAAAAGTTTTGCCTAGCTTGTTAAATGTGGCATAGGAGTGCAAGTAGAGTTGCAGTGAGGTAGTGAATCTTAGAGTTGCAGCAAATGTTGCTGTTAAATAGGAACGGTCAAACCATTTGTAACTTCTTTTAAAATATGTGTGAAATTTTTATTTTTTTTTCAAATAAATTGCTGCTTTTACTAGAAGAACAATGACAACTTATAGATTCAAAGGTGAGGGAACATATAGCAGCACCCTAATCCAACATTCAGCTTTGATAATGGCATATGACAACATAGTTATGCAACATTTATAGATAGAAACTGGAAAAAGTTATAGGCCTTCAAGATTTTGTAGGTGCCCTCTATGATCATCTTAAAGGACCACTATAGGCACCCAGACCACTTCAGCTTAATGAAGTGGTCTGGGTGCCTGGTCCAGCTAGGTTTAACCCTTTCTTCTATAAACATAGCAGTTTCAGAGAAACTGCTATGTTTATATTAGGGTTAACCCAGCCTCTAGTGGCTGTCTCCTTGACAGCCACTAGATTCGCTTCTCACTGATTTTCAGTGAGAAGACGCCAGCGTCCATAGGAAACCATTGTGAATGCTTTCCTGTGAGATTGGCTGAATGCGCGCGGCTCTTGCCGCGCATGCGCATTCAGCCGAGGAGAGGAGGAGGAGAGTCCTCCGCCTGGCGCTGGGGAAAGAGGTAAGTTTAACCCCTTCCTCCCCCTAGAGCCCCGGCGGGAGGGGGACCCTGAGGGTGGGGGCACCCTCAGGGCACTATAGTGCCAGGAAAAGAAGTTTGTTTTCCTGGCACTATAGTGGTCCTTTAATCCTCGACTAAGAAATTGTAATACCGTGTATTAAATGATCTATTTCAAAGCAGTGCACGCTTGTCCATAATTATGTACTAATCCCATGTTGCCAATTGTATGCTTTGGTACAGTGCCACCTGAATATGTATTTACAGAACATATTGTTTCTCCTTCAAATCTCTGTAATTCTAATGCAGGGGTGCCCAAAAGGTAGATCCCTTGATGTTTTTGAAAGTACAGCTTCCAGGATGCTTTGCCATTCTAAAAGCATTCAAAGCATCATGGGAGTTGTAGTTCTGCAACATCTGGGTATCTACATTTTAGGCACCCCTGTTCTAACGAATCCTGCACTGGGTAACTGACGGTGTATGTGTGGTTTACATTTTGTCAAGTAACAGTGATTCTGTTTGACAGTTGTTAGGCAGCTCAACAGCGCTATTGCAGTGTCTCAGATGTCTGCAGGACAATGTAAGCTGGCGCCCCTCATTCAGGTGATCCAGGACTGCAGCCATCTCTATCATTACACCGTCCAGCTGATGTTCAAACTCCATTCGTGTAAGTCGTCATGAAGTCATTCTCAGATAGACTTTCCACATTACTGTTTTTACATTTATACATTAAATTCTGCAAGTTCGTAATATATTTTGCCAGATGTAGAGATATATTTCCCCCTCACAGTTTGGCTTTATTTCTTGTAATTAGAACATTAAGAATTATAACCGGACGTTGTGGCAAGTTATATCAGCCAGGTAGCAGAGTAAATTTAACAAAATACGTGTGATATTGATGTTCGGTTTTGATAAGCGTGTCCTGTGACACATTTCTCTATCCAGATATGATCCACCATTCTGTGAATGTACTTGACTTTTCTGGTTGAGAAGGAATGTGTGTTTATTTGGTAGTGGTTTAAAACTATGATTTGAAAAACTACAATAATCCTAATAATACTCTGTGGTTTGGCTGATATCCCTTGCAAGTAATCATACTAGTTTAAAAGAAACACTCAATACACATAAATCGGATTGCAGTTGTCTCTTTATAACTGGGGTCAAAAACCTCTCCCTGGCTGTCACTCAGACATTCAGGGAGATTTTCTTGCACTTTAGTTTGCCCAATAGCTCTAGCCCAGCATGCCTGCCTTCCCCCGTTCTCATTGAACTTTACTACAGCTTACTGAGAAGCATTGGGAAGCCGCCAATGCATGCACACATTGCTGCTCCAGCACAGAGGTTTCTCAGCGACTGAAATTCTTTGCCTTGGAAGGGGGAGGGAGGGGGTTTGCAAAGGCTGCAGACAGCCCCAAAGAAAACATGCAGTCAGAAATACATGCAAGTTTTATTTGGGGTTTATCTACTAAATAGTCAAACATAAATGTAGTGTACCTTTGATTTGTCTTGGAAGGTTTTGATAAAGATAGTCATAGTTGCCATGCAATTGCTATTTACATATGACCTGAGAAAAAAGGGTAAAAAAATATATTGCGCTTTGTAATATTTGGACCATGCAAGCCAACAGTGCTGACCCAGAATGAAATACATTTATTACCTGCTAACATTGCCATTAAAAAAGGAATTAGAGATGTGAGCAAATTGAGCATTTTCTTTAATCGTAGTGGGAAGCCTACTTGAGCATTATTTAACTTCTAAATCCTAAAATTGTGTGCATACTCTCCCTAACACTAGGCCTGCCTGCTGACACTCTCCAGGGGCACAGAGACCGATTCCACGAGCAGTTTCACAGGTGAGTATTTCTATTATGGAAGCATATACATTTACTGTGGTTCCTGTGTGGAGAAAGATATGTTAACAGAGTTATTACTGTAGCTGCTGGGTGTTAACACTGATCACTCCAGATTCTTCTTCCCATTTACATTTTGGTCAGAATGAGTGAATTTTGTTAAGAATTTTTGTGCTAAACAAGAAAACCAACTCTCTGATATGTCGTGTTTGTCGACCTTGGAATAAATATTGACTCTGACCTTGTGCATATTTAATATAAGATGGTATGTTGAAATTAATTCTTCCCCATCTTCTAATATGATCTCATGCAGAGGCACACATAATGAGACCTGCATTAATCTGCAAGAGATCTGATCTGGATTTTCTGTGTGTATATACTATTAGATCATCAGGAGTATCTCTGTACTCCTCAAGCATACACTGATCTTTGTTGGAAGCCAGGCCTTTGGGCTAGATCAGAGCTGCTAGGCAAGACACTGTTGCGTGTGTGACGACATTGTGGCTGCCTCTTGAGGTTAATCTTTGAAGTGAATATCTGGCAAAACACAGGTTTTTCTTTTCTAGTATCTGTAAAACTACACTGACTACCAAATGCATTTTAGCAGTTTGTAGTAATTCTTCCAACATTATTTTTATATACAATTAATAATAGTACGTTTAGAATTTGAAAAGACATACTTGTGTGCATGATTCTAATTCATTGACTATACTCCACCAAACTGACCTTGATTGCTGATGCGAAGTTTAATTATCCGTTTCAAAAAGTGGTGCTCGTATTTTTGTTCCTCCACCTGCATTGTTGGTACTGCTTTTCAGGTGGCCTTAATGACGGACAATAACGTATCTTCAGCTGCAATTTACTAGACTGTCCTATGCCTGTTAAGGTTTTAAAGTGTACATGAAGGATTCATACCATCTACTAAGAAAATAAGCAAAAATATTTTTATGTAGGAAATTCAATATGCGTACAGGTTAAGATTAAGTCGGCATCTAATGGGATATGTTTTTCAACCAGTTTAAGGCAATGGTTGGAAAAGAACAAAATAAATGTTCTTGATAAAGGGATTCCATTTAACTTTTGTGACCTGAATAGTGCAGTTTGATATAGTATTTTTAGTTATGTGAAGTTAATCCTTGCCTGTTATGACTCTTTGAATTCTATTTCCAAATGCCCAATTGTCAGTCTACGTTCCCTAGTATCCCGGCATGGCTTTAAGCATGTTTTATAATCTATTTTTATTTGCCCCTTACAGTCTTAAAACCTTCTTCAAACGAGCTTCTGACATGCTGTACTTCAAGCGACTTATTCAGATACCCCGTCTTCCTGATGTGAGTCTGTGGTTTACCTTTTGCTTTAAATTTCTACAGCACCCTGCATCCTCCCTTACTAATTTTTGTTTCAGACTAATTTTGACTGCATGCATTTGTGTTTTTTGGGGTAGGATAGTTTTGACCCTTTAGTTTTCATCATACATTTGTTATATTAAACACTTGTATCAAATAAAACAGAGTTATAGACATAGATGAAAACATGAATAAACCGCATTTATTTTTATATTTTTCAAAATCAAAATGCTACTCCGAGTTAGTGGCGTGCTGCACAGTGTACCTCTTACATATTAATTGCACACCTCATTGCTTTTTGCAGAGTCCTCCTAACTTTTTGAGAGCCTCAGCGCTAGCCGAACATGTTAAGCCTGTGGTCGTCATAGCCAACGAGACTGCAGAGGAAGAGGAACAACCAGAGTCTCTCGTAGAGATTACCGCTGCACCTCAGCCTGTGGAACAGCCGGTGAATGCAATCTTTATATATATCTTTTGTGTGTGTGTGTGTGTGTGTGTGTTTTTTGTTTTTTTTGTGTTCTAACATGCATAATAGTTTTCCACGTTTTATCTAGTTCTAAGGTACACAATATTGTTTGTTTTATTATAAGTAAGAGATGTACTAAAATGTTTCATCTATCATTTTGGGGCATGGTAGTTTGTGCCTTTTTAAAAAAAAAAAAAATTGTTTACACTAGGATCTATTATAATCTGTATTTGCCTGCACATAATTTTAAAATGTATATTTTTCTTTTACTTTATCTGTTATTGTTTGAACAGCTTTCTTTATTACATGAGATTTCAAAAACCATTGATTTTCATTGTTTTCATTTTCAAGGTCGTGGAAGATCTGTTTCAACAAAACTTTTCTTCTCCAAACGGGCTTGTGAAAGATGACAGGTGACCTTTTCCTGTTTTCTGCATGTCGAATATGTATACATTACTTTGTTTTGTTTAATTTGTATTAATTTTATTTGTGCATTAAAAATCCACATTTCTGTGTCCACATTTCTGTGTTTGTCTTTAGGGATCTTCAAATTGAAAATTTAAAGCAAGAAATTGAAATGCTGCGAGCAGAGTTGGAAAAAATCAAACTGGAGGTGAGGTTTTCAGATCAGGAGTAGGTGAGGCAATAGCAATATTAAAGGAACACTAAAGGGTCAGGAACACAAATGTGTATTCCTGACCCTATGGTGTTAAAACAACCATTGAGGTGGTTTGCCCTTAAAAGTTAATAAAACGTACCTTATTTCCAGCACTGCGCGGGTCCACAGTGAAAGCATTGGGTTGTCTGAAATCGGCAAGGAGGAGAGACGGGGCCAAATGCCAGCTTGGCCAATCAACACCTCCTCATAGAGATGCATTGAATCACTGCATCTCCATGAGAAAAGTACAGCGTCTCCATGCACAGCGTGTGGACGCTGAATGGCAGTGCTGCGCACTCCCCCAGGAAGCCCCTCCAGTAGCCATCTGAGAAGTAGCAATTGAAGGTGTACCTAGGGGGCAAAAGACAGTGAAAAGACAGTGTTTGCATGAAAATGCCTGCAGGGAATAATTATACTCACCAGAACTACTACATTAAGTTGTAGTTGTTCTGGTGACTATAGTGTTCTTTTACGTATAACTTTCTCTGCTTTTTATTTATTTATTTTTGCCACAAGTGAGTCTAAAACAGTTGTCCAGCTGTTTTACATCCAGCTTGCATGGGATTTTTCGTGCAGAGTGACGTAACAATGTAACATTAAAGGGACACTATAGTCACCAAAACAACTTTAGCTTATTGAAGCAGTTTTGGTGTATAAATAATTTCCCTGCAGTGTGACAGCTCAGTTCTCTGCCATTTAGGAGTTAAATCACTTAGTTTATGCACCTTAGTCGCACATCTCTACATGTGACTTGCACAGCCTTCCTAAACACATCCTGTAAATAGTTATATAGGCTAATGTTTATACTTCCTTCTTTGCAAATTCTATTTAATTTAAAATGTATTATCCCCTGCACTGTTGATAGCTTGCTAGACCCCACAGAAGCCTCCTGCAGATGATTAAAGTTCACTTTAGAGAGCAGGCAATAAGAACTTTTAAAGTAAGTTACATCTAAATGAAAGTGAACCCATTTTTGTTCATGCATGGTGTGAGAGTCACAGCCAGGGCAGGTGTGGCTTGGGCTGCATGGACAAAAAAAAAGGATTTAAGTCTTAAATTGCAGAGAATTGAGCAGTGAGACTTCAGAATCATGATTTATACTTCATTTAGCTAAAGTTGTTTTGGGGACTATAATGTCCCTTTAAAGATGAACTAAAGATGAACTTGCTGCAATGTGTGTAGGTTAGGTTACATACAGTTAATTATATTGGGTGTTCTGTTTGTTTTGTTTTGGTTTTTCTTTTGTTACTTTTAATTCTGTTGCTCCATAAGTCCACTCTTTCCCATTTGCTCGAAAAGTGCATCAGCACATGTCATGATTTTGGGTCCCTGGTTGTCGTTTAGAGATTTGCTTTCTTCGGCACAATGCGACAAATTGAACTACGTCTGCCAGAATCTTGAATAGTTTTTTACTCAATCATTTTATTATTTTAATATGAAGCAGAAAAGCGTGATGGGTTCCAGAAAAAAAGGAAACTTTGTGCTCCTTATTTTGGAGGGCATAAACCCAGTGTTAAATACATAAACTAATGCCAACCAAAAAAAAGACTGTGCCATATACAGCGATGCTGAAAAGTGGGATTCAAGACAAATTTGAACTTCTCTGTCAAATTCTCGTATCAGAGAACCTATTTTTATGCAACATTTGTATAATGCACTAAAAAGTGGGTCAAATATAGCCTGGATTGTCACTTCTTATGTCTTCTATGTAAACTGTGTAGCTAAAATAAAAATTAAAAGGGAATCTGTAATTTGTGTAAAAAAAAAAAAAAAAAATGTAATTCCTTTGGGCCCTTAAAGTGCATTACCATGCTTTTCAAAAAGAATAGTAAAATTCTTCAAATTTTTTTTTATGTCCTTTTCCTTCCCCCATTGTTCAGTTTCTAGTGTTGGTTGTTTTGAATATATGGACTATTTTGCCACATGGCTCCTTTTTTCTGAAAAGTGCAGGCTGAATATCTATTCGCTTACAGGTTTAAGTCTGCCTACTTTTCACAGTTCCAGTGTTATTTCCGTTGACTAGCAATTTTCATCAGATTTAGTTGACTCAAACAATTCAGATAAAATACGACTAAAACGGCTTTAAAAGTCAAGACTTACTAAAACTAGATTAAAATTTACTGTCAAAATTAACAGTGCACAATTCATTGTGTAATTTAGGGGTTTGCTGAAGTCTTTTATCAATCAAGTAACATAACAGGTGTAGCCAGTAAACAGTCTAATAGTGAAACCAGGAAATAAATCCATGAAGCTAGGAGCTGTACAGAATGAACAATGGCAAAGGAAACTTTGAGAGTTTGGGATAAACAGAAGTTATTCTACATCATGTGAAAATGTTGTCATGTTAAAAGCACCACTCTGCTTTCAAACACTTTAAGTGAGATGCCGGTCCTTTTGTACTGAATGAGAGTTGGTATTTGTATGGTGCCCTGAGCAGGATACAATTATGCTGCATATGGATTATTTTTACTCTAGTATATAGAATTTGTCATAGAATGCTCTTTGCTTTCTTGCTGAATTGGGCACCATGTGCTAGCAGGCTGACTTAGTATTCAGCCAGAATCCAGTGCTGAAACCAGCTTTAAAAACAAGTCTAATATAGTGCACAATAGGTAAATGTTACTAATGTAATTGTGTGCATGTCTTATTTCACTTGACAGTCACAGGATTAAATATGACTAAAAAATAAACTTACAAAAAAATGTTAAAAGCTGTTCTGAATTTTGACATGTGGCTTTTGATCTCAGCCCCCCTCTGCACAGAATAAGTTAATGCCATGCATACTACAACCCCATTGGACATATTCTTGGTGCATCTTATAGTTTATTCTACAGAGTAAGGAGTGTGTTTATTTAAAAAAAAAAAAAAAAAAATTATTGCACCTGTGATTTGTATTCATATTTTTTTCCACTTTGCATGTTTGTGGATTTGTCACAGAGAGCATGTCCCAAACTATACCGTCCCATATGTAATCCCTTACATTCTACCCTCTACATTCTGTTTTGTTTTTAACCTTGATTTGCAGCATGTTTATTGAACATAAATTGATATTTCTTACAGTTTTTTCTGTTTTCTATCACAGGCTCAAAAGTACATTTTGCAGCTGAAAGGTCAGATTAACACTTTAGAAGCAGAACTGGAGGAGCAGCGCAAGCAGAAACAGAAAGCCCTGGTTGATAATGAGCAATTGCGGGATGAACTGGAGAAACTGCGAAAACAAAAGCAAGAAACAGACAAGACCCAGGGGATCTTGGTAGAAGCAGAAAGTATGTGTATGGGACTGTTACAGTCCAAATAAAATTGTAGGCCTTTAGTTCATGAGCAGGATCCATTGCTAGAGCCCTGTTTACATAAACGTTATTGTGCCTGTTTTTTACCAGGACACTCTACAGTTCTAAAAAGTTGCTTTTACACACAGAACAATTTGATTAGTCTGTATGGATTTCATAAGGGCTGCATAACAGGAAGAAATTAACTACCGATATTGAAAATGTCATCTGTACAAAAGGTGGTTAAAACAGGAGTAACTGATGGAAAATATTCCATCATGATTCCCTTTTATTTCAGAAGCTGTGTCCTTAAGGGTAGAGTTGAGCGAACCCAGACTGTAAAGTTCGGGCTTGTACCGAACATTAAGTTTTTTGGACCCCGGACCCGAACACGGACATATCACTGTATGTTCGGGTTGGAGTTAGGTGTTCAGCGATTTAATGGCGCGTTTTGAAAGGCTGCAGGGCAGCCAATCAACAAGCGTTTGACTCGTGTGCCCTTAGAAGCCATCAAAGCCATGCCTACTAATGGTATGGCTGTGATTGGCCAGTGCAGCATGTGACCCAGCCTCTATATATAAGCTGGAGTTGCGTAGCGCCGCTCGCACATGAGCTCTTATTAGTGTAGGGAGAGGATGCTGCATCTGTGAGGGACAGCTTAGGAAAGAATTCTGCAAACTAGTACATTAGTGGGGTGCACTTCATATCTGAGAGTCAAATAGAAGCGTCAAATAGTGCGCTTACAGCGCAGTTGAAAACATTCTAATTGTTTTGGTGCTAAACTGCCAAATAGTACATTTGCGGCCTGCACTTCATATCCGAAAGTCAAATAGAAGCGTCTTATAGTGCGCTTACAGCGCAGTTGTAAACATTCTTATTTTCTGGGTGCTAAACTGCTAAATAGTACATTTGCGGCCTGCACTTCATATCTGAGATTTAAATAGAAGCGTCAAATAGTACGATTTCAGCGCAGTTGTAAACATTCTAATTGTTTTGGTGCTAAACTGCTAAATAGTACATTTTGGGCGTGCTCTTCATATCTGAGAGTCAAGTAGAAGCGTCAAATAGTGCGCTTACAGCGCAGTTGTAAACATTCTTATTTTCTGGGTGCTAAACTGCTAAATAGTATATTTGCGGCCTGCGGTGCATTTCTTGCAGTCCAATAAACTAAAAACAATTAAATTGTTGACTATTGGCGGTTACATTGTCGCCTGACATAAACCATCTGTTAGTTTGGTCAGTGAACTCAAAGAATGAGGACAGTGTCAAATAAGGGACGTGGCCCTGGTCGTGGTGCTGCTGGTGTTGGTGGAGCTCCTGTTGCAAGGAGAGCACGTGGTCGATCTGTGCCAGCTACACGCTCAGGTGCGAGTAGGTGACAGAACCTTCAGCGTTATTTGGTAGGCCCGAATGCCACTCTACGAATGGTGAGGCCAGAACAAGTACAGGCGATAGATTGGATGGCTGACAGTGCCTCCAGTTCCTGCACATTGTCTCCCACCCGGCCCCCTGCTGAAAGCTCAGAGTTGGCACCTGCAGCCCATGGCCATCTGTCTTTCACCTCACCCCCTTGCAAATCAGCAAAGGAGTCTGAGCCACAAGTCTCTTATGCTTTTTGATGATGCATCAACCTATGGGTCACTTAGTATAAACTATGTACACAATAGCAGAGGCTTGTGAAGGCATTTTCTCCATGCATCAGGAGTTGAGCTCAGTTTAAACAATGAAAGAGAATACCCTGCACTCCAACCCTCTCTCAAATGGACAATTCTGGTGATCCTCCTGACAGCCATGCTTTAGATTTTGATTTATGTTCTTCCAAAGCTAAAATCAAAGATTCAATCTAGTGCTATTTTATGGCTCAGCTCTATTTTAAATTTTTATTTTAAGTGATTTCCCTATCCATATTTGTTTGCAGGGCACTTGTCCTACTCTTACCCCCATTTTACTTCCTTTTGTAGCCCTCTAGCCCTTTCCAGGACTTTTTTTAGAGGCATTTTTGTGCCAAAAAGTTCAGGTCCCCATTGACTTCAATGGGGTTTGGGTTCGAAGTCAAGTTCGAGCACGAACCCGGACTTTTTTTCAAAGTTCGGCCGAACCCGCCGGACCTGAATATCCAGGTGTCCGCTCAACTCTACTTAAGGGGTTAATTTTCACTGTGAGCACTCTTTAAATGTATTATTTCACACTGATTCTTGTTAATATCTCCCTGGCCCGTTAAGTTGCACATAGTGGTGGCCATATGTTTAACAAGCAAACAAAAACTATAATCATCCACATGAAAATAAATGATAGATGATAAAACACACTTATCTTAATAGACAGTTGTTACAGCTTCCTCCAGGGACATCCCAGTAGTTATCCCTTTAAATATCAGATATCTTGTGAGTTATACCTATTTTGCGCATTTATTCATAAATATACAGTATTATACTATATTTGATTTTTGTATTGTAGATCCACAGCTGTATCCTCAATATTGTTTGTACCTACATAGTGGTGGCCATCTGAGCTACATTACAAAGCTGCATTATCAATTCTTTCATTTTGCTTCCTTGTCTTATGATTGTTGTCCATGGGTGCATTTAGAAGAAAGAAAAAAAAAAAATCTGATAACAAACCTGTTGCCACAACCTCAGGTTATGTTGACTTTTTTTTTTTAACTCCTTATTGATAGAAAAAGCACAGGCAACAGAATTGCGCTACAATAAGCTGAAGGAAAAGCACAATGAACTGATAAATGTCCATGCTGGACTTCTCAGAAAGGTAAGCATTGTTGTCTTTCCACAAATGTTCCAGGGGTCATCATTTATGCCATTGCAGTCAACATAACATAATCATGATAATTTTCTACTTTATTTTATTTATTGATTTTTAAATACCTAATGTAAATCTGTTACTAAAATATTTATATGTAAAGCCGTTGTTCATAGCACTGCTCGCAGCCATATGAACATTTCACATTTTGTCCTTTTTCCCCATATGAACAGATTTGGTAAATGTCTAAATCCTCTATTGGTATATCTGAGGCTTGTGCGTGGTACAACTGCTATACAGAAACAAATATGACCTTTATGTGTCATTGGGTTTTAAATCACTTTCAATAGTTCTTCACGTGTTTTTTGTACATTCAGCTTGCTTAAAAATCTATTGTTACAAGCAGTTACATCAAACTAGTTCCAAGTTGGGCTTGGTCTCATGCATGACTGGACATATGTTTAGAGCTCAGGGGATGGGTGCCACAAATGGGAGACAGTGAAGCTAGTAACTAGCCAGAGTTTCTACAAGCTTGTTTCAAATTGTTTAACAAAAAAAAAATCTATAAAGCTGACAAGATTAGGCCTTATTATCCTGAAAATATCTTGATACAGCATTGACAAATCTTTGTCAATTTGCAAAGACCAATCCCTTTGAACAACACAAAAAAAAAAAGTCTGCCACCACCAAGGCAATTTATAAACTGGGCACCTTAGGTTACTCCACCAAATTAGATTTAAAGGAAAACCCACAAAAACAATTGGCAAAAGATCGATGAAATCACAGTACTATTCTAAAAGTCTCTTCAGCAACGTAATTCTTACACCAGACAAAATGGAAACTTAATTGCGGAACATTTATTATGAGCAAAAAGAGTAACCGTACATACAAATCCAAAATATATTGAAAACAGATTAAATTGAAAAGGAGAAAAAGAACATCCCAATACTCACATTATTAGCAAAGTACCAGTATTTGTGTCCCAAGAGAGGTTTTGGTAAGAAAAGTGGAAATCCACTACAAATTTGGTTTGGCTCTCAAAATTGATTGCAAAGTTCTTTGGAGTTAACCAGGGATTTCTTAGATTTTTGGCTTATCTCAGGTTCTTGGCTAGCCCTTGTGGGAAGGACCAAAGGCCCTAGGAATTCCAGATTTGAGGGACAATTAATATATTCCAAACCCTGGCTTACATGCACAGTGCAATAATACATTTATGTGCAAGTGTTTCTGATCTTGTTGTGATCAGGTCAGATTAACTCAATAAATCCAGACCAAACATGATGTATATTTTAACTTAATGCCCCAAAAACAAAATTGCATCTAAAGTCACTTCTTAACTTAAAATATACATTGCCGGGGAGCGGGGCCAAGCAAGCAAGCTGAGCAGTTACATGAAAGCAGAGCTCCCGTTTTGCTTGCCGATTTCCTACAAATACTCACCAAACTCGAGATGCACAATAAACCGGGGTACACTACCTGAATTAAGGGGGACCTGGTGACATGCCTGATACCTTACCAGAGTGATTTGGAGATCTGGAGCCCAAGGTGGCTAGATGTGGCCTGCGGGCGACTGACATGGGGAGAGACGGCCTCTCTCCCCGTCAATACATCAGAGATGCAGATCCACTGACTCCCTGCTCCCCCCACCGGTGGGGGTTATCCCGGTCCAACCCTGAGAAGATGCACAGATGGAGCCCTGCGAGCAGCGAGATGAAGCGCAGCCCTGCAAAATGGCCGCCGCCACATGTGCTTGAAATGCAGAACTACCTGACTATATGACCAAGCTGGATGACCTTCTCGCTAAGTTCTGGAAGAAAATAGCATCTAGGGAGCAGCAAGCTGAGGTACACAAACCGGCTAAACGTTTACCCACGGTGCTGCCGGCATGCTCCTAAAGCAGACGCACACTCCCTCCTGCAGAGCGAGCCCGAAAATGGCGCCAAAAAATATGAGGCTCCCCGCGGGCCCGCAAACCCATGCGACTGACCTTGCCAGACGGTGCTCTGCCGAGACAAACACCCTGTAAAATCCAGCCCACAAACAACCAACATCCAGCTCAGCGATGGGACCCGGCATTGCCGAGGGGATCCGGGTGGTACTCTTCGAGCCTCTTCCACCTACTTCACACGGATGCAAGCCCCCACTCGGACATATCGCTGGGCACACTCCTAGAACTATCACGGGACTCTGTAACACCCCAACAGGGCGTCGGCTGATCTCGGTGAAGAGCCGAAGAACCTTCCGTTTCTGGCTGAAATGGAGACTCATGATACCCTCAGACACTGTAAGTCGTGGGGACGGCAATGTTTTATTTAGTAATGTTTTAATAAAAAATGTTCTGGGGGAATTTTGCTTACACGGCGAGGGTATCTTCTTGGGATCCCTCCTGTGACCCCGCTATGTGCAATTAGAAAGCACCATAAGCTTGCTCAATCATCCTAAGCCTAGTATGCTATTAACTCTCGCTACCTTGTTTAGGCTGACCTTATGTGTTTCTACCATACAAGTAATATGATCTATAACTGCTGAAGTCATATTAAATCTTGTCAGCTCTAACTACCCTGCTTCTATACCCAGCGGTACATTTAAGCATCTAAGCCGTACAGCATGATGCCCAAAGTCTCTAACATGGTCTCTAGGTCTTCTCTGACCATCTCTCATGTTTATTTTATGTTATTAAGCACCTGTATAGTTTTAATGGCAAAGTTTAAGCTCTTTTTTTTATTCATTAACATGCCTTCCATAAATGCCGATTTACTCAACCTATTATTACTGACCATATGTATACATCCTGTTTAACAACAACAAAAAGTACACACACACACCCCACCACCACCAGATTGCAGCTTCAACTAATTACCACTAAGCATGTGTGCAGATTTTGACGCTTTCTGACATCAATGCTAACCCCTGTCAGCTTTTCACAGACTGCAAACATCTTTGTTCTCTTTCAAGTTGTCCATCTTGGTTTCATGTACAACCTATAAGCCAACTAAAAGTTATGGGTTGTGATTTATTTTTAATGAAAATTAGTCTTATTTATGTATTTTTCATTGTATACCAGGCTGTCCTGGCACAGCCATGCCATACAATGTACATTATTGTACGTTAAACCTCCTGGAACAGTGCAAAGGGATCTCGTGGGACCATTCCTCTACAACCTTTTGTTTTTCCTTATTTCCATGCAATTTCTATGGGTGTGTTTATAATTTACATGACAAGGGCAATTCCTTCTTTGTTATACAGCTGAATTTCGTTGAAATCCTTGCTGTCCCTCTAAACTACTAAACCCTTAAACATGTCATTTTTTTAAATCTATTGTTATGAAATGTATTTCTTGGGTTTTTTTTGGGGTTTATTGTTTTTAGTTGACCACTAACTTAGATTTTATTTCTAAGTAACTGAAAACTACTGTTCAAATTCAGCTATACTAATTAGCCTTCCAACTATCTACTTAACTTAAAATCACTATAATTATCTACCTCACTTGAAGATGAAAATGGAAGGGTGTGTTTATTTTATGTGAATTGACAGATCTGATATAAAATGAAAAACAGTCATGTATAAGCCAACAATATGGACAATTACACTGATCAGCCATAGCACTAAAACCACCTGCCTAATATTATGTGCTGCCAAAACGTCTCAGATGCATTAAAGCATGGACTCCACAAGACTTCTGAACGTGTCTTGAACTCTTTGTCATGTACCTCAAAGCATTCCTGAACAATCTTTGCAGTGAACACCCTTGCCATGACTGCTGGGTGTACATGGTCTCCAACAATATCTAGGTAGGTGGTACGTGTCAAAGTAACATCCACGTGAATGTCATGACCCAAAGTTTCCAAGCAGAAGATTGCCTATTCTACATAACACTGCCTTCTTCACATAGTGCATTCTGCTGCCATCTCTTCCCCAGATAAGCAACACATATGCACCCAGCTATCCACCTGATCTAATAGAAACCAGGTCACCTTCTTCCATTGCTTCATGGTCCAGTTCTGATGCTCACGTCCCCATTAAAGGTGCAAACTGCGATGCACTGTGTGTTCTGACACCTTTCTATCATGGCCAGCATTAATATTTCATCAGTTTGTGCTACAGTAGCTCTTCTGTGTGATCGGACCTGATGGGCTAGCCTTCGTTCCTCATGTGCATCCATGTCCCTGATGGCAGTTGTCCTTCCTTGTACCTCTTTTGATAGACTAACTGCTGCACACCAGAAACACCCCAAAAGACTTGCAGTTTTGTAGAAGTTCTGCCCCAGTCGTCTAGCCATCACTATTTGCTCTTGTCAAAGTCGCTTGCACATTTTTCCTGCTAACAGCTTATGAAATTCAAGAACTGACTGTTCACAAGCTACCAACCTACCTTTTGGGAGGTGCCATTGTAAAGACATAATCAATGTTATTCACTTCACCTTTCAGTTGTGTTAATCCGTGTATGAAGTATCATTGTATTATATATTCAGTGACTATGTTATAATGTACAGAGACTAAAACATACACTGAAATAAGAATTAAGATCAAGTATGTGCTATGTTCATAACCTTTTAAACTAAATTATCTTTTCTGACAAGCAATAAGTTTAAACAATTTAGTAAATTTTCTATAGTTTACTGAAATTTCACCAGACTTTTTGTATTTCTGCCCATTTGTTTTACGGTGAGCAACAATAGATTTGAAGATCTGACGTGTTTTCTTTTAAACCCATAATTGAGATCTTTTCCTTTTCTGCCCAGAATGCAGACACTGCAAAGCAGCTCACTGTATCACAGCAAAATCAAGAAGAGGTGGCTCGTATCAAGGAACAGCTGGAGTTTCAGATGGATCAGGTGAAGCGAGAGTCGGAAATAAAGGCAAGTTTGAAACCGTTCTGTATAGTTAATGAAGTTCATGGTGTTCGATTTTGTGTTTCTTTAAATATAATCCTATAGTCAGACATTCACCTGAATTGAATAAAATCCGTATATAAAAGGAGGTGCTGTATTGTACGATGAAGGTTTGGGGTAAGAGAATTTTGCTGGATGAGAAATTACTTGTGGATAGGTTTAAAGGAAAACTATAGTGTTATGAATACAAACCTGTGTTCCTAACACCGTGGTGTCCCCGTCCCTTGTTTAAATCACCCCACCCACCACATTCACCATGAAAATATATATTTTTCAAATTTTAACTTGCCTTTTTCCAGTGCCAAGACGCCCCTGATGCTGCTTACCTACCCCCATCCTGCTGGAAGTAGAGATCTCACACAGCATCATCAAAAACTGAGATTTAATAATAAAAAAACTAAAAAAATGAAACCATTGTGTACTTTTTAGTACATTTAGTTCATTCTGACTATTGACTGTCTTGCTTGATGTGATAGCTGATTGATTGTTGTGCTTGTTTATTTCTTCTGTACATATGCATTTGTTTTATAAATAAAATTGATAATCACCGTGCAAGCCTGCTTGCATTACATCTTACAAATATAAGGCGCAAGCTGATGCTTTACTTTCCAATCACCTGTGATTTTGTCATCCTCAATTTAAAATAACCTTTGCTGCTTGAATTAAAACCTTATTTTAAAGAATAGTAGCAGAGTGAAATAATCTGAAATAAATACCAGAACTGGATTTGTCTCTTTACTGGATTGATTACGAAATATACTTAAAGGGTTAATCATTTTTCTTTAACATTTTTGTAATATGTACATTTTAAGAACAAAAAATGTAAGCAATTGTGTATTTTGCATTGTATTCCTGCAATCTAACGTTTTTGCTTTCATGAACAAATGACCATATGTTGAACTGATTTTTCTTCTTTGTACATGTAGTTGGAAGAACAAACCTTTCAGATGGAGCAAGTGAAAACTGAAATGGAGTCTAAGAAGAGAGAGTTAGAAATGATCCAGCAGTCTCTGAATAATTCAATGCAGGTTTGTTTTCGGAAGATTCCCGAACTGATAAGTTTTAATCTATTAACTGGACAGCGTAACTTTTCAGTTTATTGGTGCTCCTTTCATTGCATGAAATACGATGTTTAGAATATCGCTGGATTATGTAAAATATATTGTTTGGGGTTTTTGTTTGTATTTACAGAATGATGTCTGTAAAAAGTTTGAAAGATGATTCTAATAAAACTGTATACGATCTGTAGTAATAGTTCAAATGTCCTTGGTGCTGGTTCCTTTAGAAAGAATCCCAACTCAAAGCCTTCTGATTTTTATTTTTTTTGGCAATCATTATTTTTATTGCGGCTTAGTATAAGGTTGTACAGAGAATAGACAAGTTGCAAGCGTACATATTCCAATTGGTTTACAACACATCTGAATGCTAGCTCTTTTTTTTTTTTTTTTTTTTTCCTTCCTTCTGTTATTCCCCGCCTCAGTTATGAACAGAACAACGGTTGCAACTTTGCTAACTAAACAGTTAAACGTTTTCTGAATGACCTTAGACAGGAAAGTTGTGTCTAGGCGGCCCGTCAGGCAGATAGATCCCTCTCTTCTGCGCTCACTAAGACCTTACGAAACTTGGTCTAGAGCAAGTACCGTTATAGTATCTGGCAGATTTCTTCAGTCGTACTCTAAGCTAATGGTGTCCGTCCATTATCTGTCCAGATATATTGGGGTTTGAGTCCGTAGTGTCTGGGTTTCAGGTTAGTCTGGGGTGCTCTGTGCAGGCGTTATTGTCAGAGTAGGGTGGGTGATTTTTTTTTTTTTTTAGAGTTTACTCTAACTTATTTGTTAAACACCGACTTGTAGTGAATTGAAAACGACACTACAAAATGAAATGAAAACGTAACAATAGCTAAGCTGGAGACATTTCGTAAAGCATCTGTTTTGCATGGATTTGCAACCTCTACTGTTCAGTACATTAGAGTTTGCTTTTTAGAGAATAGATTCCAGTGAGTAGTGTATTTGGATAATCAGGACAAAAACATGGTTTAAAGGGTTACCCCACTCAGCACTGCTGTCCACGCCAGCTGCGCAAAGTCCAACTAGCCTTCGGCACAAAAGTGCAGATTACATACATACTCCTACTATGACCACTTCAAATTACTGAGTGGTCATAATGGTTCAAGTAACCCTTGAAGGGGCTAAGTATACCCCCAGCAGTGAATTGTGATAAGTGGATTGACTTGCAGAGATTATATTGGTCTAATTGGGTTTGAAAATAAACACTCCCTCATATTCTTGACTTCCATTTTTCAGATGGATACCAAAGAGCCACTGTATAGTAAAGAAGTACCCAAGTATTGTCACACTGCTTCTTAAATACTTCTTTTCAAATGTGTATACTTTAAAACACTTAATGTTCTCTTTCTGTGTGGCTTTAAGCGATTTGTAATTCCTGCCTCGTATACTATTAAGTTCAGATGTGTTTATATACATCCTTGGAGGGGAAAAAACCAACCACTCTTCTTGACGGAGTATATTATAAACTTAAAGAACTTATCTAAAGTAGAACTTCTGTATTTTCAGTCTGAAAGCCATTTAAATTCCACGCTGGCAACATTAGAAGCTGAGAAGGATGAATTGAAAAGCTTGCTCAAGTCGAAGGAGACAGAGCTGTTATCTGTCAGAAATTTTGCCCAAGACACAGAGACTTTGTTCAATCAAGAGCAGGAAAAACGAGCCAGTGAAATACGGGACTTGAATGATAAACTCCACAAAAAGGTAATGAAATGGAATGCTTTACATGTTATATGGTTTGGTGGGGGCTTTTTTTTTGCATGCTGAAATATTGTAGATATACATAGAGAAAAAAAGGTATTTTATATAGGGAAAAAATAGAAACGCTATTTGCATTTTTGTCTGCTTTTAGAGCAGTAGCACCAGAATTCTCCATCAACTTTTTAACCTAGTTCAGTGAAGTCCACATTTTATGTGAGGATTGTGTTGGATTAATATGGTAACGATGAGGTGTTCCATCCCACTAGTTTCCTCTACTTTCTCAAGCAAGCCTCCCTCTGCCACATGAGAGTGGTATTACTTCCATTTAAAGACTATTCCCCTTGTATCTCTGTCCAAACATTTTTCTTACGTTTCTCTGCCCTTATTTATCTCTTAATTTACTCAAGCTTTTCTCCCCCACTTCATTTATGGTCTATTTCTGTGTCTATATTTGTCCTTTTCCTGCCTCATTTTTTTTGTCTGTCTTTCTCTGCCATGGTTTTCATCATCTTTTTGAACCCATTTCAGTATTTGTCCATCTAGGGCTGTCTGACCTATTTATTTATTTTATCTCTGGCACATTGTATGTTCCTTATTCCATTTTCCTCTCCCACCTATCTTTATCTCCTTGTTTGCCTCTCACAGTTATAGAGTCCTTACTCACCATATTCCCACCCTCATTATGTTTCTTGTTTTTTGTGTTCCTTGGCTCTCCAGTACATTGCTCATTTTCACTTTTTATTTTACTTTCATTTTTTTCCCTCACCTTATTTCACCTCCTACACTTATTCGTTTTCATTTGCTTTCTCACCATATGCTTCTCTACACTTTAGCGATTACTTCACTTTCCATCCCACAAAACTGTTGAGAAGCACCTGTCAAATAAATATTTGCTGCATCCTATGTTAACAAAATTGTAACTAATAAATAGTATAAATCATAGCAGAGTAGCTGCAGCCTTCACATAGACACCTGGAACAACACTAGCTTGATACCACCCGTCCTTGTAGATTCATGGGTGACTATTCCATTTGGGGACTTGGAGACTTCCCTAGAATTAACCATATAAAGCATTAGGAGTCCTTGATCTGCCCTGAGTCTTTCCTGACAAATTTATTCTCTGCAGTGAGAACTATCAACATTTAAGGCCAAAGAAGCTGAACTGGAAGTTTTGATTATTTTGTCATATTTAAAATTCTCTTTGAATTCCCAGCACCGTGAATATTCATGAAGCCTTTTTGCAGGACTTGTGACTGATAACTGCAGTACTGGCACAGACTATTTGGTCTCCTTGGAATTGTTAGTAGTTTTTAAAATCTGAATGTGCTAGTTGTCTGGCCTCTTACATAATAGATGCTTCATGATATTTTACCAGTAATCCTAAATTTTCCTAGTAATTTACTCCAAAGCTACTATGAAGTGTTCCTGTTTTCAGATTAGTCCTCTGTATGTATTGTCTTCTGTATTTCTCAGGGTGAAGACGAGCTGAAACTCTACCAGAAGATGTTAGAGGACCAGTTTAACGTTGTTCAGAGAACTGTAAGCGAGGCCGAAAATATTATTCAGGACGCCGTTGCTAAACTTGATGACCCTCTGCACATCCGCTGTACAAGCTCGCCAGGTGGGTCTTCTGAAAAAGGCAGAGTGCGTGTTTGTATTTTTCACTTGGACATCACTAATATTTGCTAGATGTAGCGTTGTGAAATTCTACAGATACCATGTTTGCATTTTGATGCATCTCCTGAATACAATACCCCCACATGCATAAGTTTGTCAAAGCATCTGTTTTGCATGGATTTGCAATTTTTACTGTTTAGTTCATTAGAGTTTGTTGTTTAGAGAATAGATTCCAGTGAGTAGTGTTAATTGGTATAATGGATCAAGTAACCCTTTATGGGGATAAGTATACACCCAGCAGTGAATTGTGATGTTGATTGACTTGCAGAGATTATATTGGTCTAATTGGGTTTGAAAATAAACACTCGCTCATATTGTTCAAAAAACTGTAAGGGAGGCCGAAAATATTATAGCCATCACAAATATGTGCTGAATTTAGCACTGTGAAATTTTCCAGATTCCATTTTTGTATTTTGATGCATCACCTGAATAAAACAATACCTAAACATGTTTTGTCAAATCTATGATAGGGTTCAGATTTTAACATGTCCTAATTGTCCCCATACTGACCTGCGGCAAACTTTGATGCGATTTCTAAACCATGTTAATGCTAGCTAACCCATTAAAGTTTGAGCCAACCTGCCAACATCAATGCAAACCTTATTGGGGAATAAGTACTTTGGTTGTATGTTTCTTTATTTTGAAAATAGATTTCCTTATTTTGGAAAAAGTCAGATTAAACATCTGATTTCACTGGTAGAACGGGTCTATGGCAATACAGATTTTGGACCACCGGCACCCTGGCTTTTAAAAGGACCACGTCGTATAGTTCTGAATTCCCTTTATAATCTCTATTATAAATGTACATATTGTTTCTAGATGTTTCTTAGACGTGATGGTGATTTACCCTCTGACAGCTGCAGTAATGTTTCCTGTACCATTTCAATTTGCTGATACACCAACACCTCATGACACACGAAGAGCAGCAACAGTTAACACTTGGTGATAAAGTGATTCTAAAAATTTCAAGGAAATATTCAGATACACTTTTAAAAAATAAAAAGTTCTATTTTAATTGACAGATTACCTTGTCAGCAGAGTCCAGACTGCCTTAGAATCCGTAACTAAACTTGAAGATGGCCATGCTAAATATCTACATGACATGACAGGTAAGCTGTCCACCCCTGTAACATTCAACATGAGATTTATCGATGCACTAACAATCAACATGGTACACAGAAAAACACTGCTAAGAAATAGAGCTTAGCATGATGCTGTTTAATTGATAAGATAAGAGTATTGATGGCTAGACTTCTATGTACGTATTGATGCTAGTCTTCTCTTGTAAGCTACATTTCCATCTGGCTGGCTGGGTGTCATAGGCCATGTAGTCCACTACATTTCCAGAATCAGAGGTTAAAGTGGCTGTGTCACCTCAAACTTGCCTTTCTCCTATTGTTTCCTCATCAGATTAAAAAAAAGTTCTTCTTTTCTTAATTTCTGATCTATTTCTCTTTAAATCATAAGACAAAGTAATATATTTTTCCTACGCTTGAGTAGGTGGAGCCTATTTCCGTTTTCATTTACCAAGCTTGCCTTAAGCCCTACCATTTGTCAGAATCTTCAGGTGTAGGAAAAATACATAAGACAAAGTAGTTCCTTAATTGTCTTATATTTTAAAGAGAAATCGATCAGAAAGTGAGAAAAGTACAGAAGAAGAAACTATAAGAGAAAGGTATATTTGAGGTGACAGAGCCACTTGAAAGACTGCTCACAAGTATTTAATTTACTGTTAAATAGACCATCTTATGGGGCGTGTCTGACAGCCGGCGCGCACGGTCGCATGGAGTGAGAGCTCCCGGCCACAAAAGACCCGACCGCGCTAAAACGGAAGATTTAACAATCTGAATCTCGGCAAAACCTCACCCGACAGCAGGTACCGACACCATGGCCCCCTCCAAGCAAATGAAAATGACGGATCAGCTTAAATCCGCCAGGAAGGATAAAAGCAAATCTCCACAAGATGGCGACGACGGCATGGGCCTTTCCCCAGCACAAGACCAGCTAAGTGACACTGACACAGCCTCACATTCCTATACAGAGGCACCAGTTAGTGAAATAAGGCTATTTACCATGCTGCAAGATTTAAGAACAACTCTTAATGCGGACATGAAAAAAATGACTGCTGAATTTAAACAGGAACTGAACAAAATAGGTGACCGCACAGACCGCCTGGAAATGCGGACGGAAGAAATCTGCGCCTCGCAAAACGAATTTGCAGAGCAGCTGCGCACGCTACAAGAAGAGCACATACTTCTTAAAAGAAAAACCGCAGACATTGAAGATCGCTCAAGGCGAAATAACGTAAGATTCCGGGGAATCCCAGACTGCGTTACACATGACGCACTCGCCGAGTACATCCTGAACCTGAGCACCACCTTAGCACCGGCCATAGAGAAAGCAGGGTGGCTCATGGATAGGGCCCACCGCATCCCAAGGCCCCCGCGCTTCACAACAGACACACCAAGGGACACGGTGGTCAGATTCCACTACTTTAAATCCAAAGAAGCGCTGATGACTGCAGCACGCAAATTACAGCGCCTACCAGAGCCGTACCAAGACATCCAAGTATTTGCCGATTTATCAGCGCTCACTATGGAAAGAAGACGGGAGTTCGTCTCTGTCACGAAAACGCTCCGCAATCACAACATCCAATATCGTTGGGGATACCCGACCAAGCTCCTGATATGGAAAAACAATAAACACCACAACATCGAAGAACCAGCTGAAGGCCTGAAACTTCTACGAGAATGGGGACTGTTCGGATCTCCAGACGCTCCTGCGCAAAGCTCCAACCTACCTCAGCGGCTGCAGACAGAATGGCACATGGCGGGCTCGCCCAGAAAACAGCAACGAGATACCCTAAAGGACTAAAAATGTGCAACAACCGTGCACCGGGACTGTATGTGACACCCCACCACTAACGGACACCAATCTGTATGTATATTATGCCACACCTCACTGCACGCTACAACACATACTATAAACAGAGCATGCTTCCAATTACGTAGCCCTATACATGCATACCATAATAATCTCCATCGCATAAACGCTTATCCAGATATGCTGGAATAAACCCCTCTTCCGGGGGGGACACATGCAGACCCGATATCACATAGGTACCGTTAACACACACACACACACACACACACAAAAAAAAAAAACTTAAAAATATGATTCGCACACACTGGTAAAGTACACACAAGTTCGAATAAATGAACATGTCTTATAATTGTAACCATGTTTAAAGGGTCTAGGCCACGGCTGCCTCCGTAGACCTCTCCCCCCGGATTGACCTGCTGCCCGACGGTACGGGACAGCGGTTCAATCGTGTAAAATGTCCACAACCATTGGGACACTCTGTACATACTTTATTTATGTAGTTTCATTTATGTTTCTGGTTTTGTATATGTTCTTATGTCAGTTTATATCTCTAATTACTATTCGGTATTACTACGTGACAACCTGTAGACCAGACCACAACTTGCAAACATGCATTTACATGGCGAATCCCCCTGTAATCAATCTAGTGCTTAGTATTCAGCATAACACGACTCCTACTGCTAATGGCTAACTCAATGCAGTTATTCTCCCTCAACGTCAAAGGCCTCAATAGCCCCCATAAGCGCAGACTGGCAGCGCAAGAAATGCGCTCGTCCAAAGCGGCGATAGCCTGCTTGCAGGAAACCCACTTTTGCAGACGAAACCCACCAAAATTCTCTGTGAAACAATACTCACAGGCCTTTCATGCATTCTCCCCAACAAAATCGAGAGGGGTCTCTATATTTTTCCATGATGATTGGGCATTTACGATGCGCACACAACACGCAAACAGGGATGGCCGGCTACTTATACTAGTGGGCTCTCTAAATGGCATAGAGATCACGATAGCCTCACTCTACGCTCCCAATGTAGATCAAAAATCCTTTCTAACCTCAGCTTTCAAAAAGCTGCACAGATACAAACAAGGGCACGTGATTCTATGTGGGGACTTTAACTGCACAGCTGACCCGTACATAGACATGAAACGAACTGAGAATAAAATTCCCAAGAGGCCATCTATCTTACTAGGTCGACACCTCACTAATCTTCTCCTAATGCATGACTTGTATGACTCGTGGAGATGCCTATACCCTGCGGAGAGGGACTACACATATTATTCCCCAGTCCACATGACCTACTCCAGGATAGATCTATGTCTCACTGACAAAAACACCTTAACACATCTCACGAACGTTTCCATAGGCCCAATAACGTGGTCGGACCACGCGCCGCTTACGATTGCGCTCCACGTCCCGTACCCGGCTCGTGGCAGAGGCACGTGGCGTTTAAACGAAGCCCTGCTAAACGTCCCAGAAAACTCCAAACATATAGGAAAACAGATCACTGAATTCTTTAACGACCACGCATCCTGCACAACACCCATACCGACTCAATGGGTAACACACAAGGTGGTTATGAGAGGGGCGCTCATCCAATTGGGGGCCAATAGTAAAAGACGAGCTTGCACGCAGAAAGCAGAGCTGCTGAGTGCACTTACTAATCTAGAAGCTACACACAAACAGAACCCCAAAAAGCATACCCAAAAACAATTGGAACAAATACGGTTACAATTACATGCATTAGCCCTAAACACCACTGAAAAGCATATGCGCTACCTCAAGCAAACCCATTATATAGGAGGTAATAAAGCAGGGAAAATGCTAGCTAGAAGACTAAAGAAGAGGCATCAATCCACCAAACTCCCATACATTATATCCACGAAAGGGGACAAGTTATATAACCCTCAAGATATGGTAGAGGAACTAGCCTCCTATTATGCCTCACTGTATCAGCTTGACAGTGACAACGCCACACATCAACCCACGGACAGAGACCTACAAACCTTTTTCCACGATACTACCCTACCAACACTCACCCAGGAACAAAAAACATCATTAGAGAGACCGTTCACAAACGAAGAAATTCTCTCCACGATAAAAACACTGCCAAAACACAAAGCACCGGGCCCAGATGGACTAACAAACTGCTACTATCATAAATTTGGCGATACCCTGGCCCCACACATCACCAAACTCTTCAACCATATAAAAGACACAGGAGAAATCCCACCAGAAATGCTAGAAGCCCACATAGTAACTCTCCCCAAACCCAATAAATCGCCTACAATGTGTGCCAACCTCAGACCCATCTCGCTACTGAATGCCGATACAAAACTCTATGCTAAGTTGTTGGCAAACAGAATGAAACCACTCCTTTCCAAACTAGTTTCGAGGGAGCAAGCTGGGTTCGTGCCCGGTAGACAGGTGGGTGACAATACAAGACACTTTATCAACTTAGTTGAATGGGCACACTCATCGAATCAGCAAGGCGTCCTCTTGGCACTCGACGCAGAAAAAGCGTTCGACCGACTAAATTGGAAATACATGAGGAAAACTCTCGAAGTGCAGGGATTTCCCCGGCCCTTTATAACTAGTATCCTAGCCTTATATAGCTGCCCTTCGGCAAGAGTCCATAATACGGGCTTCCTCTCCAAACCCTTCCATATTCGGAATGGCACACGCCAGGGTTGCCCATTGTCCCCACTCATTTTCATCCTGTGCCTAGAGCCCCTCATTTATCACATTAAACGTGACCCACTAATCCCAGGACTAGACACCCCGGTGGGGGAACAAAAACTAGCCCTATTCGCAGACGATATTCTAGTATTCCTGACAGACCCGATACATTCTATCCCAGTCCTTCTACAAACGCTGCACAAGTACGGCTCAGTGTCGTACTACAAAAACAACACTGCTAAAACCCAAGCTCTTCCCATCCGACTACCAAAGACCACGATTAAAAAACTAGAGGAAACACATACATTCGAATGGCGAGCTAAATCTATCCAGTACTTAGGTATCAAACTAACGAAATCTATAAACTCACTTACTACCGAGAACCATATACCTATGATTCACAAACTCACAGCCCAAATGAGCCAATGGGAAGGGTTAGAAATTTCATGGCTGGGACGCATCATCTCCATTAAAATGATGATTCTCCCCCACATGCTTTATCTCTTCCGAACACTTCCCATTCCACTACCGACCAAATTACTAAAAAGATTCCAGAATATCATTAACGCCCACATATGGAAACGGAAGCCTCCCAGAATGGCCACCACCAAACTTAGCCTACCACTTGCGAAAGGCGGCTTAGGCGCTCCGGACATCCGTAATTACTACCGAGCATCTTTATTAGCACAGGGACTACGTTTACTTAGAACCCCAGACGCAGAACGAACCCCCCTATGGCTGGCTCTCGAGGATGCCTGCATGCTCCCAGTCACTCTAACTAATGCCCTCTGGACCCCCGAAACAAACCCCATAGGGCGCACCATGCTGTGGTGCACCAAAACCACTTTAAACACATGGAAACAATGGGCCTCAGTGGTCTTAGACACACAGACACTGTTCAGAGAAGCACCACTCACGACATTGCAGGCCAGTTCCCCCGACCTCCCCCTACAAACATGGTCGAACCTAGGGATCCGCACGATCCAGGACCTATATCATCAAAACACGCTAAAAACGTTCCCCACCCTACAAAGTGAATTCTCCCTGAGCCCCAGGGACCTATTCAAATTTCTAAGGGTCAAGCACATACTGCAATCTAGCACTAAGCCGACAACACCCGTAAAACGATCAGACACTCCCTCTACCAGGTACATTTTGACATCCCGCCATGTCAAACCCCTAGCCCTTTGCTATAATGCACTGGAACGAGAGAAAGCTGAACATAAACTTCCTTACATGGAAAAATGGGAAGGAGATCTAGGGACAACACTCACTTTGAAACAATGGCATGAGGCCTTTTACTTAACAAAACGGGCATCTAAAAGCCTGTCTCTCTGGGAAGCATACTGCAAGATAGCAATGCGCTGGTATCTAGTTCCCTCACGACTGGCGAGAATGTACCCCAACTCCTCCCCGCTGTGCTGGAGATGTAATCGCACGGCAGGGTCGCTACTTCACATATTCTGGGACTGTCAGATCATAACCCCGTTTTGGACCTCAGTCCAATCACTTATACGCGAAACAACTAACCTAGCCATACCATTAGACCCTATACACTACCTGCTGCACATGCTCCCTACGAGCGACTCAGTAAGACCTCCAGCGACCATGACTGCAATAAACATACTGACTATAGCCAAGATAGCGATAGCCTCTCAATGGAAGGCCATAATACCACCGACAATTGAGGAGGTAATAAAGAGAATGGCGCACAACTTACTAGGTACATCGGAAAAACATGGGATCCAATGGTGCGGATGGATTAATATCCGTACATTGGACGACGCAGATGAATGAGGCACTATGACACGATAATCACACGCCCCAGAGAAATAATAGGAGGATTACACCAGTTATACCAGTTACACCAGCTATAATACTTATACTTATACTACATTCTACATGTCACAAACCTTGCCACTAACAAGTCACACCACAAGGTCCGATAGTAATACTAAACAGAGAAATTCAGGTACATGGTTATATTAGTAGAGTTACTGTTGAAAGTTACCCTTCCCTCAACCCTTTGTTCTCCTCCCTTTGTTCTCCTCCCTTGTACCCGGCTGCATGGTGTGATAGAAACTGAAGCCCATGTGGACATCAACGACAGATAGCACAAATGTCTATAGCTCCAGCCAAAAACAAAAATGAGCTGTCATACAAACGGAGTTAAAACATAACATCGGCGATGCATTTGTGCTGATGTCGACACTAACGCTACTATTCGCATTATCATATTAGATAAACTTCTATATATAAGCTAACGAGGCCACATTTGATCAATGAGCCGTTATGACAGCAACAGTGTAAGGTATTGTATCGTATTGTATGTATTGTTGTGCAGTAATGTTACCGTTAGTACTGTATTAATAGTAATGCTGGCATTGCATCACTGTCATTGTCACTGCAATATTATCACAACATCGTCAATCCACTGAATAACTCTATCTCTGTATTTGTACCAACACTGTAAATGTTTTATTTCACGGTGCCATGCACTGGAGTACTACCAAAACCAATAAAAAATAAATATGGAAAAAAAAAAAAATAGACCATCTTATGGTATTATCCTAGATATCTACTGATTATTCCTCTAAATCAGAGTTGGGGAGCCTTCGGCCCTCTAGATGCTTTGGACTACATTTCCCATAATGCTCTTACAGCCATAATTCTGGCAAAGCATCAAGGGAGATGTAGTCTAAACCATCTGGAGGTCCGGAGGTTCCCCAATCCTGCTCTAAATGATAACTGTTCAAACAGGAACTTTCTGTGCAGAATTTTACTGTGAGAAACAATACCAAGACTATTTTCTAGAATTTACTGGATAACTGATATAAGTATATGTATGTGAGTCCCTCCCTCCAGTCTGCTTCCTAGCCGCTTTCATGGACCCTGGAACACTTTAGCCCAAAGCTTGACTGGGGTCTCTCTGGAGCTCTTTCACCTGACCCAGCTGCTCTCTTCTCCCAGGCTGGTATCGTCCCCTCTGACTTTTCCTCTTCAGCTCCTTTCCCAGGCAAGTATCCGAATCTCTGCCTGTACTGCTGTGATTAGCTACTGCCTTTACAAAGGCACTTGTGGCACTGAGCCCTACCTCTCTTTTTACCTTGTCCCAGACTACAGGGACCAAGCAGCCGGCCAACTGGTACGACAATTGTTACTGGGATCCCTGAACAAATCCACTCACCGTTCCAAAATAAACTAACACGCAAAGCTTTACTTTTTCTACTTGGGACTAGCTGTGACAAACGCAATATAATACAACTAACCAAAGCAAGCGCTACGGAATCTGTTGGCGCTATATAAATGGCAATAATAATATTGGAAAACATATAGCTGTTTCAGGATACCTACAACCAACAGATGGCGCTGTACAGGCTCCACAGCCAAATCCACCTTGTTGGTTGAGAGAATCAGCCAGACAGTAGAGCACACAAACATTTAACACCAAACACCCACATTACACACAACCTGTACCCACAGTGGGCAAGGGGTGACTTAAAGAAAAATGTTTTTTTCTCATTTGGTTGTTTATATATAATATTTATATGACCGCAATACATTTTGATAAATTTCATCTAAAATTACTAACACCTTTCAATTTAAATATGCTTCCCAGATGTTTCTATAGCATAATTAGAAAAAGTAGATCTATTCATTTGATTCGAATACATATATTTTTCCGTTAATTTTTATTTATGACTTCCTCTTTTTATTTGTTGACAAATGTTCCTGAAATGTTCTCTCCAGTGAAAAGCTCAGATAGTTGTCTGCTGAATGGATATTTAGTGTTTCAGCTTGTTACGTTTATGAAACAGAATAACACATTTGTAATATCTATTCCCATACTTAATATATATTATGTGATTGTTATAATAATCTTCACCCAAATATGTAAAGAAAAGATTTCACAAAGGAACAATATGTATTCTACATTTTATGCATTTTATGTTAATTATGTATTGCACCTTTATGAAACCTAAGCAGTTAAAAATGTGTTTATTGAAATGTTTTCTTCTCATCAGATGCGTCTACCCTGGTTGGGGCCCTTGCTCAATTTGCTCATCTGACTGCTGACACCATCGTTAACGGCAGTGCAACCTCTCACTTAGCCCCACCGGACCATGCAGACCGTAAGTGAAATCAGTATTGTCTGTCTGCAGAATTAACACTCCTATTAGCCCTATGCTCAAACTCTGACTATTGGACAGCTGTATGGACAATAGTATTCACTTCCAAAGTGCAAACTTATAAGCGACCAAACAGTGTACACTGTTAGATAAAAGGTTTTTAGTCAGAACATAAACTTTAAGATCTCCCACCGACTCTTAAAATATCCTTTCTGGGGGCGGGGCCTGTACCTCATTGCGGCTGGCCGCACTTTGTGAGAGCTCCACACTCAACTCCTGAAAAACTCCTAAAATACCACTCACTATATGCAAAGCCACCGTGACTTATGACCTGCCTGCGTGCAAAGCCTACAGGAGTGCCTAGGACTGTAACTGATACCTACCTAATATTGTGTACCCCAGAGGTTCGAGTGAAGCCTGGTGGGCCGTTAACCGAGAGAGGCAGCCTCTCTCTTTGGGCGCGCTACAATGCTTCCTAGCAGGCATTCTGCATCTGTAGGGTCCCGTTCTCCACCCCTTCCCCCCCCTCTGGACCGATGAGGATGATCCCGGTTCACCCCTTAGAGAAGACCCAGCTGACCAAGACACGTCAGGTGATACCAGGCAAGCGGATTGCCGGCAATGTGCTCTCCCAGGTGCAGGGACATTGAGACCAAGTTGGACAGCATATTTGCTGCCTTCTGGGAAAACCTCGCACTCCAACAGAAACAAGCCCTCGAGCTGGGAACGAGAAGTTACTTACCGTGGCATCCACGCACCCAGCACAGATACGAAGCTCTCAAGGTTAAGGGAACCTGCAAATGGCGGCGGAAGAGACAACCATTCTTATCTGGTCGTAAATCTACACATCTGACTTCAGAAGCAGCTAGGCTCCACCACAGCAGAGTGGCAACTCACCCTGATCCCTGCTACCAGCCACGAGCAGCATCAAGGTCTCCAAAGAGCCGACACGCCGAATCACTCTGGGTTCAGATGTCACTGGGGAGAACCTTCATTGAGCATCCGTACTCTCTTCACTTGCCTGCCTGTCTTCATTCTGCTGGGCTGTCGGGCCAGATAACAAGACTCATGGCTGGACTCTGTGTTATGCCAGCGGGGAATCGGCTGACCTTGGGACAGAGCTTTGAAACTTTACACCCATCGTTACTTTAAGATATTGGGAGCCTATTTGTGTTTCGTTTTTTTTTTTTTCATCATTGTGGGGCACACATATAGCTTACCTGGCGGGCCCCATAGGGGCTTCATTTCACTTTAAGTCACTCTTCGTGCCAATGACTTGCCTTTTGTTACCCTAATGTTAACAGTAACCTGTACTGTGTTTTTCGTGCCTTTACTACTTTTACAAGCATGTGTGGATACAGTCCTTATCGTGTCATTATTAAACAATCATGCCACTTCTGCTGAGACCAGCTGCTTCCCAGCGCTAGAAATTGGGTGAGGGTGTCTCATACAATGGGCCCTGGCTTGAGAAGCCCTGCTTTTTGTTTTTAGCGGCCTTCATACAATGCAATTGTAATTTTGGCATATGTTTTTTCACACTCATGCATTATTCTGGTTATGGTACTGGTAGACACAATCCCAGTAGTAAAAGTTTACTGTTAAGCATGCTGGCATTTAATCCCCTCTACAATAAGCTAAATGCATAACAGCTCGACCTTGATTCATGTGGTGTATACAAAGTGCACTATTATTTTTTTCATGTTACCTTGTTTTAGTTTAATTTAAAATGAGACCTCACTATACTACTAAAGTTACCCAAGCATGTTTACTCACACACGACCACCCTTAACAGGTCTTAAGTTTTCCCTACACCATGCTTCTCACTTATACCACTACATGTTTGCCTCTTGACATTTTGTGCTCTAACCTTAAACCTGTATTCAATCGTTTTGCGATTGTTATATAGTGTATATCTCACTGCACTACAACCATAAAGAATTTTCAAAAAACAAACCAAAAAAATTTAGTTTATCAAAAAAATGTCCCTTCTTCAGGGGTGGGAGCTCAGCAGCCATGCCGAACAGTTTCCATTCTCTAGAGCAGCAGTAGGCAGCGTTCGGCACTTCAGATATTGTACACTACATTTCCCTTGATGGGTTGCCAGCACTATGGCCAGCACTATGCCAGCATTCTAAGATGTGTAGTCCACTAGATCTGGAGTTCCGAAGGATGTCTTGAGCTCCTGCTTGACAAGATATCCACTAATTTTAGCAGCACTGCCATTGCAACGCTACAATATACCACCTACCCTTTACCTCCACATACAGTCTGACGCCTTTATTTTTTATACACATTTATTTACTCTGACAGGCAAAAAAGCTTGATGCAGGTTTGAGGTCTACCTCAACTTCCAGTCGTCGGCAGATCCCCCATGACCCTCTAGTGACTGTTCATCTATGTTGGGTACCTTATAACTGTCACTGTGAATTTCAATACAAGCTAAATTTCTAGCAAACATATTCTTTAGCACTGTTAATATATTTGCATAGGGACTCGCTTATCTTTATTATATTCTTGTACTAAAAATCAATAACTGCCTGTGGCTTCCTACTAAATTTACAATTAATATGGGAAGCATAAGTTGTCCTTTCCTTTTTTTTATTTTTTTATTTTTTTTTATTTAAAAAAATAGTCCTGATTATTCTGTGTGACTCGAAGCATAATCTCATACTGCTGTGATAATTCCTTCAGTTTCTCTCCCATTACATGTTTGTCCGTAATAGGTTGTGATGATGAAACGTAATTTTGACAATGCAATCTTCACTGTATTTTTTTTTTTTTTTTTATGCATTCAATATAAAAAAAAAAAATGATTTCAAGTTCCCTCCTGCGGAATAACTGTGGATGGTGTAGTACTTGCTTATTAAAGCATTCCTGCATCATGCCAGGAGTAATTTCAGTGCTGAGTTATTGTCAAAAACCTGTATGCATTACACAGAAAGGTCACATGGATGATTCTTCAGAGTGTACATTGAATTTTACCTTCCCTTCCATTCACAATCCGCTGTTTTTGTTTATAGGGCTTAGCGAAAGCTGTCTGGATTGTGGGAATCAGAGTTTGCAGTACCTGAATATCCTAAAGAATAAACAATCCCTAAGAGATGCCAACCTGGCAGATGTTCGAAGAACATTACAGAACATCCTCGGGCTTGGAGAGGTAGGACTTTTTTATATGTTTTATATACATATATTTAAAGTTTATTGTTAAACAAAGAATTTGGATTTGTGCAATAAAGTAAATTTAAGTAGTTTAAAACAAAACTATAAAAAGAAGAAAGTCCAGAGGATAGGGAATGAGTAATGCATACAACAAGACAACTAGGGTGTTTTAACATTTACTTTCTATTGAGAGATTCTTGTGGTCATGCTAAAAGGCTGTTTTGTCTTGTTGCACCCTGCTCTACATGCTCTACAGACTAATGCATTAGAACCTCTGTTTGCTAGTCAGTCAAATGAAGGTCTTCTTTGTCTTCTACAGGAACTGAGACCGAAGAGTTTGGATATCAAGCAGGAAGAGTTGGGTGACATGGTTGACAAAGAAATGGCCTCTACATCTAAAGCTATAGAAGATGCTGTACGAAGGATTGAGGTGAGACCTTAATCAAATGCGTACATCCCAAGATTCACAGATTCAGCAGGGCAGCCCTAATTTGGAGCTCCTGTTTCATTGTCCCAGATTGGTTCCTTTGACATTGAAGTGCATTATTAGATGTGCTTACCCTGCACAGAATAAACTCTGGATGCAGAGCCCATTCGACAGAGCTTTAGATGACCTTGGTACATGGTCAGTGCTCACTGGGAATGGGCAGAGCTAGGTATGCAGGTAATTGCACTGTTTTGGGCAAGCTGCCTTCTTTCACACATTAAAACCCTACCACCCCTGTCCTGCTTCTCTGCCTCCTAATGTTGGGAAGTATGCATAGTGTTTTCTTGTACATATAATTTACTAAGTGTGCTAATTCTTAATATGGTATTCAGGAAAATGTCCCATAAAGCATCCATTAATTTATAGATTAGTCAATAGTACTTGATAAATGTAAACTTTCTAACCGTCAGTTCGTTATAATTGGAGGGATAAATTGTCATTCAGAACTGCTTCTTCTGGATCTTTACATGGCAGTCTAGGTGGAAAAAAAGCTGGGTCTGGTAAAAAGATTCTTGGAACAGAACTAAAAACACACAGATTATGTAGGTTCAATAGCTGAGCCTTCTCTGGCAATATTTAATCAGAGCAAAGGGGTATGGAGGAGTAAACTCAGTTCTGAGGGCCATAGGAAAAGGTAAATTTTGAAAACCAACACAAAAATTAATGTCTGAATGTCATGTCAAATAAGTGTAGGAAAATCTTTACATTGGTTGAAGATTTATTAGGACACAGTGCCAAATGCCTCTTTTACTATCCTATGGTTTATTTGCTTGAATAATTAAGTGTGGAAACCTAAGTGGTTGTAATAAAAGCCAGTGGAACTTTGTGGACCATGCATTTTGCTTTCCACTACCTGACCCCAAATCTACGTTCTTTCCTGTGTGGCCGGAGTAACTAAGAACATGAGTCTCCCGTATAGGCTTCTCCTTAATATACTTCTGGATACTCTTACCCTTTTAGTTAGCTTTTTGTTTTTTTTACTGAGCAATTGCAACTCATGCTTTACATAGAATGTAGTCCTCCAACTTTGCACTTAGGATTTCCTCTCATTCTTGTGCCGCATACAACCTGTAAAACACAATATAGAGATCTGAGCTTGCGTGTGGGCTATGGCAAGAGGCGGATGATCTCCCGAGGAGATCGTCCTGAAAGCCGCGTGGTGAAGCCAAGATGGCCGCCACAGTAGGGACCCTGTACAGCAGAGATCCAGCAGTGGAGGGAATCATTCACTGCCAGGTTTAAGGCACTCTACCAGGAGTTCTGGTGTCACCTCGATCATAACTACGTACTCCTTCTGCTACACTGCTGAAACTGGGACCCCACCAAGGTGTCCCTGACACACAAATGCCTTCTAATATGGTTCCCTACTAAACTGGGCTGAGAATCATCTGATGCACAGCCTTGATGCATCGACCACATACACAGAGAATCAAATGCTGAAGGCGAACTGCCCCATCCGGAGCCTTTGCCTATTCCTGAAGGGGAAAGGGCTCAACACCAAGGAGTGCCAGAGTCAGTGTACTTACAATGCAGGCCCTCTTACAGGCCTGTGGCCAGAGGGGATCCTTACCCAATCGTGGAGTTGCTGCCTTTTACTCAAACTTCCCTAATCACACGACAACTCTACCCTTGATCCAGCACAAGACCGTGAAGGGTAAAATGAGCCTCTGCAAACTTTGTGTGCATTCTGAGCTTGTTGATTAGTGGAGTCGGCTGAGCATGCTTTCCTCACTGTATGCTGGCCTACTCTCTGAGTCCCCTCTGAGTTTAGTGGACGCCATTTGTCATACGTGACATGTTATCTTTCATCACAATATGCAAAGTTTTTCACCTAGCATGTTCTCTACCTCCCGACTTACCTCATTTGTCTCATGTTATTTTGTGTCTCTGATTTTTCCCAAAAGCCAATATCTACTACCCAGTAGGAATACTGTTAATAGCATTGTCCGTTAGTACAGCATGACTTATTTTCTGTTTCACCTTAACTCAATACTGACCTGTTCTCTATAGTGTCCATGTTCTACTACACTATTTAGACTAACAAACTGTCCGTTACCTAGCCTGCTTTCATTACTGCTCATACTTGCATACCTACTGGCATATTAGAATTTGAGAAGATTGCCTCTCATTTAACTGTTGGCTGTGGTGTGTTGTGTTTTTAAAATATGATGCTTCAGTTACTGACACTTGATAAACTACTTATTACTATACTGCATGTACCACAGATCACCTGCTGGGATAATGTTGTGTCGATTCCCTTTACGTTTTTGGCAGATTTATAGATCATTTTGAGATTGATGTGTAAATATTTCTACTGCTCTGATTACTAGTGTTGGAGCAAACTAGTCACTGCAATATCTGTGGGTATCACAGTGACTCATCTGTACGTGAAAGGTGAAGCTACTTAAGCCACACTACCCTTTCTGGTTCGACCAGTTCTCTCTGCTTTGTTCTGTCATGATGTCACATCTAGAGTCCCATCTCTAACAGGGAGACTATTTTGATGTGTTATTAAATAAAGTATTTTAAACATCTCAAAATGTTTGGCTAATGTTATTTCGCTCCTCTTACAACATACAGGCTTGTAGCTGTTGACAGCAGGTTAATGAAGCTGTTTTATAGTGATTTTGTACAGGTTTAGTGGATTAAATACTGTAATAAATGTGACTGCACACTCTATTGTATTAGTCAGATATTCAGACTCACCCAATTGGACTTTGTGGCTTAGTGTCTTGGTCCAGATGTGTGGTCCAAGGCCATGCTTTTCACTTTAATCATTAAAGTAATTTGATTAGTGCAGGTCTGGGTCACATTTCTAAGGTGACTGCCAGGTAAAGCACCTTTCTGTGTCATGACAGGAAATGCATACCTGCTGACTGGACTATGGGGTGTTTTGTGTATATATTACTTTTTTTTTTTTTTTTTTCTTAACCCAATAAAAAAAGTTTTTTTGTTTTTAATATCTCAACAGGAAATGATGAACCAAGCTCGAAAAGACAGTTCAGGAGTGAAACTTGAAGTAAATGAGAGGTGAGTCTAGCAAACAATGGTTTGGCTCCGCTTCTAGATATTTGAATGTTTTTTTTTTTTTTTTTTTGTTAATACTAATGTATTTAAAATGCCAAGATAACTTTGGATTTTATTTAATAAGCCAAAAAAGGAGAATTAACTAAATTATGTAAAAATATAAAATTAGTGATGTGGGGGGGGAAAAAATAGTATAATGCAGTATTTTTTAATTTATGTTTTACATTGTTACCATTGGGCTTGTTATAGCGGTTGTGGCTATCCAAGCATGTTAATGCTCACACAAAAAAATATATATATATATAATTTATTTATTTTTTTTGTGTGTGAGCATTAACATGCTTTGATAGCCACAACCGCTATAACAAGCCCAATGGTAACAATGTAAAACATCATCATGGCATATATGGTGACAGCACACTTTTTCAAGTTAAGAGTAGGATGCAGATTAAAACAACCGGTAAAATTCGCTAAAGTAAAGTAGCCAAGCAAACATGTCTGAGCGTAGGGTGACACTGCAGTATCTTGCATGCACATTAATTTGATTATGTGGAGTAGTCGCAGAGGAAACCTATGTAAGCTTGGTTTACCTATCTGCATTCTTTATAAAAGCTATGTTAGTAGGCATATATATATAGCCATGCAGCGTATGCGTTTGGTTAAAATGATGAAAGAAGATGGCTTGTGCAAGCAGTGCAATGACATTACAGCATCAGGAGAGTCATGCGTGTATAGACATATTATACATGTAGAGATTCCGGCCTCTAAGATACAGTAATGCCACTGGGCTACTGTTAAGTTGGGTCACCACTCCGGGCACTGGTGGTCTTGATACTTGGGCCTGAAGTCCGCTATCTTCGCCGGGTCTATGCAAGCTAGATTAGTCCCATTGGCATCAGGCTCCTGCAGCAGGCTCAGCCTGCACATTTGATCTTCAAGTGCTTATGTTCCCGCACAGGGGGTTGTACCCTGGATGGTGTACAGGATTGCCCTTGGTAGGCCCCAGTGGTAGAGAATGTTTCTGTTCCGCAGCTGTTGCAGCAAGGGCTTTAGGGAGTGGAGCCATAGAAAGGTGGACCTTGTGAGTTCTGGAAAGATTTGCAGTGTGGCTCCCTCAAATGAAATCAGTTTTTCCCTTCACTGCAGTCTGAAGTAGGGCCTTGTCCTGTAGGAATTGAAAATGGAGGATGAGGTCCGAAGCTGCCGCGGGTGGTGTGCCTGCTGGTTTTGGAAGGCGGAACATGCCGTCTATTTTGAGTGTTTTGGCTTGTTTAGGCAGTAGAAATGCAGCAATGCAACGTCTGATAAAGGTAGGTAAGTCCTCCATCTCCAGAGATGCCAGGATCCCCCTGATCTTGATGTTATAGCGTCTGCGGTGGTCTTCCAAGGCCTTTATTCTGAGATCAGCTTTTTTGTTGGTGTTGTCGCAGTTTGTCCAAGCCGGGTTTCGTGAGTGCTGTGAGCTGCTTTTCTGTGGGTGATCCGGGCTATATTAGTGTGGAGTTCCGCGAGCATCACCTTTAGCTGGGCTGCAGTGACCGGCTCCCAACTTTCGCCTGTTGGAGGGTTAGGTTGCGGCTTCTTGCCCCTCTCCCGGATCGAAGGAGAAGTCTTCAGATGAATAGGATGATCCCTCTTCTAGGGACTCCATATTGTCCCATGCGGCCTTCTGAGAGTATCGGAACAAGTCTCCAATGTTACGGCCCAGTGGGTTTTTGTCTGTCTTGGGTTTTTCATTTTCTGGCCCATGGTAAGGGTTTATGGCCGGTTTGTTTGTCGATATTCCACCAAAAAACTGCGTTTTTCGTCAACTAAGGAGCTCAGGGAAAGTGCGCCTGCTGACACACAGCTTGATTCTGCCCACCAGCAGTATAATGCAGTATTTATACATATGTCTTTATAAAACTAAAACAAGTGTTTTTATCTTTAACTATTTTTTTTTCTTTTTCCAGGATTCTAATCTCCTGTACTGACCTGATGAAGGTTAGTGTAAAATGGAACATTTATTCTGTCTAGTGTTCTGTGGTTAAATAATACATCTACATACAGTGTTCTGTGGTTACCCAATACATCTACATACAGTGTTCTGTGGTTAACCAATACATCTACATATAGTGGTTAACTGTTAAGACAAAAGACCTGTTCTGGTCATTTTATGTGGTGTTTGCTATACTAGTTTAATTGCTCTGTGCTAACTGATCTTCCTTTATCAGTTTTATTGTGTATATTAGAATCTATCTTAGGCCATGCTATCACAATTTTCTTGCTATATATTATGCTGGTTACATCCCATTGCCTAGGTGTGCGTAATCTATGATCAATATTTTGTCAGTTATAAGGTGGAGTGACCTACTTTTGCACTATACACACGGTTGCTGTACATTGGCCTCCTATTAATAAAACGGAACTTTTATTTCTGTAAAAGTAAAAGCCAGTTATGGAATTCGTGTAAATGTATTGCTGATTTTTGTTTTCTGATATGTAAGGAGTAAAATTGGAAACTAGAGAATAATCATGTGATAGTCTAATTCTAGGGGTGGCAAAATAATTGAAACAGGAAGGGGTAAAATGATGAATCTTGTAGTTTATTCTAGTTTGTATGTGATCACAGACTAAAGAAAAGGAATATAACGATATGTTTCTGTTCCAGGCTATCAGACTTTTGGTCATTACATCTACAGACTTGCAGAAGGAGATCGTGGAGAGCGGAAGAGTAAGTTTCAGTATCTCCTGAGAGATCTATATAAAATCTGTTATCTGCAGAAATCCTCCCTGTGAGCAAGGCCCAGTGATTTGAATGAGACTGGTTTGTAGTGTTCCCAATTCCACAAGCTAGTCTTGTATAAACAGGTAAAAATAGATGTAACATGCATCACGGATAATGGCAGATTTTAAACTTTGTGTGCTGCCAGCTTTCTGTTATGGGGATAGGGGGATGAAGTCAATACTTCCTAGGGTGAGGTATTGGCCATCATTTTACTTTTTATTAGTTTCCCATGGCTTGTAGTTTTTCTTTCCTTTGAATTTGTTTAGTTAGAGCAAATAACCATAAATGTTGCAGTAAATAACGTACACACCAAGTGCACATTTCACTGCCGTGCTTTATTTAATGTTTGTTACTTTGCAGGGAGCAGCAAGCACACAGGAATTCTACGCCAAGAACTCTCGCTGGACAGAAGGACTGATATCTGCTTCCAAAGCCGTAGGATGGGGAGCGACCCAGCTAGTGTAATGCACCGCTTTATGTTTTCTAATTTCAAGGCCGAGCTGATTTTTGGCTGTATTTTTGCATAATAAAATCTTTCCACTTTAGAAAAAAGGAACTGAAAAGTAGCAATGTCTATTTTAATAATTGGGTTTTCTTTTGCTTTTCTTTATGCCGTATAGAGAATCTGCGGATAACGTGGTCCTTCATAAAGGCAAATACGAAGAACTTATAGTGGGTTCTCACGAGATTGCAGCAAGCACAGCACAACTAGTGGCTGCTTCAAAGGTACAAACATTCCCCTGGCAATTAAGTTGTGATCAAGTAGAGGTATCATTGCCATTCATCCTGGTATCAGCCCTTAGATATTGACATTGTAAAACCCTTTGCTAGATAATCAGGCTATTTAGAAATCTACTAGTCTTACTTGTCCATCCTTCTGACATGGAATAATGGCCATGATGCCAGTACAAACTGGGGTACTCACTAGAGATGTACGTGAAATAAATCTGAATTTGATAAAAACTGATGTAATATTGCCTGCGGCTTGTTTTTTTGTTTTGTTTTTTTCTAGAAAAAAACTGAACTCTGAGGGCAAATGCTCAGAGAATTTACTAGCTTGCCCTTTGGTTAGTCCCTGTCCAAACTCAAAAAACAGTTGCCACATGGTCCTCTGTCCCTCTTTCATTAATAACTGATGGCGGAGTATGGACAATCCATTGATAGTATTATGATTCTTTTTAACGCAGATGTTTGGTTTGTTGCTCTACTATAATGGACATGAAGTAATTATAGCCAGACTATAGCCGAATGGTTCTTATCTGCCGTCACATTCTATTGCCAATGTCATATAACGGTGTCTCTTGCGTTGGCGATACAGTGTATTGTACAGGGCTTGATCCCCACATGAAGAAGAAAAAAATAATTTTCAACAATGGCACTGTGAGATATATAAAAATGTCCTTTGACCTAAACACTCAACTATATTAAAAATAAGAAAGACATGACTAGGGTCCACAATTATAAAAGGTTATGGAACACACCACTTACAATAGATACCAATGACCTTCAAATACACTCATATTCCTACAACAAACTGTAGAAGGGGAATGTGAGTGTATATAAGTGAAGGGGATAATGACCTTTTTACACCCAAACCCCGCTCAAAAAGTGTTTTTAATGTAGAAATCTTGATCTATCCACATATCCTGAATGCTGTGGTGTACAGACTGTATAGAGCCTCATATGCATATTCCTAGAATCCTTCGCTGCAATGTAAGTCATGCATGCTGCAGAGATCTGTGCTGAAAGTGTGGTCTGTTGACATGTGTGGGATGTATAGTTGTACTCGGCAGTGCTATACTGCTGTATCTGTATATGGCCATATTAATACCCATATTTGCAGTTTTTAAATCTACATTCCCAATAATGGGTGCAGTCTGTGCTTAAAATCGAAATATAGAGTGTACAGCTTGGCATGGGCTCTTGTGAGGTTTGTATTGTATTGTTTTAGGTGAAGGCGGATAAGAACAGCAAGAACCTGCCCAAGCTTCAGCAATGCTCCCGTCATGTGAATGAAATGGCTGCCAATGTGGTAGCTTCAACAAAATCTGGAATAGAACAAATTGAAGATAAAGGTACATGTTTCTATTAGAAAACTACCTTTTACCATTTGCAAATTGTAACACACTTTTGTACTTCCTAAAAACCATGTGAATTGATGTCTTCTCTCTTTCCAGATACTATGGACTTTTCTGGAATGTCCCTGATTAAACTGAAGAGAGAAGAGATGGAAAGCCAGGTAATAACACATTAAGTTAATAATCAGACAAAAGCACTTAGACCTATGCGTGAACTACAATGACGCTACAGAATATTCTTAGCGGTTTATATTCGACCATTAACTGCCCGTGAGAATGTTGAGGGTGATGTTGCGGTAAATTGATAAAAGTAGAATGTTTTAGGGGTAATTGGAGATCTATTAAGGTGAGTTGTGCGAGACTGTATGTGCATTCTAATTCTGTTAGATTTAGAATAGCCAGGATTTAACATTTTCTTGGTAAGCTTTGGAGCAGGAGGGAAAATAGTAGTGAAAAACAAATTGTCAAGATTAAGGTATGTATTGAACATGGTTATTTCCTACAAATCCTGGCCATCTCTAAGGACGTAGGTGAAGTGTTTTAATTACTCTAGGCCAGATGAGTCGGGAAAGCTGATGAAATGAACCATATTGTCCCTTGAAAATGTGCAATCAATAGTAAATGAAACCCAAAAGGTATGCCTGGAGCTCTGGGTCAGAATCCCACAATGCGCATCATTAAAAATATTTAAAGATTTCTGGCAAGCTTCAGACTATGATGTGAACTGTGCTCTAGACTGACCTGGATGGTACTCTGTGTCTGTGGTGTAGGTTAAGGTTCTGGAGCTGGAGAACATGTTGCAGAATGAGAGGATGCGTCTGGGTGAGCTGAGGAAGAAGCATTACACTCTGGCAGGTGTTTATGAAGAGGTGGAAGAAGTAAAAGCATCGCCAGTTCAGAAGCCAGGTATCCTGAAGAAACCACAGCTGGCCCAGAAACCGAACATGCTACCAAAAACGGATTATAAGGTAAAGAGCTCAGGAAATGTTATAGTAATGTTTTCTTTCATGTCAACATCTGTATTTGATGTTACTGACATGGATGTAGAAAAGAAGGGGTAAATGTGGTTCTTTCACCACTTCTCTGTGGCTGTCCATGGTACTCCGTCATTCTCCTTCTCCCCTTCTCTCTTTATGGAAGCTTTTTTTTCTGTCATATGTTAATGTTAAAGTTGAGGCACCCAGCATGGCTTTCTTTCGTAAAAGTAGACAAATGACAGTCTACACAGAATGGCATGCTGGGGATCTGGGAATTGTGCCGTCGTAGAACAAAAATATCCTCCAAGTAGTTTTGTTTTTTTATATTTTACTTAGAAATGTTTAATAACAATGTTTCATTTTCAGATCGATAAGGAGGATGGTGTATATCAAGCAAACTTAATAAACTTCTAGCCGTTATCTGAAGAACTTTCCAAAGACAAGTAGTTCATTTCTGTACACTGTGCGTAGTCTGGCCTGCTATTTGTGGGAGCTTGGATAATACTGCAGGTGCTCGGTAGTCGCTCCATCTGTGTTCTCGGTGGATACCAGCTGCCTGGATGCTTTCAGATGGTGACCCCCATCTTTCACTTCCATCAATGCTGATCAGAATGTAGTACAAGTAATCTAGGCCTGCTGCCATATCATATCCGATTTATTTTAAAAAAATAAATAAGGTTTTTAATTTATTTTGTACAAAATGTTCTTTAGGCTAAAGCACAGATGACAATCTCCTGTATAACTAGTTTAATGTCCGTTAAACTGAGCTGAAGTTTTGTTTTTTTTAAATGCACAATTGATAACCTTTATTACTGGCAATGCTCACTGTTGCCTTTTCCTTGGGGGCTGCAGCAAATTGCAGGTCAATATGTACCGTGCACCTCTGCGGTTAAGGTTCAGATTATAAATTTTAAAGTGTCCCATTAAAATCGGTGCTCTTCAAAGGTAACCGCTGATCCATGTTTTCTTAATGCACCGTCACAGGTAAAATAAATATGTAAACCATAAATCTTGGACCATCAACAATTCTTGAAGACTGGTTTTAGAACCACTGACTCAGGACATGGCAGCTTTTTACACTGGGTCCAGATATTGGTTTCATTATACTATAAAGCTTCCAAACTAAGATTGTACAAAGAATGTACTTAAAACAGGAAATGCGTGTGCTATTTTAGAACATGTTCATTTTTTTAATTTTTTTTTTTTTTTTTTTTTAAGATTTTAATGGCCAATACAGTGTGACCCTTGTTGTCTGGCCTTCAATAAAAAGCATAGGATTGGTCATATTTAAGTATGTCCACTTGAGTGAAAATGAACTTTATTTTTCTGTTATATGTTAATAAACTCTTTTATTTGTTTTAATTTAAGAGGTGTATTTAATATAGGCTATATGTTCTCGGTCAGGCCGAACACTGTGCAGATTTTTAGGATCCCCTTCTATTCGTGTGAGTGGATAGGTCAAGACCCTGTCCATTGAGAGACCACCGGTGCTCATACAAGAAGATCCTGTATTCATTTACTCTGTGATGCCTGATCTTAACGTATTATACATAGATATCACTTTATTTGCACATCTACTTGGGAGAGGGTCAGAAAGGGGTAATATTGTCTAGTACTGGGGAAGAACTTTTCACATTGCATAGCCGTGCTTGTAGTCTTCCATCACATATTATTTAACTATATTATATTAAAATTTGTTAATGACCATTTATATTTTGAGCATTTTGTTTTCCTGTTGTGTGATAAGGAGAAAAGTACAGAAATGGTCCATTATGGACCATCGTTTTTCATCATTTTAATTCACGTAAAATCATAAAAGTTAAAGCTGCAATATGTACGTAGGTCTCACTCCAAATTCTATATTAGTAGGCAGGCATGTGAAATTAAAACTCCACCCTGCTTAGTTTATTTACTACTAGCTAAGGATTGGTCTGTGGGCAAGTTGTTTGTAATCTATTCAAAACCGATCATATACAGCTGTGTAAGCTTCCTAATCACAGAGACCACTTTTTGCCATTACACCATTTTGTTGGCCAGCGTGTCTCTAAACGGCGAAATTAAAAAAGCCATTCACAAGTAGTGCTTTGTTTTTAATTATACGAAGGATATTTGATATGTTTCGTTTTTACACAATGGGTTTGCTGCAGCAGTATTCCCACATTAAGGGAGTTATGCTTTTTACAAAACCATGTACAATTTTGGGTTTCTCAGTGATATGATTTAGCAGACTTTTCATACATGTATCTGTCCTACTTCTAGGAGGAATGTTTGAGTTTTGTATCTTTGTAAATGTAAAAAAAGCAATAAAATGTGAAGAGTTCAGAATCAGTCTTTGGGTTTTTGTTTTTTTTTGTATGTGATGTAATCTGAAGATCGTTTCTTCCTGTTGCAAGATGATGGCTACAAATGTTTTTCAGTTCTCTATAATAAAATTCCAAATTCCTTTATATTCAAAATAAAAAAAACTGTCTTCCTTAAAGGGACACTATAGTCACCAGACCAACTACAGATTAATGCAGTTGTTCTGGTGAGTATAGTCCGTCCCTTCAGGCTTTTTGCATTAAACACTGTCTTGTTAGATAAAAGACTGTTTACATTACATCCTAGGGATACTGCCACTCCCCAGATGGCTGCTAGAGGTGCTTCCTGGGGTCCGCCCCTCTGGTCTGCCTCCTTGACTGAGTACATAAGAATCGACAATCTCAGCCAATCCAATGCTTTCCTATGGGAAGGCATTGTGATTGGCTGAGATAATCAATTCTGATGTCAGCCAAGAAGGCAGATCAGGGGCAGAGCCAGCAGCAGCAGACTGGAATAAAGTAAGATTTTACTATGCTTATGTGGTCAAGGTGAAGCCAGAGGGGCTAGATAGTGCTTTTAACACTTATAGGGTCAGGAATACAGGTTTGTGTTCCTGACTCTCTAGTGTTCCTTTAACGTTCGTTTCACTGTCAATAACAAAGAGTTCACTTTTGTATTAAGTTCTGCAGACTTAAAGTGAATGAGTTTTATGTTTGCAGCAGTTATGGTGGGGAATAGAACACATACCTTTTTCAGCATTCAGACAAAAATTGTACCTTGCCTGATTTTAACACTTTTATCCCCTGTAACTGGAAATCTGAAGAGACCCCAAAAGCAGAGGCTGTGATTGGGTTTGTTTGTTTTGGTTCATTGCTGCAATCTTGCATTTTAATAGTTGTTTTGACAACTGCCTCTGGTTTCATAAGAATGAAGACTACAAACTGCAAATCATCAAACCAGCCTTTTTTATTAGCGGATCTGAGCATAAACCAATGATATGAAGTTAAATGATTGTGGGATAGGGACAATAAAGTAGTTTAATAAAAATAGTCTTACAATAATTAATACTTTGCTAAAGAGGCACATCACAGAAATTGACCTATTTTAGTTTGGTTTCTTAATGCATTTTTTAAAAAAAATCTACTGCCGTAAAAGGGACAGGGCAGACACGAGTTAGGTATTTTAAGAGTAAAATGCTACAATAAAGTATGTTTGAACACAAAGTAGTTGTGCCTCCATTTGAATTACCTGCACCAAGTGTGGACCATGATGAATAAACATTTAAAGTGAAAGTGTCAGCTTTAGGGTTTTTACGGTTTACTTATCTCAATATGTAACATGTGTAGGTAGGGTGTAGAACTTAAATCTAGAAATCCGTCGCTATTTACCCTGCAATTGGTTGCCTCCATCTTAGCTCACTGTCAGACATAGTTATAAGCTTTGTACTTTTCTCCTTCTCTGCGTGCCTTATTTATGCTTACTGCTGGGTGCAATGAAGTGATGTCTTACCTGGCTTTGCCTTGTCTGAACTGGATTGTGAAGGGAGGTTAACATATTACACATTATTTTCAGTGTTTTCTGCACAGGTGTAAATTCCAGATAAAGGATAGTTCCTCTTTAAAGGTTCACATCAGTACTCTAACAACTTCATTGAGATAATGGTTAGTGTCTGAATTCCTTTGGTACCGTCATTCCATTCATTTTTAAACTGTTTAATTTTTTTTTTCAAATTTATATTTTATTATTTTAGTCAGGGTGGTTCGGGGTACAGAAGGGAAGGTGGGAGGGTTAGTTAAATAGGTGACACTCTCCATATGACTAATGATTGCATAACATTGTATTGCAGGCATGCGAGAAATATTGTTCCATTGTGATAATAGCATTAACAATTATGCGGCATTGTAACACTAGTACATTTTAAACATTGTGGCATTAACCTTCATGGGATAGTATAGTGCTGTTACATGTGCAAGATGTTCAGTTTATCGTCGCCTGCACTGTAAGTTGTCAGTGGCGTGAGAGAGCACTAGTTGTCTTATAGTTTCTCCTTTCCTTTTTTAGGTTCTGGGTGATATGGGTCTGGTGGGGGGTCTAGAACCTGGGAGGGGATCCAAGGGTAACGAAGGGGGAGGGGGTTATGGGCGGGTGGGGTGGGGGGGTAGGAAGGCGTAGGGGTGCGCGAGTGATACCCGTAGTTCGTTGGTTGTTGTCTTGGTCTGGGGTTAGAACGGTTGTGGTGGGGAGGACTAGTCCGGGTTACGGTCCTGGCTAGTGCTCTTGGCAGTGTTTGCCATTGTTTGTGCTCTTTCCTTTGTCCCTCCAAACTCTCTTTCCCATTTACCCCAAGTAGCTTCAAATTGTATTATATTTTTCGCAGATGTAGTTGCCATTCTCTTTTATATATATATATATATATATATATATATATATATATATATATATATATATATATATATATATATATATATATATATATATATATATATATATGAAATTGCCCTATTTTATCTGTCAGCTGTGGCAAGGAAGGGCAGCCTTGGGATTTCCAGTTAAGTGCTAGATTTCTTGATGCCATTAAGACTAACGTTATAATTTGTTTTTGGCCTGGGTTTAGGCCTGTAGGGAGCAGTAGCAGTAGGCAAATGGATGCCGTCAGTTCAAATTTTGGGATGTCTCGTGTGTCTAGGATTGACCTCGTAGTAGTCCAGAGAGGTTTGATGCCTCTACAAGAACACCACAGGTGTATTAGTGTGCCTGGGCCTGATTTGCATCTCCAGCACAGCGGGCTCGCCGTGGGAAATAGCTGGTGAAGTCTTTGTGGGGTCATGTACCACCGGTACATGAGTTTCCTGTGGGCTTCTATGTGTGAAAAGCATTTTGTCTGTTGGGACAACCCGTTCAGTGCATGTAGCCACTCCATATTTGATAGGGTTATGTCACAGTCCTTCTCCCATTGGGCTTTGTGTGGATGTGGTTTGGTTGGCGTGAGTTCTTGCCATGTTTTGTAGCACAGTGTGAGTATTTTAGGTTTGTTGGGTGAGGACCAGCATCTGTCAATGAGCAACTGTGAGGTGACCTGTGGCGAGCCTTTTGGGTTGTGTGCGGTTGTCATGTGTGCTTGTAATACGCTTTTAATCTGTAGGTAGGAAAAGATGGCTCGGCTGGGGAGTTGCCACTGTGCCTGTAGTGTTGGGAAGGGTGTTACTTTCCCTTCAGTCACCAGTTGGGATATGTGTTTGATCCCTGCCTTCAGGGCAGATTAAGAGCCCAGTGGGCCTGGTGCTGACAATTATGACGGGCCTAATTACAGAATCATATCGACCAAAAACACTAAAACACACCCAAGCGTCATGTATCTGATGGAAATGGTGCTGGAGAGAAAGAAAACAGCAGCTATAATAAAACATATACCCTAGGCTAATCTCTCTCTAATTTATGTTTTCATCTTTTAAGTAAATCCATAACCCCTAACAGCAGTGTCCAGTCAAGCAGGAAATCAATGGGCGGGGTAAAAGGGTGTGCCACTGACACAAATCACGTAACTTGCCAAAAGGGGCGAACATCCCCAAAAAGAGGATATGTCTGCCCAAAGAATTAGAAGGCCAGCCTGGTATGAATGCATGTCAGACTGCCTGCCAATCCTGCAGCTGGCCAACTAAGGGCATGCTATGCAGACAGCACCCTGAGCTTGGCATAAATGCATCTAATGATGCGCTCGCTCCACGCTTTCTAAGGGCTGTCCCCTAGCACTCGCTGGTCCCCATGTCTCCTTACCTTCTTACTAGCAGGCAGAAGCTCCTGGTATATAGTCTGGGACAGAGAAAAGCTGTATGTAGTGAGTGTTGAAGAAAGGGAACATGCCACAGTGTTAGAGAGACCAAAGTCAGCATTACCTTAAAAGATCACTATAGGGTCAGGAACACAAACATGAATTCATGACCCTTAAGTGTTAACACCACCATCTTGCCCCCCTGGGCCCCTCATGCCTCCATAAATATAGCAAAATCTTACTGTATTCAAGCCTGACTCATGCTGTTAGACTCAGAAAAACAAGCAGTCTGCTGACATCATTAGAAGTGATGGCCTAATCCAATCACAGTGCTTCCCCATAGGATTGGCTGAGACTGACAAGGAGGCAGATCAGGGGCAGAGCCAGCATGATTCAAACACAGCCCTGGCCAATCAGCATCTCCTCATAGAGATGAATTGAATCAATGAATCTCTATGAGGAAAGTTCAGTGTCTGCATGCAGAGGGAGGAGACACTGAATGTTTGGATGCATTTTAGGCAGCCATGACCCAGGAAGGATCTCTAACAGCCATCTAAGGAGTGGCCAGTGAAGTTATCACTAGGCTGTAATGTAAAGACTGCATTTTCTCTGAAAAGACAGTGTTTACAGCAAAAAGCCTGACGGTAATGATTCTACTCACCAGAACAAATTCAATAAGCTGTAGTTCTTCTGGTGACTCTAGTGTCCCTTTAACTATATTCATTGTCAGCCAGTCCACACAAGTTTTGTTCCCATACATCCCTCTTAAGTTTCCATACTTAAGTAAGAGTATGTGAAAAGTAGTTAGGGTTGCCACCTTTCTTGGAAAAACATACCGGCCTTGCTAATTTGCATAATTAAATATGTATGGGTGACATCACATGATGTAAATCACAAGGAGTGACATAAGAGAAAATGTTGTAAAATCACCAAAAAACTACTTTGATTCTGCTGTATAGATGGATTCCTCCCAGTGGCCCCATGTCTCCCAGTGCCCCCATGTGTTGATTACTCCAGGTCTCAGTGTTCCTATGTATCAGTGTGTCCCCATGTCTCCCAGGGTCCCCATGTCACTAGGAAGACGGGAAGACCTGGGGACACAGAGAGACCTAGGGACACGGAGACACCAGTGACACTGGGAGACTAGGGGACTCTGGCTGGTACGCATGGGGACACTGGGAAAATAGGGGACACTTGAAGACATGGGGACATAGACACCAGGGACACAGACACTAGAGACACTGACTGGGGGACATGGGGACATTGAGACATGGGGGCACTGGGAGACATGGGGACAAGGAGACACCAGGGCCACAGACACTAGGGACACTAGCTTGGAGACATGGGGACATTGAGACACTTGAGGCACTGGGAGACATGGAGGCACTAGGAGACATGGGGACAGTGAGACACTGGCAGACTGGGGGCACTGGGAGACATGGGGACACTGTGTCCCCATGTGTCTGTGTCATAATGTCTCCCACTGTCCCTTAGTGTCTGTGTCCCCATGTCTCCTTGCAGCCTTTCCCCCCATCCCTCACTTCCCTGAGGTGTAGGCTGTCTCTGCAGGGTGGGAGTTGCTGTCTGGACTCTCTGTAGCTGCACCCCTGCAGATCAGTGAGTATAGATAGGCAGGGAGGGATATGCTGGAACTTCCTATCCCTGCCTCTCTCCATACACAGTGACCCCTACTGGCCAGTGCTGGTATTGCAGAGTAATCTCTTGTTTATACTGAGAAAAATACCAGCATTTGTATTGCCAGTATCACTGCAATATTGGCACCAGCCAGGCAGCCTCAAATACTGGCTGTGCCAATAAAATAAAAGCCAGGTGGAATCCCTAAGAGTAGTGTGTGAAAAAAAAAAAAATTTAAGAAATTTTTTTTTTATTTTTATTTTTTTTTATAAATCAATGGGCCTATTCCATGGGCCTGGGCCTGGGCCTGGGCCTGGAGCTGCAGCTCCATCAGCCCCTATGTTAATCCGGCCCTGCCTGCCTTGTGCCAGTCTTGGAGTGGTATGTCTGGTACCATTGCTCTAAGTGTCGAAATAGGCGATTTAGGGTGGAAGGAGCTGTTGTATCCATTGGCTCCCATAAATTCATCCCACACTGCCAGCGTGAGCTGGGTGGTTGGGAAGAGATCTTGTCGTTTCGATCTTAGGTGTTTGGGTGTCCAGAGATATTCAAGTAGGCCTTGGTTACGGAATTGTGCTCTTTCCATGTCCACCCATTGGATCGTGTTAGGTGGTGCATGGAGGAGGACACCTGAGGACAGAATAGCCGCCCTATAGTACTGTCTGAGATTAGGGAGGCCAACGCCGCCAGAGCGGGTGGCGGTTTGGAGGAGTGCCATGGATACCCTAGGTTTC